ACTAACTAGTCACTGATTCTCTCTTTCTGTCTGTCTTTCTCTACGTCTCTGTCGTTCTGTTTGTCCATTTCTCCCTCTAACCCTTTCCCACTCTCCGAGTCCTTCCCTCTCTATTCCATGCCTGCCTTCTCTCCATCTCCTCCCATTCCTCTCCCCACCTCACCTTCTCCCTCTCTTTCTCCCCCTCCTTATCTTCCACCCTCCCTTGCTCCCCTCTCCCTCTTTCCTCCTCCCCCTCCTCGCTCCCTCTCCCTCTCTCCCTTTTCCCTCCTCCCACTTCCTCCCCCCTCCCTCCCTACCCCACTCCCTACCTCTCCCTCTCTCTTCTCCCTCCCTCCCTCTCTCTCTCCTCTCTCCAGACCATGTAGCAGGTCTGCTGTTCACCTTCTGTCTGGAGGAGATAGGTGTAGTTGAGGCTAACAGTCTGAGGAGGAGACATCTCAGTGCCCTTGAGGAGGGAGGTGGCAGTGGGAGTAGTGGAGGAGGAGGAGGAGGTGAGCCATAACTGTAATCCATAGTCTATTGACTGTCTGTCGTCCATTATGTATTTAATACCTCTGTAGTGCAGGGTGGAGGAGGTGAGCCAGCTGTAACTCTCCTCTCCTCTCCTCTCCTCTCCTCTCCTCTCCAGGCCATGACTGGCAGAGTGTGCGAGGGAGCAGACTGAGTGGAGACAACAGGGTTGGCAGTGGGAGCAGTGGCACTCCAGTGCTGGGTCTGGGGCTGCACCAGGGAGAGACTGACCCAGCCAGGATAGCAGAGAACCTGGGGGCAGACGCCAAGATCCTCCAGGGGACCAGCTTCAGCCAGACCAAGAGGCCCCGGTCGTTAGCCCTGGGAGGGTCAGAGGGGGTCGGAGCAGCAGGGGGTAGAACCAGGTGAATGATCATTGATGTGGAACATTACTGACCGCTGCCATCTTGCACAATAGATGTCCCGTGTAGCTCAGTTGGTAGAGCATGGCGCTTGCAACGCCAGGGTTGTGGGTTCGATTCCCACGGGGGACCAGTATGAAAATGTATGCACTCACTAACTGTAAGTCGCTCTGGATAAGAGCGTCTGCTAAATGACTAAAAATGTCAAATGTCAAAAATGTCTCAATGAGAATAACCTGCATTAATATTTGAAGGTCATGGATTTCATATTCTCCTCTCTGTTTATGTTCATGCTTCTGAAATTAAATATCCCCTTTGGTGATCAGTAAATTATGAATATCAACATGTATTTATCTATTTTTTAAATCTAATCTATTCATTTATCCATAAGGCGCTGCAGACGTAGAGACAGCCCAGAAGACGGAGAGGAGAGGGACTCCAGTGACGAGGACAAGAATAACACAGACGCCATCTTTGATCTGGAGGACCTAGATCTGGACGGACCGACCACAGAGAGCGTTGCTAAAACCAGCCAATCAAGGAAGAGGACGGTGGAACGCAGCGCCAGCTATGGCAGTGTGGGTGTGGCCTCAGCCTCGCGGGGAGCCGTTAAACGAACAGGGATCGAGACAGGCTTCGACCCACTGTCCCTCCTGGCGGCTGAGTCCAAGTCACAGGGGGACAGAGAGGACGACCTGGAAGTAGAGATGGATGGGGTCGCGACCCCTACGGGCCGCCGCCGAGACCACCTGGCTAGGGAGATAGAGATGTACATGAACCATATGGGTTCTCCTCTGAACAGCCGGACCTCCAGTATGGACCTCCAAGACCCCTCCAGTCCCCTGTTCCTCCACCCTCCTCCCCCACTCATCACCACACCTCGACGGGCCAGTCTCCCCCATAGCTCCCCTCTCAGGACAGGAGGATTACCGCGCTCCAGGACCTACCACTCCCCCTCGCCCTCCCAGCCTGGCAGACAGAGGCTCTGGTCCTCACCCTCCTGTCCCCGCTCCACCCCCACCCCCAGCCCCTACCGGGAGAGGGAGAGAGACAGGGACCTGGGTTTGCTGTCCCCCTCTATGTCCTCCTCCTCCTTCGCCCTGGACCAGCTCCTCACCCCCACCCTGGATGTGTTTAAGAGCAGCATGTTCTCAGCAGGGAAAGGTGTAGCAGAGAAGGCTAGCAAGTGGTACTCTCGCCTGGCCACCTCCTACACCATGCCCACCAAGGTACGCTCATTGGTTGTCAATGGAGGGTGTTATATTGGTGGGTCAAAATAACACATTTCTGAATGGCATATAGCTATTTTGTAATACTGTGCGACATGAATCAGAACAAGTGTCTTGTCCACACCACTACTGAATGCAGCTGGGTGCTTCCCAGATTCTCAGAGCAGACACGTTGCAGCAACATTTTTATTTTGTTCCTGAACCTCCATTGTATACCCTGTCCACCCCCTCCAGGATGGGAACTGTGACCGTCTGAGTGTGTCCTCTCTGGGCATGGACCCTGACTGCTCCTCCCTGTTGGATGTGGATGAGGAGGGCCTGGGGGACCCAGAGGGCTCCATCATCTCCCCTCAAAGGAACGGCCCCGGGCCCCGTAGGAGCCCCAGGAGAAGCCCGCCCAGACGCAGTCCCATGAGGAACAGACTGGACAGTCCCACACACAGACAGACAGGTAACATATTGCTGCCTTGTCACTGGGGGGTGAGTGGAGGAGGAGTGGGGAGGGAGGGAGGGAGGGAGGGATGGAGCCCCTTGTGTAGTCGACTAGACAGCCACACACAGACAGACAGGTAACATATTGCTGCCTTGAGAGGCAGGAGCTAGGGTCAGACAACCAGGTACTGCCCTGTCACTGGGGAGGAGAGAGGGAGGAGTTAGGGTTAGACAACCAGGTACTGCCCTGTCACTGGGGAGCAGAGAGGGAGGAGCTAGGGTTAGACACACCAGGTACTGCCCTGTCACTGGGGAGAGAGAGGGAGGAGTTAGGGTTAGACAACCAGGTAATGCCCCTGTCACTGGGGAGGAGAGAGGGAGGAGCTAGGGTTAGACAACCAGGTACTGCCCTGTCACTGGGGAGGAGAGAGGGAGGAGTTAGGGTTAGACAACCAGGTACTGCCCTGTCACTGGGGAGGAGAGAGGGAGGAGCTAGGGTTAGACAACCAGGTACTGCCCTGTCACTGGGGAGGAGAGAGGGAGGAGTTAGGGTTAGACAACCAGGTACTGCCCTGTCACTGGGGAGGAGAGAGGGAGGAGCTAGGGTTAGACAACCAGGTACTGCCCTGTCACTGGGGAGGAGAGAGGGAGGAGCTAGGGTTAGACAACCAGGTACTGTCACTGGGGAGGAGAGAGGGAGGAGTTAGGGTTAGACAACCAGGTACTGCCCTGTCACTGGGGAGGAGAGAGGGAGGAGTCTAGGGTTAGACAACCAGGTACTGCCTGTCACTGGGGAGGAGAGAGGGAGGAGTAGGGTTAGACAACCAGGTACTGCCCTGTCACTGGGGAGGAGAGAGGGAGGAGTCTAGGGTTAGACAACCAGTACTGTCACTGGGGGGAGAGAGGGAGGAGTTAGGGTTAGACAACCAGGTACTGTCACTGGGGAGGAGAGAGGGAGGAGTTAGGGTTAGACAACCAGGTACTGTCACTGGGGAGGAGAGAGGGAGGAGCTAGGGTTAGACAACCAGGTACTGTCACTGGGGAGGAGAGAGGGAGGAGTTAGGGTTAGACAACCAGGTACTGCCCTGTCACTGGGGAGGAGAGAGGGAGGAGCTAGGGTTAGACAACCAGGTACTGCCCTGTCACTGGGGGAGGAGAGAGGGAGGAGTTAGGGTTAGACAACCAGGTACTGCCCTGTCACTGGGGAGGAGAGAGGGAGGAGCTAGGGTTAGACAACCAGGTACTGCCCTGTCACTGGGGAGGAGAGGGGGAGGAGTTAGGGTTAGACAACCAGGTACTGTCACTGGGGAGGAGAGAGGGAGGAGCTAGGGTTAGACAACCAGGTACTTCCCTGTCACTGGGGAGGAGAGAGGGAGGAGTTAGGGTTAGACAACCAGGTACTGTCACTGGGGAGGAGAGAGGGAGGAGCTAGGGTTAGACAACCAGGTACTGCCCTGTCACTGGGGAGGAGAGAGGGAGGAGCTAGGGTTAGACAACCAGGTACTGTCACTGGGGGGGAGAGAGGGAGGAGTTAGGGTTAGACAAACCAGGTACTGCCCTGTCACTGGGGGGGGAGAGAGGGAGGAGTTAGGGTTAGACAACCAGGTACTGCCCTGTCACTGGGGAGGAGAGAGGGAGGAGTTAGGGTTAGACAACCAGGTACTGCCCTGTCACTGGGGAGGAGAGAGGGAGGAGTTAGGGTTAGACAACCAGGTACTGCCCTGTCACTGGGGGAGGAGAGAGGGAGGAGTTAGGGTTAGACAACCAGGTACTGCCCTGTCACTGGGGAGGAGAGAGGGAGGAGTTAGGGTTAGACAACCAGGTACTGTCACTGGGGAGGAGAGAGGGAGGAGCTAGGGTTAGACAACCAGGTACTGCCCTGTCACTGGGGAGGAGAGAGGGAGGAGCTAGGGTTAGACAACCAGGTACTGTCACTGGGGAGGAGAGAGGGAGGAGTTAGGGTTAGACAACCAGGTACTGCCCTGTCACTGGGGAGGAGAGAGGGAGGAGCTAGGGTTAGACAACCAGGTACTGTCACTGGGGAGGAGAGAGGGAGGAGCTAGGGTTAGACAACCAGGTACTGCCCTGTCACTGGGGAGGAGAGAGGGAGGAGTTAGGGTTAGACAACCAGGTACTGCCCTGTCACTGGGGAGGAGAGAGGGAGGAGTTAGGGTTAGACAACCAGGTACTGCCCTGGCCAAGAGGTAGGGGAGGTAGAAAGGACTCTTACCAAACTAGGCCAGCAGACGATGCCTTGTACAGTTGAGGTGATTTGAGGTGGAGTCTGATTGGAGCTCTTCATTCAAGCTACTCAGACGCTCTGCCCTTCTCATGTCTGATTAGCATCCACTGTGCACTAGCAGTAGCACGCCTGACATGGAAATCCACTGCCCTGAGTTAGCGGTTAGCTAACGGCTAGCCATCAGAGACTGTTTACTGCTGACACCGATGATAGCAGACCTTCATGGATAATGGTATGCTTCTTCTCCGGTCGTGCCCTCTCTCTCCTCCAGGCTTTCCTCTCCCAGACCGGTCTGATCTGGGCTCGTCTCGCTACACCAGCAATACCAGTGTCTTCCAGAACTACGCCATGGAGGTGAGAACACCACACATACAGACCTCTCAAACTTAAACCAGGAAAACTCACGGGAACATTGAAAAGAAGCCTACACTACAGCTAGCTCGAGACAAAGGATCCAGGCCAGGGTGGTCTCTGCCATTTTGTGCCGACCCCTGCCTGACCTGACGTCCATGATGGCTCTGCTGTGCTTCCAGCTGCTGATCTCCAGCTGCTCTCGCTGTAAGACGTGTGACTGTCTGGTGTACGACGAGGAGATCATGGCGGGATGGACGGCTGACGACTCTAACCTCAACACCACCTGTCCCTTCTGTGGGGTCCCCTTCCTCCCCTTCCTCAATGTAGAGATCAGAGACCTGAGAGGACCTGGGAGGTACAGTTTATACACACAGACATTTACACCCTCCCTCTATCTGCCAATATCACACCTACACTCATCCTTCTCCCCCGTCCTCCTGTCACCCCGTCTTTCCTCTCCGTCGCTCCCTTCAGGTTCTTCCTGAAGAGCAGTCCGTCAGCGGATGAGGCTGTGTCGTCGTCCTACTCTGTGTCCACCGGTCTGGACACCGGGACGTCCACCCTGTCCACGCCCTGTCCCACCACCGTCCTGTCACCTCTCTCACCCAGGATCACTGTAGAGGGCTGCTCTGGTAACAACAGGTACACTACACACTACACACTACACACACAACATAACACAACACTATACACGAACACAACACTACACAACACGAACACACACACACACACACTACACGACACAACGACACAAAAGACACACTACACTAACACTACAACACACACACTACAACACACTCAACACACACACTAACGAACACAGTACACATACACACATAACACAACACACACACAACACTGACAACACACACAACAATACCCTACACCATACACAACACACACACTAACACAACACACGACACGAACAACACAACACACACACACAACACTAAACATACACAACGACTAACACACACAGAAACAGACTACAAACACTAACACACAAACACAGAACACACACTACCACACTACACACTACACACAACACACACACTACACACGACACGAACAGACACACTACACACAAACACACACGCACCATACACACACACTAAACACATACTAACACAACAACACACACTACACACACACACTACAACACTACACACACACACTAACGAACAAACACTACACACAACTACATAAACACTGACAATAACACTAACACATACACAACAACACGACACGAACACACAGACACAAAAACAACACTACGAACACTACAACACTACACACAGACACAACGAACACACACAGACGCTACACAACACATACACACAACACTAACACACATACACAACAAAAACGATACACAACACCAAACACACTAACAACACGACAATACACACGACACACTAACACCCAACACATAAACACGAACACAACACTGAACACACACGACAAAAACAACACTACAAACACACACACAACACAGACACGACACACACACTACACCGAACGAACAACACGACACACGTAACACGAACACGTACACACACACGAACACAGACAACACGAGACACACACACGACACACAACACAACGAGACACAACACAACACGACAACACAGCAACAAACACGAACACAGACACAAACACCACCACACACACAACACGACACACACACTAAACACTACAGAACACAGAACACTAAACACGACACAACACGACACAGACACTAGACAACACATACACTAGACACAAGACACAGACACGACACACAACAACACACGACACACTACACAACAACTAGACACGACACACACACACACACTAACACTGACACACAACACGACACACACGACACAGACACACACACAAACGAGACACAGACACACACACGAACACAGACACGAAACACACGACAACTAACACAACAACACACAACAACACTATGAACTAACACAACACAAACACACTAACAACACACACAGTACTACACTAACACAGACAACGATACACACACACAACACTACACACTAACACTACACATACAACACTGAACACTATACACGAACACACACAATACACGACAATACGAGACAACACACTACACTACAACAAAACATAACAACACAACACATAGACACGATACAGACAAGAACACTACAAAACGAGACACGAGACACAACACGAGACACGAACAGACTAGACCAAACGACACGCGAAAAAAACGACACTAGAACACACACTATGGACACTATACACGAGACACGAACACAACATCGAGACACGTAACACATATACACAATAAATACTAGAACAATACACACGAGACACTATAACACTAAACACATACACACAAAACTAACACCATGACACACACTACACACTATACACTATACACTATACACTAGACTACAGATAACAGTATACTTACTACCACTATCATTATATACACTGAGATTATTAGTCAATATTAGTATGCTGGTAGTGTTCCCTCTCTCAATTAGTTTCCTGAGATTATTAGTCAATATTAGTATGCTGGTAGTGTTCCCTCTCTCAATTAGTTTCCTGAGATTATTAGTCAATATTAGTATGCTGGTAGTGTTCCCTCTCTCAATTAGTTTCCTGAGATTATTAGTCAATATTAGTATGCTGGTAGTGTTCCCTCTCTCAATTAGTTTCCTGAGATTATTAGTCAATATTAGTATGCTGGTAGTGTTCCCTCTCTCAATTAGTTTCCTGAGATTATTAGTCAATATTAGTATGCTGGTAGTGTTCCCTCTCTCAATTAGTTTCCTGGGATTATTAGTCAATATTAGTATGCTGGTAGTGTTCCCTCTCTCAATTAGTTTCCTGAGATTATTAGTCAATATTAGTATGCTGGTAGTGTTCCCTCTCTCAATTAGTTTCCTGAGATTATTAGTCAATATTAGTATGCTGGTAGTGTTTCCTCTCTCAATTAGTTTCCTGAGATTATTAGTCAATATTAGTATGCTGGTAGTGTTCCCTCTCTCAATTAGTTTCCTGAGAGTATTAGTCAATATTAGTATGCTGGTAGTGTTCCCTCTCTCAATTAGTTTCCTGAGAGTATTAGTCAATATTAGTATGCTGGTAGTGTTCCCTCTCCCTCCTCATTTGGGCTTCTGTTGGATCACATGACATCTCATTAGAGAATGTGTTTGAAGTAGCCACCTACTGATACTATCTGCAATGGAAAACAGGAGCTCCTCCGCAATCTGCAACACCTGGTCCTAACACTGATGTGTGTGTGTGTGTGTGTGTGTGTGTGTGTCCAGGGCCCAGTGTATAGAGATCCCCACAGAGCGGCGCCAGGGGGCCCTGTCCCCAGGGTCAGCTATGGTGCGGAGTGTCAGTGCCTTTGGCCCCATGCAGGAACCGACTACACTCAACCACAGTGTACCAACTACAGGCAGCTTGCCCAGCCGACTCAACGAAGCCACCGTGAGACACACCCCCAAAGCACACGCATACTGGGTTCACATGCACATATTTCACACACACCCCCAAAACACACGCATACTGGGTTCACATGCACATATTTCACACACACCCCCAAAGCACACGCATACTGGGTTCACATGCACATATTTCACACACACCCCCAAAGCACACGCATACTGGGTTCACATGCACATATTTCACACACACCCCCAAAGCACACGCATACTGGGTTCACATGCACATATTTCACCTTTTATGGGAACAGTGGGGACATCAGGGAAAGAGGCAAAAGCTTTTCTGAAGGTCCTAGAGAACACACACACACACACACACACACACACACACACACACACACACACACACACACACACACACACACATTCTTACTAGATGAATATGATGTATCTGTAGTGGTCCAGTACCACCCACAGCCTAACTTCTCAACTTTAACCCCTTGACCCTGAAACCCCTCCTCCCCAGGACTCCCTGGGTATGGATGTGGACTGGCGTCTTCACCACCCAGAACCAGTCACGGTACCCTACCTGAGTCCCCTGGTGCTGTGGAAGGAGCTGGAGTCCCTGCTGGAGAACGAGGGAGACCCTGTTATCACAGTATCGTCCGTGGTGGACCACCACCCCATCATCTACTGGAACCTGGTTTGGTACTTCAGACGCATGGACCTGCCCAGCAACCTGCCTGGACTCATACTGACCTCCGAGCACTGCAACAGGGGATCTACGGTAGGGGAACACTCACATACAGTGCTATGAAAAAAGGATTTGCCCCCTTTCTAATTTTCTCTAACTTTTGCATATTTGTGATACTGAATGTTATCAGATCTTCAACCAAAACCTAATATTAGATAAAGGGAACATAAGTGAACAAATAACACAACAATTACATATTTATGTCATAAACAAAGTTATGCAACACCCAATTCCCCCGTGTGAAAAAGTAATTGCCCCCTTAGACTCAATAACTGGTTGTGCCACCTTTAGCTGCAATGACCCCAACGAAATGCTTCCTGTAGAATTCTCTGATACAGAGCAGAATTCATGGTTCCTTCTATTAAGGCAAGTCGTCCAGGTCCTGAGGCAGCAAAGCATCCCCAAACCATCACACCACCACCACCATGCTTGACCTTTGGTATGAGGTTCTTACTTTGGAATGCAGAGTTTGGTTTTCGCCAGGCATTATGGGACCCATCTCGTCCAAAAGGTTATACTTTTGAATCATCTGTCCATAGAACGTTCTTCCAAGAGTCTTGATGATCATCCAGGTGCTTTTTGGCAAACTTGAGTTAACTTTTTGGACGAGATGGGTCCCATTGCAGCTGGCACAACCAGTTACTGAGTCTAAGGGGGCAATTACTTTTTCACACAGGGGAATTGAGTGTTGCATAACTTTGTTTATGAAATAAATATGTAATTGTTGTGTTATTTGTTCACTTATGTTCCCTTTATCTAATATTAGGTTTTGGTTGAAGATCTGATAACATTCAGTATCACAAATATGCAAAAGTAGAGAAAATTAGAAAGGGGGCAAATACTTTTTCATAGCACTGTATATATACACACACACACACACACACACACACACAGGATACACACACCAACCTGCCTGGACTACTTACCTCTGAGCACTACGGTATGCACACATACACACAAACACTTGCTTGACCTCATCCACATGCATTTGGAAACATGTCCTTCAACCTTCAACTCACTCCAGATCCCTGTCTAAACATCTCACTCCAGATTCCCTGTCTATACATCTCACTCCAGATTCCCTGTCTATACGTCTCACTCCAGATTCCCTGTCTATACATCTCACTCCAGATTCCCTGTCTATACATCTCACTCCAGATTCCCTGTCTATACGTCTCACTCCAGGTTCCCTGTCTATACGTCTCACTCCAGATTCCCTGTCTATACATCTCACTCCAGATTCCCTGTCTATACATCTCACTCCAGATTCCCTGTCTATACGTCTCACTCCAGATTCCCTGTCTATACGTCTCACTCCAGATTCCCTGAATCTGTCTATACGTCTCACTCCAGGTTCCCTGTCTATACGTCTCACTCCAGATTCCCTGTCTATACGTCTCACTCCAGATTCCCTGTCTATACGTCTCACTCCAGATTCCCTGTCTATACGTCTCACTCCAGATTCCCTGTCTATATGTCTCACTCCAGATTCCCTGTCTATACGTCTCACTCCAGGTTCCCTGTCTATACGTCTCACTCCAGATTCCCTGTCTACCAGAACGCTAGGTGTGACACCAGGCGATAGAGTACATGACATATTGTCATTGAGCAGCCAGTGTGTGTGTTTCTCACTGCTGACCCTGTCCTTCCCCAGGTCCCTCGCCACTGGATGTCAGAGGACAGCAAACACGTGTTGATCCAGATCTTATGGGACAACCTCAAGCTGCACCAGGATCCCATCCAGCCGTTTTACATCCTCTGGAACACACAGAGTAGGTTATACTCTACATCAGGGCCTGTCTCAGTGAAATACATGAAGTTATACTCTACATCAGGGCCTGTCTCAGTGAAATACATGAAGTTATACTCTACATCAGGGCCTGTCTCAGGAAACCGAAGTTTTCTACATCAGGGCCTGTCTCAGTGAAATACATGAAGTTATACTCTACATCAGGGCCTGTCTCAGTGAAATACATGAAGTTATACTCTACATCAGGGCCTGTCTCAGTGAAATACATTAAGTTATACTCTACATCAGGGCCTGTCTCAGTGAAATACATGAAGTTATACTCTACATCAGGCGGCCGTCTCAGTGAAATACATTAAGTTACTCTACATCAGGGCCTGTCTCAGTGAAATACATGAAGTTATACTCTACATCAGGGCCTGAAGCCGTCTCAGTGAAATACATGAAGTTATACTCTACATCAGGGCCTGTCTCAGTGAAATACATGAAGTTATACTCTACATCAGGGCCTGTCTCAGTGAAATACATGAAGTTATACTCTACATCAGGGCCTGTCTCAGTGAAATACATGAAGTTATACTCTACAGCAGGGCCTGTCTCAGTGAAATACATTAAGTTATACTCTACATCAGGGCCTGTCTCAGTGAAATACATGAAGTTATACTCTACATCAGGGCCTGTCTCAGTGAAATACATGAAGTTATACTCTACATCAGGGCCTGAAGCCGTCTCAGTGAAATACATGAAGTTATACTCTACATCAGGGCCTGTCTCAGTGAAATACATGAAGTTATACTCTACACAGGGTGCCTGTCTCAGTGAAATACATGAAGTTATACTCTACATCAGGGCCTGTCTCAGTGAAATACATGAAGTTATACTCTACATCAGGGCCTGTCTCAGTGAAATACATGAAGTTTATACTCTACATCAGGGCCTGGTCTCAGTGAATACATGAAGTTATACTCTACATCAGGGCCTGTCTCAGTGAAATACATGAAGTTATACTCTACATCAGGGCCTGTCTCAGTGAAATACATGAAGTTATACTCTACATCAGGGCCTGTCTCAGTGAAATACATGAAGTTATACTCTACATCAGGGCCTGTCTCAGTGAAATACATGAAGTTATACTCTACATCAGGGCCTGTCTCAGTGAAATACATTAAGTTATACTCTACATCAGGCCTGTCTCAGTGAAATACATGAAGTTATACTCTACATCAGGGCCTGTCTCAGTGAAATACATGAAGTTATACTCTACATCAGGGCCTGAAGCCGTCTCAGTGAAATACATTAAGTTAACTCACATCAGGGCCATGTCTCAGTGCAAATACATGAAGTTAGACTCACATCAGGGCCTGTCTCAGGTGGAAATAATTAAAGTTATACTGATACGCGGGCCATTTCTCAGTGAAATACCTTAAGTTTATACTCTACATCAGGGCCTGTCTCAGTGAAATACATGAAGGTTATACTCTACAGCAGGGCCTGAAGGTCTCAAGTGAAAAGTATCACACAGGCCTGTCAGGAAAATTAAGTTATACTCTACATCAGGGCCGAGCCGTCTCAGTGAAATACCATTAATTTATACTTCAACAGCATTGGCCTGTCCCAGGTTAAATACATGAAGTTATACTCTACATCCGGGCCTGAAACCGTCTCAGTTAAATACCATGAAGGTTATACTCTACATCAGGGCCTGTCTCAGTGAAAATACATTAATTTATACTCTACAGCAGGGCCTGTCTCAGGTGAAATACATGAAGTTTATACTCTACATCAGGGGCCCTGTCTCCAGTGAAATACATGAAGTTATACTCTTACATCAGGGCCTGTCTCAGTGAAATACATGAAGTTATACTCTACATCAGGGCCTGTCTCAGTGAAATACATGAAGTTATACTCTACATCAGGGCCTGTCTCAGTGAAATACATGAAGTTATACTCTACATCAGGGCCTGTCTCAGTGAAATACATGAAGTTATACTCTACATCAGGGCCTGAAGCCGTCTCAGTGAAATACATGAAGTTATACTCTACAGCAGGGCCTGAAGCCGTCTCAGTGAAATACATTCTTTGTATGCTGGTACCTTGTTTTATCAAGGAACAGATAAAGCCCATAAGTCTATATTTTACTGTGGTTTTAAGAAGAGCATATATGTACGAATTGTGGATGTCTTGTTGCCTTTTTGTGGCCTAGCTTTGGCAGATGGAAGCCTTGGGCAGCTATGTGGCAGCCATTTTGGATCTCTGTGTACTGTAATGTCTGGGAGCTAACAGGGGTCTGTTGTGCTCTCTGTTCTCTGTCTTTCAGGGCAGCCATTTTGGATCTCTGTGTACTGTAATGTCTGGGAGCTAACAGGGGTCTGTTGTGCTCTCTGTTGTCTGTCTTTCAGGGCAGCCATTTTGGATCTCTGTGTACTGTAATGTCTGGGAGCTAACAGGGGTCTGTTGTGCTCTCTGTTGTCTGTCTTTCAGGGCAGCCATTTTGGATCTCTGTGTACTGTAATGTCTGGGAGCTAACAGGGGTCTGTTGTGCTCTCTGTTCTTTGTCTGTCTTTCAGGGCTTAATTGTGCTCTGTTGTTAGACAGTGAGTGTTCTCTTTAGGACTCTACAGCTGAGTCCTCTCCTTTGTCTCTGTATGTTCTGTCTGCTTTTCTGCGCTCTGTTTGTTCTCTTTGTAGTCATTTGGAAAACCCGTTTCATTTTCTCTGTCCTCAGTATCTTTCCATTTGTGTGGTTGAAATGCATCGCTGTATTGCTGTTCTCCACTTGCTTGACAGTCTTGAGAATTCTGTGGGCTGTCTTTTGATTGAATTGTCTAAATAATGTTGTTTCCAGTGATTCATTTTCTTCAGTTCTTCCAACGTTTTAATGTGTGCCTTTCGTCTAGTTGGATCTCAAATACACCCCTGTATTATACACTCCTGTATTTGAGGATGGGTTAGCGTCTCTGGTTTACTGTGTGTGTGATCGCTCTTGCATACCTACGTGTGTGCGCACGTGGACGTGTTTGTTATGCACTGCTCAAAAAAATAAAGGGAACACTAAAATAACACATCCTAGATCTGAATGAATGAAATAATCTTATTAAATACTTTTTTCTTTACATAGTTGAATGTGCTGACAACAAAATCACACAAAAAATTATCAATGGAAATCAAATTTATCAACCCATGGAGGTCTGGATTTAGAGTCACCCTCAAAATTAAAGTGGAAAACCACACTACAGGCTGATCCAACGTTGATGTAATGTCCTTAAAACAAGTCAAAATGAGGCTCAGTAGTGTGTGTGGCCTCCACGTGCCTGTATGACCTCCCTACAACGCCTGGGCATGCTCCTGATGAGGTGGCGGATGGTCTCCTGAGGGATCTCCTCCCAGACCTGGACTAAAGCATCCGCCAACTCCTGGACAGTCTGTGGTGCAACGTGACGTTGGTGGATGGAGCGAGACATGATGTCCCAGATGTGCTCAATTGGATTCAGGTCTGGGGAACGGGCGGGCCAGTCCATAGCATCAATGCCTTCCTCTTGCAGGAACTGCTGACACACTCCAGCCACATGAGATCTAGCATTGTCTTGCATTAGGAGGAACCCAGGGCCAACCGCACCAGCATATGGTCTCACAAGGGGTCTGAGGATCTCATCTCGGTACCTAATGGCAGTCAGGCTACCTCTGGCGAGCACATGGAGGGCTGTGCGGCCCCCCAAAGAAATACCACCCCACACCATGACTGACCCACCGCCAAACCGGTCATGCTGGAGGATGTTGCAAGCAGCAGAACGTTCTCCACGGCATCTCCAGACTCTGTCACGTCTGTCACATGTGCTCAGTGTGAACCTGCTTTCATCTGTGAAGAGCACAGGGCGCCAGTGGCGAATTTGCCAATCTTGGTGTTCTCTGGCAAATGCCAAACGTCCTGCACGGTGTTGGGCTGTAAGCACAAACCCCACCTGTGGACGTCGGGCCCTCATACCACCCTCATGGAGTCTGTTTCTGACCGTTTGAGCAGACACATGCACATTTGTGGCCTGCTGGAGGTCATTTTGCAGGGCTCTGGCAGTGCTCCTCCTGCTCCTCCTTGCACAAAGGCGGAGGTAGCAGTCCTGCTGCTGGGTTGTTGCACTCCTACGGCCTCCTCCACGTCTCCTGATGTACTGGCCTGTCTCCTGGTAGCACTACGCTAACAGACACAGCAAACCTTCTTGCCACAGCTCGCATTGATGTACCATCCTGGATGAGCTGCACTACCTGAGCCACTTGTGTGGGTTGTAGACTCCGTCTCATGCTACCACTAGAGTGAAAGCACCGCAAGCATTCAAAAGTGACCAAAACATCAGCCAGGAAGCATAGGAACTGAGAAGTGGTCTGTGGTCACCACCTGCAAAACCAGTCCTTTATTGGGGGTGTCTTGCTAATTGCCTATAATTTCCACCTGTTGTCTATTCCATTTGCACAACAGCATGTGACATGTATTGTCAATCAGTGTTGCTTCCTAAGTGGACAGTTTGATTTCACAGAAGTGTGATTGACTTGGAGTTACATTGTGTTGTTTAAGTGTTCCCTTTATTTTTTTGAGCGGTGTATATACAGTGTGTATTAGTGTAGCCTACATATCCATCTTTCTGACCCCTGACCCAGGTGTGGGCTACCCATTGTGTCGTCCTGTGAGCGAGGCGGAGCGTCCGTTTGGGGAGGAGCTACTCCACAGCGTGGTCAAGAGCATCCAGAGGAACGACGTCTCTCGACCAATGGGACAGCTCCTACAGCTGCTGGGGCAGAGCCTGGGGGTCAAGAGGCAAAGGTCAGGGGGTTACACATTAATAACTCCATTGTCCAGGGGCATGTTCAGGAGGATGTAACGTTACCGAACATTCAGATAGAAAGGTATTTTGTAGAACAGACATGATTGTCTGTCAGGATAAAGAATTGTCAGCTCTGCTCATTCCATTTCTATCTATCTGTAACAGTCAGAGCGTTTCACATCACTAAATACATCCCACAAGTCAGTTGGTGCAAATATAGCAATACTAAACGATATCCAAGGTTGGATGTCAAAGAGAGACAGTCGGCATGCTATCTACTGGAACTAGTCTGCTAAATCTCCACTGTAACATCTAACACCCCCGTGCTCTTCCCTCTGCAGGAGTCTGTACAGAGATATCCTCTTCCTGTCTCTGGTGGCTCTGGGAAAGGACAACATTGACATCGGTAAGTCTGCTTCCGTGGTGCTAGTAGTTTCAGAAGTACTGGAGTGTGCTCCCAGCCGACAACTCTCCAGGTGCAGGGTACACAAACCTAATCTAGAAGGACACTAAATACCCACACGCTGTTGAAAGCTCCTGCGGTGTATTGCAACGTTTTCACTAGAAGGTCTTCAGTTGAAATTAGATTTAAATCAGTGTTAAACATGGATTAACATTGACGTGATAATCTCATCTCACTCTTCCTCCTCCCTCCAGACGCTTTTGACCGTGAATACAAGATGGCGTACGACCGCCTCAGCCCGACCCTGGTGAAGCTGACGCACAACTGTGACCGTCCGCCCAGCGCTGGGGTCATGGAGTGTCGCAAGACCTTCGGAGAGCCCTACCTCTGAACTCTGACCCCTTACCCCTGACATGACATCTCCGACACCTCAGCCTCCACCCGGCCAGTCACCTCCACCACCCAGCATAGCACAGCCATGGGTAGCACACATGGGTAGGGTTCAAGAGATCTTTGTGTCCATGAAAAGCGCAGTATAAAATCAATTTATTACAACGGTGGCTCTCCCAAAGAGGACAGAGGATTTCTTGAAAAGACAAGCTCAGGAAGCCCTTAAGAAAGACTTAGAGAATGTGTGATGATACCTTGTTGATACCGTGTGTTTGGGTCATGTCTGTAACCTGTGAGAAACGTGACGGGGTTGACGAGAGCGTAAAGGAGCTGACGAACCAAGGCTGGTATTATGTAGTCCGACTAGTCTCACAAAAGGGATTTTTTTTAAAATCACATCTCATCACTTGGATGTATATGAACTGGACATACCACTCTGGATGGATGGAGATCATACACATTAACGTAACAACGTTTTCACACAAAAATGTGTTCCATTTCGGGGTACTTATGTTTTAAAAATCTTGTACAAATTGATATATACAATGCAAAATGTACTTTATATACCACAGTAGTAGAACCTTTTTTAAAACAACATTTATATTATATAGTCATATATAAAGACTAATATTAGCAATATTTTACTTAACGTTAATTCTATTTATTCAAAGTAAGCATTTTATTTATTCTAGTCTGTTTTATTTGTTTAGTGGATGTACTGGCTTCATGTCAGGTTGAACATCCATTCCTCTCCTCCTGTGGTTGATGGATGTACTGGCTTCATGTCAGGTTTGAACATCCATTCCTCTCCTCCTGTGGTTGATGGATGTACTGGCTTCATGTCAGGTTGAACATCCATTCCTCTCCTCCTGTGGTTGATGGATGTACTGGCTTCATGTCAGGTTGAACATCCATTCCTCTCCTCCTGTGGTTGATGGATGTACTGGCTTCATGTCAGGTTGAACATCCATTCCTCTCCTCCTGTGGTTGATGGATGTACTGGCTTCATGTCAGGTTGAACATCCATTCCTCTCCTCCTGTGGTTGATGGATGTACTGGCTTCATGTCAGGTTGAACATCCATTCCTCTCCTCCTGTGGTTGATGGCTGTACTGGCTTCATGTCAGGTTGAACATCCATTCCTCTCCTCCTGTGGTTGATGGATGTACTGGCTTCATGTCAGGTTGAACATCCATTCCTCTCCTCCTGTGGTTGATGGCTGTTAAAAGGTCTAGGGGTATCTACAGTGTAGTGTTACGGTACAGGCTACTGTACCACATTAATGTCCATCATAAACTGAACTAAGCTGATTTGCAGTATTGTATCAGTGGGGGCGTTGAAAGATTTACTCTAAACCACTAAAGGTCGCTTTAAAACTGCCAAAATGTTGCGTTAAATACTTAATTTCCGCTGCACTTTACAACAGATTTTGTTGTTGTTGACAAGACGCATCCTGAGTATGGATTGATTCGTTTGATCAAAAATATAAATGTATTTCACAGAAATACCCATACTGAGTCGAATACTGATTGACCACTGTTTTTTTTAAAGTAACGTGCAATTGTAAAAACAGACTTTGACATCTTTGGCACAACATGCTGTATGAATCGACACCGCAGATATCAGTATTAATATCGTTAAAGTGAAAGTACCTTCACGTTTAAAGTTTGAGTACCCTTTGAGGACCTCCTGTTAAGAACATTTAGTTACCCTTTTGATATATGGAGGGAATATTTCTACACAACAGTAGGTTCCGTATCCTTTCGTATTCTCTATACTACCTGTACGTATGAGCTGTGAATAGTGGGTTATGACAGGGAATTTACAAGGAAAGTATGGGTAATTCAATCGTTTTGAGGTAACTGTCTGTTCCCCTTCAAAAAAAACGTATTTGGGGTTTTAATTTTCTTATGTGTTTGAGAACCAAAAAGTAATAATCCAAAACAGTACGATGGTACAGTGTGTGTGTATATACTGAACAAAAATATAAACGCAACATGTAAAGTCTTGGTCCCATTTTTCATGAGCTGAAATAAAACATCCCAGGAATGTTCCATACGCACAAAAAGCGTATTTCTCTCGAATTTTGTGCACAAATTTGTTTACATCCCTGTTAGTGAGCATTTCTCCTTTGCCAAGATAATCCATCCACCTGACAGGTGTGGCGTATCAAGAAGCTGATTAAACAGCATGATCATTACACAGGTGCACCTTGTGCTGGGGACAATAAAAGGCCCACCCAGGCCCACCCATGGCAGTGCCCCTGCCCAGTCATGTGAAATACATAGATTAAGGCCTAATGAATTTATTTTAATTGACTGATTTCCTTCTATGAACTGTAACTCAGTAAAATCTTTGAAATTGTTGCATGTTGCGTTTTATATTGTTGTTCAGTATAGTTCTGTTAGGAGCTATAAGTCTAGAGCTGGGGTCAGTAAGAATGATTCATATCATTGACGTGTAGGCGAGTCCAGGGTTGGGGTTAATTCCATTTCAATTCCAGTCGATTTCTCTTCAATGCTTTTCAATTTGTAATTTGGTTTACTTTCTGAATTGGCTAAATTAAAATGGAATTGACCCCAAACCCTGACTGAGTCGCTCCAGTCACAGGTTGTATTCCCAAACCTGAGGCCAGTTCAGTTCTACTGAAACGCAACGTCTGGTTTCTAACCCATGTTGAGGACTTCAGGCTGACACAACGCACCAACGTTCAATAACTTGATACATCCTTAAAAGCTTTACATATGGTCCTATATATATATCTATACATGTTAATCTATATACTGATCGAATACAATACAAGTGTTCTGTTTTTCTTCCATACAAGGTACTATATGAGTAAAAACCTACGTTGGCTTCCCTGTTCAGCAGCACGACTGAACGTTCAGTGGCACATCCACATGCAGTAAAAACCTTTTGAAAATAAAGAAGTGGTTGATGTATCAGGACCTCAGTCCAGTGGCTATGATGACATGGCTGTTCATATCTGGCCTATTATACTGATGATACCAAGTTCAGCCTTGGCGATGTGTATTGCCTTCAATTCATTTTAAATAATGTTTTGCTGATTTTATGTGGGAAGAAAGAGGTGGGCACACCTGAACATAGATTATAATGCTTTCCGTTGTCTGAGTTGAGAACAACCCCATTGTGTGCACTAGACCAGGTATACACTTGAAAATCCTCAGTTTTAAGTATGTAGCAACATCTCTCTCGAAAATGCTTCCAATTCAGAATTAAATCATTGAAGTACCTTTATGACATTATAATGTCCCCCTTCAACAGATATGTTAAACACCTATCCTGGCGACTGCAATGTAGACAGAACGCCACAAATCATCTTACCTGAAGTGAGGCACACCGGTGACCTCCAATTACAATGTAACAACATACTGATGTCATTGGCTAGAAGAGGACCTCTGTCAAGAAGGGTCCAATGAGAGCTGGCCACTTCGATGATTGACAGCTGAGAGCACCAATCCCAGAATAGAGCTACTATGCAAACATGAAATGGGGCGTTGCTATCTTGAAAGCTGAAGATTGTTACCAACCAACCAAGCGGTTAACAGAGAACCGGAATGTCAAAAAAAATATCACTGATGATATCAGCAGTGTCAACGGCGTTAAATAGCTTTGTTGTCAATCTCTGCAGGTTAAGGGCTCTATTCAATCCGCGTCGCTGAAGTTCAGCTTTACAGGGTGATTAAAAATGTAAAGGGTCTGTTTCTGCTTTAAAGGAGACTGCACTGACGGTAAATGCTGCATATGGCAGCTCCAACAGAAATGACCTTCACATTTCTATCATGGAATCTGTAATGCTTCAGTTGGACAGATTGAATAGAGCGCCAGAAGGTTATTAGTTGTGTATAAGGAAATGTACAAACAAAATGTTTCATTGTATTTAGGTCAATGTATAATATTTTATCTGGTCTTTTGTAGAGAAGACATTTTGTAAAAATGTTCCTAGTGTTGTTTACACCACTGTAGGACGGGTCAGTGGATCTGATGAAATTCATAATGTACTTTTGATTGGATCTTCAGGGTCGTCTCCAACTGGAAATAAAATCACTTATACTGTGGCCAGGCGTGTGTGTTTCTACATTGGGATTAAATCACGTCGGGAATTTCCACTTAAACCGACATCCACAGCCTTGACAGTGAACGCAGTCTCTGTGAACGCCGGGGAAATTGCCTTTGAAAGACGCGTTGTCAATAGTGCATTGCGCTTGTCGACAACACACCTTTGATTGAATCCCGGCTTCCGTTTTAAATGACCCCAAAACATTTTGTTTTCATGCAACATAATTTCCAATCAACACTACACCTTTTTATTGAATATTATTTAAAAAAAAGTATTTAATTGCAGCATGGATTGTAAATACAGCATATGGATAGTTTCCTATCGTCAATACATGTTTCTGGTATCCATCTTACCCACACAAGTGTATTACATACCTACATAACACATGACACTACAATGCTGACAGTTAATGAAAGAATGGTTACATATGGGTTGTTTTAACTGGACTAGCTATTCCCCCGTTCCTGGTTATTCTAGACACAGAATAATTTCCATGAGAACTCAAGCTGCTGTATCTTTCTGCACCTGATAAACCGTTTTTTGTTGTCACTGCTGTTGTTTTTTTTAAACTCTAAAAAGAAATGACTGTTGACATTTTTACATAGAACATGGATGAACACTAAAATGGGTGTGTGTACTGTGGATGGACAACTTCTACAATTACTCCTGCACGTCAGTTCTGATAAGACTTTCTTCAGTAGGTGTGGACAGACCAACCTCTACTGCTGCTCGTCAATTCTGGTGAAAGAGACCGGCAATAGTTCAACCATGGAGGTGTCCTCTGAGTCAACAATACCTGTCTCAACATAGACAACACAATCACGTCTGTGAACAGTAACACTACGAAATCCCCTGCCTCTCTATACCGTGATGTCCATGAATGTTAGTTACTGACAACGGTACAGTTTGGCGGTGATGACTTCAATGACTTCCTGACACACCTCTTTTTTTCCTCCCTCCTCACTGTAGCATGATGTACTACAGTACCCATAATGCTCTGTGCAGTACAACACATCCGGTTTCATCTTAGTAAAAAAAAAAGACGTTCCTGAAACTAACATAATGGTGTCTGACCTCTGACCTCAGATGGAGACAGGGCAGATAATAACACGGTCCTCCAGCATCACACTGAGCACCAGGAACACAAAGTAAAGCATGAACATGGTGAGGCCCAGAACACGGCTCATCTTCCAGCGACACGCCGCGATGCTGATGATGACGAAGAGAAGCATGATGAAGAGGAGTACGATGGCACAGAACAGACCGTTGGAGTTCACCGCCACCGGCACCCCGCCTTGCATCGCCGAGAAGATCAACCATGGGACAGGCAGGCTGAGGGGGGGGGGAGTGGTGGGGGAGAAAGAGGGATGCAGAGAGGGAGAGTGAGGCGAGAGAGCGGAGGGGTGGAGACAGAGAGGGAGAGAGGAGAGTGAGAGGCAGAGAGAGCGTAGAGGTGGAGACAGAGAGAAGGAGAGAGGGAGAGAGACTTTTGAGAATAGTAACAAGACCTTGATCGTTACTACAGACCGGTTACACAGTTATAGGCATAGTGATACTCTATGGCGTGGTCATACTAACACAAGTAGTGTTTATCTAAACCCAGACTCTCGGTAGTTACAGTGTCTATACTATAGGAACTCATAGTAACCATGTGAACTGCTGAGTTTAGTGAGCATAACTAACCATGGACTGTTTTAGCATATAACATGATGATATCTCTGAAGTATGTGGTGTTTAACCCAAGTGGATGAACGAGAAGCTATCTACAATTACTCTGAGATAGTTTACAACCCAAGATTCTTGATACGTTTCTCAGTACGGTACACCAAGGTTCTACTGTGCATAGTGCATATCTGTAAATTTGAGTTACAGTGTCTATACTAACCCCATAGGATTCTCTGAGTTATATGTGTCTATACTAACCCCATAGTGATATCTCTGTAGTTATAGTGGTCTATATAACCCATAGTGATATCTCTGTAGTTATAGTGGTCTACACTAACCCCATAGTGATATCTCTATGAGCTGTAGTTATAGTGGTCTATACTAACCCCATAGTGATATTCTGTAGTTATAGTGGTCTATACTAACCCCATAGTGATATCTCTGTAGTTATAGTGGTCTATACTAACCCCATAGTGATATCTCTGTAGTTATAGTGGTCTATACTAACCCCATAGTGATATCTCTGTAGTTATAGTGGTCTATACTAACCCCATAGTGATATCTCTGTAGTTATAGTGGTCTATACTAACCCCATAGTGATATCTCTGTAGTTATAGTGGTCTATACTAACCCCATAGTGATATCTCTGTAGTTATAGTGGTCTATACTAACCCCATAGTGATATCTCTGTAGTTATAGTGGTCTATACTAACCCCATAGTGATATCTCTGTAGTTATAGTGGTCTATACTAACCCCATAGTGATATCTCTGTAGTTATAGTGGTCTATACTAACCCCATAGTGATATATCTGTAGTTATAGTGGTCTATACTAACCCCATAGTGATATCTCTGTAGTTTAGTGGTCTATACTAACCCCATAGTGATATCTCTGTAGTTATAGTGGTCTATACTAACCCCATAGTGATATCTCTGTAGTTATAGTGGTCTATACTAACCCCATAGTGATATCTCTGTAGTTATAGTGGTCTATACTAACCCCATAGTGATATCTCTGTAGTTATAGTGGTCTATACTAACCCCATAGTGATATCTCTGTAGTTATAGTGGTCTATACTAACCCCATAGTGATATCTCTGTAGTTATAGTGGTCTATACTAACCCCATAGTGATATCTCTGTAGTTATAGTGGTCTATACTAACCCATAGTGATATCTCTGTAGTTATAGTGGTCTATACTAACCCCATAGTGATATCTCTGTAGTTATAGTGGTCTATACTAACCCATAGTGATATCTCTGTAGTTATAGTGGTCTATACTAACCCCATAGTGATATCTCTGTAGTTATAGTGGTCCTATACTAACCCCATAGTGATATCTCTGTAGTTATTAGTGGTCTATACTAACCCCATAGTGATATCTCTGTAGTTATAGTGGTCTATACTAACCCCATAGTGATATCTCTGTAGTTATAGTGGTCTATACTAACCCCATAGTGATATCTCTGTAGTTATAGTGGTCTATACTAACCCCATAGTGATATCTCTGTAGTTATAGTGGTCTATACTAACCCCATAGTGATATATCTGTAGTTATAGTGGTCTATACTAACCCCATAGTGATATCTCTGTAGTTATAGTGGTCTATACTAACCCCCATAGTGATATCTCTGTAGTTATAGTGGTCCTATACTAACCCCATTAGTGATATCCTGTAGTTATATCTCTGTCGTTATGTGTCTATACTAACCCCATAGTGATATCTCTGTAGTTTATAGTGGTCTATACTAACCCCATAGTGACATCTCTGTTGTTATAGTGGTCTATACTAACCCCATAGGGGATATCTCTGTAGTTATAGTGGTCTATACTGATATCTCTGTAGTTATAGTGGTCTATACTAACCCCATAGTGATATCGAAGATGTTGGATCCCACTGAGCTGGACACAGCCATGTCTCCCAGTCCTTTACGAGCCACGATGACACTAGTGATGAGGTCAGGGATGGAGGTTCCAGCTGCCAGGATGGTCAGGCCCATGATCTCCTCTGAGATGCCTATTGTCTCACCCACCTAGGGAGCCAACAGTCAATCAATCAATCAATCAATCAATCAATCAATCTCACCCACCCACCTAGGGAGCCAACAGTCAATCAATCAATCAATCTCACCCACCTAGGGAGCCAACAGTCAATCAATCAATCATCTCACCCACCTAGGGAGCCAACAGTCAATCAATCAATCATCAATCTCACCCACCTAGGGAGCCAACAGTCAATCAATCACTCAGTTCACCCACCTAGGGAGACAAAACAGTCAAGCATCACTTCATCAAATATCACCACCCTAGGGAGCCAACAGTCAATAAATCAATCAATCAATCTCACCAACCTAGGAGCCAACAGTCAATCAATCAATCGTTCCCCACTAGGGAGCCAACAGTCAATCAATCACTCCATCAATCTCACCCACCTAGGGAAGCCAAAGTCAATCAATAATCAATCAATCTACCCACCTAGGGAGCCAACATCAAATCAATCACTCAGTCTCACCCACCTAGGGAGCCAAACAGTCCAATCAATCACTCAATCAATCTCACCCACCTAGGGAGGCAACAGTCAATCAAATCAACAATCAATCTCACCCACATAGGGAGCCAACAGTCAATCAATACATCTCACCCACCCACCTAGGGAGCCAACAGTCAATCAATCAATCAATCAATCTCACCCACCTAGGGAGCCAACAGTCAATCAATCAATCAATCTCATCACCCACCTAGGGAGCCAACAGTCAATCAATCAATCAATCAATCTCACCCACCTAGGGAGCCAACAGTCAATCAATCAATCAATCAATCTCACCCACCTAGGGAGCCAACAGCAATCAATCAATCAATCAATCTCACCCACCTAGGAGCCAACAGTCAATCAATCAATCAATCAATCTCACCCACCCACTAGGGCCAACAGTCAATCAATCATCAATCAATCTCACCCACCAGGAGCCAACAGTCAATCATACATCAATCAATCATCAACCACCCACCTAGGGAGCCAATCATCACTCAGTCAATCAATCTCACCCACCTAGGGAGCCAACAGTTAATCAATCACTCAATCAATCAATCAATCATCAGTCTCACCCAACTAGGGAGCCAACAGTCAATCAATCAATCAATAAATCTCACCCACTAGGAGCAACCGTTCAATCATCAATCAATCACACAACCCACCTAGGGAGCCACAGTCAATCAATCAATCAATAATCTCACCTCAACCCTAGGGAGCAAAGTCAATCTATCATATCACCTGGTTCAATCATCTTCACCACCTAGGGAGCCAACAGTCAATCTGATCAATCAATCAATCAAGCATCACCCTAGGGAGCCACAGTCCAACATCAATCAATAAATCTCCACCCACCTAGGAGCAAACATAATCAATCAGTCTCTCACCCACCTGGGGAGCCAACAGTCAGTCAATCATCAATCTCACCCACCTAGGGAGCCAACAGTCAATCAATCAATCAATCTCACCACCTAGGGAGCCAATCATCAATCAATCAATACTCAATCTCACCCACCTAGGACCAACGTCAATCAATCATCAATCTCACACTCAAAGCAACGTCAATCATCATCATCCACCCACCTAGTGCACTAGTAATCAGTCGATACATCTATCAAAATGTAATTGGTAGACGGAGGCCAGGATTCAATCAGCTCAGCGTTAACCCACGATAACAGACATAGCTTATCTCATAGCTTATCATTGCTTTTGTTTATAGTAGGTGGCGTCGGATGTGTTACTGCGTTGGAGTTGTCAAAACCACAAGCGGCGTCCAAAGTTATACCTATCGGATGCACTAGTAGAAATCCCATGCAGCCGCGTTAAGCTCAAACACTAAAATGTGTGATGTAATCTACACCTTGATTAGGCTGATCTAAATACTTGCTATTTTGTTGAATGATTTTCAATGTCATTATTTCTATATAACCTGCCTTACACTTTCTCCTTCTGAACTTCTAACGTGGGGGAGATATAAGGACAGGTGTGGTTTCCTGACCATGACCACAAGAGCAACCGCTCACTGATTTGACAGCTCCAACGCAGTTACACCTCCGAAATCGCCTAAACGAAAGCAATGATAAGCTACGGGTTTGTCTGTTACCTCGGGTTATCGCTGATCTTGATTGAATCCTGGCCTAAGTCAAAGAAGCACTAGACTAACAGTTTCTAAACAAGATGGAAGTCATGTGATCTAAAATCCAACAAGAGTGATACCTGATGTGCCCACCAGACCATTAGATAGGAGAACACAGCGATCCACGTGATGGAACCAATAAACGTCAAGGCAAAGTACTTTCTGGAAGCCTGAGGAAGAGAACACACAGGAAGCTCATATCAGCATACATTCTAAGATATTTTGTGTTCTACATTTTCCACCACTTTGCAGGGCACAAACACAGTACAAAAATGACATCAATGCAACACAGAAATGTACGTCATACGTACCGGGTTGCGTACGTCGGGCACAGTGAGCCACAGAGGGAACACTATGGGTAGGAGAAAGAGATATGTGGCCTGTTTACGTCTGGTGTCTGGCCATTCTAACGACAGAGGTTCCTCATTCTCTTCACCCTCTTCCTCTTCACCCTCTTCCTCATCACCCTCTTCATCATCCTCCTCGTCCTCGCTCTCTTCCTCGCTCTCGTCCTCCTCACTGCTGTCTGAGCCGTCGGACCCCCCTGCGCCCGCTGGCCCCTGGTCCTAGTGAAGAGAGAGAGAGAGGGAGAGAGGGTGAGAGAGGGTGAGAGAGGGTGAGAGAGGGAGAGAGGGTGAGAGAGGGAGAGAGGGTGAGAGCGGGTGAGAGGGTGAGAGAGGGGAGAGAGGTTGGAGAGAAGGGGAGAGAACGGTGAGAAGAGGGAGAGGGGTGAGAGAGAGAGAGAGGGAGGCAGAGAGGGTGCAGAGAGGGAGAGAGAGGGTGAGAGGGAGAGGGGAGAGGAGGTGAGAAGGGAGCAGAGGAGAGGGTGAGAGAGAGAGAGAGAGAGAGAGGGAGGGAGAGGGAGAGAGGGGGAGAGAGGGAGAGAAGAGTCTGGTGGGTAAATTAACTCTCCTCTATCTCTTTCTCTTCCTCTCTCAGTACTTCCTTCTTTCTCGCTCTCTCTATTTCTCTCTCTACCGTCTGTGCCTCTGACGGGTCTGGTTTCTCCTCCTCTTTAGGTGGAGTCTGGGAGGTCGAGGGTTTGGCCTCCTCAGTCTTATCAGGTCCACCTGAATACAGACAGAGACAAAACACAGCCAATAAGCAACAAAGTCATATGTTCACATTTACATGTTAGTCATTTAGCAGACGCTCTTATCCAGAGCCACTTACAGTAGTGAGTGCATACATTTTCATTTGTACTGGTCCCCTGTGGGAAATGAACCGACAACCCTGGCATTGCAAGTGCCATGCTCTACCAACTGAGCCACACGGGACATTTGTTCAATGTATTATTTATCTTTTTATTTATTTGACCAGTAAGTTGACTGAGAACACATTCTCATTTACAGCCACGACCTGTGGAATAGTTACAGGGGAGAGGAGGGGGGGATGAATGAGCCGATTGGGGCTGGGATGGTTAGGTGGCCATGATGAGGGCCAGATTGGACATTTTGCCAGGACACCAGGGTTAACACCTCTATCTACTCTTATGATAAGTGCCATGGGATCTTTAGTGACCACAGAGAGTCAGGACACCCATGTAATGTCCCATCCAAAAGATGGCACCCTACACAGGGCAATGTCCCCAATCACTACCATGGGGCATTGGGATCTTTTTTTTTAGACCTTCTAGTGGCCTTCCAAGGCATGTCCCTAGGGGGAGTAGCAGGGGGGAGGGGAGAGCAGGTAGCTGACTAGTGGTGGCTATTCACCAGCCTGATGGTCGGAGGGTAGAAGCTATTGGCCAGTCTTCCAGTTTTTACCATGATGCTCCTGTACTGCCTGCGTCTGAGTGACTGAAGCGGGGAGAACAGGGCGTGGCTTGGCTTGGCTGGGGTCCCTGATGATCTTCTTGGCCTTCCTGCGACACCTGGTGTTGTAGGTGTCCTGTAGGGCAGGCAGTGTGCACCCAGTGGTGCGTTCAGCTGCACGTATCACCCTCTAAAGTGCCTTGCGGTCTGCGGCGGTGGAGTCTGGGTTAACAGCCTTGCGAGGGTTAACTCTTTTGAATGACTTACATACACTACCGGGGTCAAAAGTTTTAGAACACCTACTCATTCAAGGGTTTTTCTTTATTTGTACTATTTTCTACATTGTAGAATAATAGTGAAGACATCAAAACTATGAAATAACACATATGGAATCATGTAGTAACCAAAAAAGTTTTAAACAAATCAAAATATATTTTTATATTTGAGATTCTTCAAATAGCCACCCTTTGCCTTGTTGACAGCTTTGCACACTCCTGGCATTCTCTCAACCAGCTTAACCTGGAATGCTTTTCCAACAGTCTCGAAGGAGTTCCCACATATGCTGAGCACTTGTTGGCTGCTTTTCCTTCACTCTGCGGTCCGACTCATCCCAAACAATCTCAATTTGGTTGAGGTCGGGGGATTGTGGAGGCCAGGTCATCTGATGCAGCACTCCATCACTCTCCTTCTTGGTAAAATAGCCCTTAAACAGCCTGGAGGTGTGTTGGGTCATTGTCCTGTTGAAAAATAAATGATAGTCCCACTAAGCCCAAACCAGATGGAATGTTGTATCGCTGCAGAATGCTGTGGTAGCCATGCTGGTTAAGTGTGCGTTGAATTCTAAATAAATCACAGACAGTGTCGCCAGCAAATCACCCCCACACCATAACACCTCTTCCTCCATGCTTTATGGTAGGAAATACACATGCGGAGATCATCCGTTCACCCACACCGCATCTCACAAAGACACGGCGGTTGGAACCAAAAATCTTCAATTTGGACTCCAGACCAAAGGACAAATTTCCACCGGTCTAATGTCCATTGCTCGTGTTTCTTGGTCCAAGCAGGTCTCTTCTTCTTATTGGTGTCCTTTAGTAGTGATTTCTTTGCAGCAATTCGACCATGAAGGCCTGATTCACACAGTCCCCTCTGAACAGTTGATGTTGAGATGTGTCTGTTACTTGAACTCTGTGAAGCATTTATTTGGGCTGCAATTTCTGAGGCTGGTAACTCTAATGAACTTATCCTCTGCAGCAGAGCTAACTCTGGGTCTTCAATTCCTGTGGCGGTCCTCATGAGAGCCAGGTTCATCATAGCGCTTGATGGTTTTTGCGACTGCACTTAAAGAAACTTTCAAAGTTGACTGACCTTCATGTCTTAAAGTAATGATGGATTGTCATTTCTCTTTGCTTATTTGAGCTGTTCTTGCCATAAAATGGACTTGGTCTTTTACCAAATAGGGATATCTTCTGTATACCCCCCATACCTTGTCACAACACAACGGATTGGCTCAAACACATTAAGAAGGAAAGAAATCCCACAAATTAACTTTTAAGAAGGCACACCTGTTAATTGAAATGCATTCCAGGTGACTACCTCATGAAGCTGGTTGAGAGAATGCCAAGAGTGTGCAAAACTGTCATCAAGGCAAAGTGTGGCTATTTGAAGAATCTCAAATATAAAATATATTTTGATTGGTTTAACACTTTTTTGGTTACTACATGATTCCATATCTGTTATTTCATAGTTTTGATGTCTTCACTATTATTCTACAATGTAGAAAATAGTACAAATAAAGAAAAACCCTTGAATGAGTAGGTGTTCTAAAACGTTTGACCGGTAGTGTACGTCCTCAGTGGAGCCTGTGAGCGTATCGTCCACATTGTCATCGGGGGCTCTCCTCGGCAGCTCAGGGTCATTGTGAGCGAATCATGAGAAAAAGGTGTTTAGTAGGGTGCTGTTGGTGACCGCAATGTGGCTGGCTTTCTTTTTGTAATCCGTGATCGTTAGGAGCCCCTGCCACATACGCCTTGTGTCCGACCCGCTGAATTGCTCCTCCACTAAGTCCCTATACTTGTGTTTCACCATTCTTTGATCGATCTGCGTAAGTCATATTTTTACAGTTGAACCAAACTATTTTCCCCCGGTCACCTTGCCCTGTTTAGAAGCAGCAGCTCTCTCTTTCAGTTTTCCTACAAGGCTGCTATCAATTCACGTTTTTTGATTAGGAACGTTTTGAAAGACACTATCGGTATCACGTCGGCGTATATATTGATGTTATCTCCAGAGACGACCCGGAACATATTCCAGCCCACGTGATCAAACCAGTTTTGGAGCGTGAATTCTGATTATTGGTCGGACCTGACCAACGGAACTTCCCTCTTGAGTTTTTGTTTGTAGGCGGGGAGAAGCAGGATTTGCCGAAAGGAGGACGGGAAAGGGCCTTGTACTCATGTCAAAAAGGCGTGTAGCAGTGGTCAAGAGTAGGATTTCCGCGAGTTAAACAGTCGAGGTGTTGGTAATAATTTGGGAGCACGGTTCTCAAGTTACTTTTGTTAAAGTCCCCCGCAACAATGAACACTGCCTCCGGGAATGCAGCCTCCAGTTTGTTCAGGGTCCAATGAAGATCTTTGAGAGCCTTTTTGGTGTCAGATTGGGGCAGGATGTACACAGCCATGGCAATAATCCCTGAGAACACTTTCGGAAGGTAAAAAGGGCGACATTTGATGACCAAGTATTCCTGGTTAAGATGGCGCCGACAGAGGGCGGCTCGCCTCGCGCTCCGATAAAACATTGCAGTTTTCTACTTTTCTTTGTGTGTTTTCCAGTGTTTTTCTAAAAGGTTCTTAATCAGTTTGTCTTGTGCATTACTACATACACCCGGGTAGAACTATTAGAATACGAATCGCTGGGTGCTCACCGTCCACACGACCTCCCCTGAGACGGCGAAACAATGGACTAGCTTCTTCGGCGAGGGGCCGAGCTGCTTGGGAGTCCTACAGGAGAGTAGGAAGCGAAGACGCTGATGGAGAGGCAGACGTGGTGGGGTCTTAGTGAGATGAAGACGCCGGGCGACCCGTCTTCCATTACCCAGCATACTACTGTCCTCCATTACCCAGCATACTACTGTCCTCCATTACCCAGCATACTACTGTCCTCCGTTACCCAGCATACTACTGTCCTCCATTACCCAGCATACTACTGTCCTCCATTACCCAGCATACTACTGCTACGTCTCCATTACCCAGCATACTACTGTCCTCCATTACCCAGCATACTACTGTCTCCATTACCCAGCATACTACTGTCCTCCGTTACCCATCTACTGCCCTCTACCCAGCTATCGTCCCCTTACCCACATATACTGTCCTCCATCCCAGCATACTACTGTCCTCCATTACCCCACCATACTACTGTCCTCCATTACCCAGCATACTACTGTCCTCATTACCCAGCATACTACTGTCCTCCATTACCCAGCATACTACTGTCCTCCATTACCCAGCATACTACTGTCCTCCATTACCCAGCATACTACTGTCCTCCGTTACCAGCATACTACTGTCCTCCATTACCAGCATACTACTGTCCTCCATTACCCAGCATACTACTGTCCTCCATACCCAGCATACTACTGTCCTCCATTACCCAGCATACTACTGTCCTCCATTACCCAGCATACTACTGTCCTCCATTACCCAGCATACTACTGTCCTCCATTACCCAGCATACTACTGTCCTCCATTACCCAGCATACTACTGTCCTCCATTACCCAGCATACTACTGTCCTCCATTACCCAGCATACTACTGTCCTCCATTACCCAGCATACTACTGTCCTCCATTACCCAGCATACTACTGTCCTCCATTACCCAGCATACTACTGTCCTCCATTACCCAGCATACTACTGTCCTCCATTACCCAGCATACTACTGTCCTCCATTACTCAGCATACTACTGTCCTCCATTACCCAGCATACTACTGTCCTCCATTACCCAGCATACTACTGTCCTCCATTACCCAGCATACTACTGTCCTCCCTTACCCAGCATACTACTGTCCTCCATTACCCAGCATACTACTGTCCTCCATTACCCAGCATACTACTGTCCTCCATTACCCAGCATACTACTGTCCTCCATTACCCAGCATACTACTGTCCTCCATTACCCAGCATACTACTGTCCTCCATTACCCAGCATCTACTCCTCCATACCCAGCATACTACTGTCCTCCATTACCCAGCATACTACTGTCCTCCATTACCCAGCATACTACTGTCCTCCATTACCAGCATACTACTGTCCTCCATTACCCAGCATACTACTGTCCTCCATTACCCAGCATACTTACTGTCCTCCATTACCACATACTACTGTCCTCCATTACCCAGCATACTACTGTCCTCCATTACCCAGCATACTACTGTCCTCCATTACCCAGCATACTACTGTCCTCCATTACCAGGCATACTACTGTCCTCCATTACCCAGCATACTACTGTCCTCCATTACTCAGATACTACTGTCCTCATTACCAGATACTTACTGTCCTCCATTACCCAGCATACTACTGTCCTCCATTACCCAGCATACTACTGTCCTCCATTACCCAGCATACTACTGTCCTCCATTACCCAGCATACTACTGTCCTCCATTACCCAGCATACTACTGTCCTCCATTACCCAGCATACTACTGTCCTCCATTACCCAGCATACTACTGTCCTCCATTACCCAGCATACTACTCACCAGTGTTCAATTATTAATGAACAAACTTGACGAACTCAGAGCGAGGATCTCCTTCCAGATGGACATCAGATCCTGCAACATACTCTGTTTTTCTGAGACTTGGCTTTCCTCCGACATCCAGACGGATTATATACAACCAACGGGTTTTACCGTATTTTCGAGTGGATAGGAAAGCAGGCTCTCTCTGGCTCTGCTTTATGACAACAAGTGGTGCAACGGAGGAAATGTACAGGAACTTGCGAGCTTCTGCTCCCCCGACTTGGAATACTTGGTCATCAAATGTTGCCCTTTTTACAAGGTGGTATGCTGCTAGCTTTTATTATTATTATATTAAAGGCCTATGTCATATGCCGAAAACTGTGTAACTAAAGATTAACGAACCATGAATCATGGTGATTTTAAAGACGATTACCCCTTCCACTGACACACACGCGCGAAGGGCCCCATCTGCATGTTCATTTCAGTGTTGATTGGGTCTGTGTTAAGGCCCCTCCAGTATGTGGTTGTCATAACCCTGAGAGACTGTAATTGCCTGGACCACTGAAGGACCTCATTAGACCACGCACGCACGCCACACACACACATTGAGATGCCCAATGATTACAAGGGCACAAACCCAAATCAGCCCCACCACCACCCCTGCTCCCATCAAGCACAAATCAATCCAGAGATGGTAGACCGACCACATTAACAGCACACCTGTCTGTATCAATGTACCAACTTTCCAGTTATTACACACTAACAACACCAACACACCCCACTAGGAGTCACACCAACACACCACACTAGGAGTCACACCAACACACCACACTAGGAGTCACACCAACACACCACACTAGGAGTCACACCAACACACCCCACTAGGAGTCACACCAACACACCACACTAGGAGTCACACCAACACACCACACTAGGAGTCACACCAACACACCACACTAGGAGTCACACCAACACACCACACTAGGAGTCACACCAACACACCCCACTAGGAGTCACACCAACACACCACACTAGAAGTCACACCAACACACCCCACTAGGAGTCACACCAACACACCCCACTAGGAGTCACACCAACACACCACACTAGGAGTCACACCAACACACCCCACTAGGAGTCACACCAACACACCCCACTAGGAGTCACACCAACACACCCCACTAGGAGTCACACCAACACCACCCCACTAGGAGTCAGACCAACACACCCCACTAGGAGTCAGACCAACACACCCCACTAGGAGTCACACCAACACACCCCACTAGGAGTCACACCAACACACCCCACTAGGAGTCACACCAACACACCCCACTAGGAGTCACACCAACACACCACACTAGGAGTCAGACCAACACACCACACTAGGAGTCACACCCAACACACCACACTAGGAGTCACACCAACACACCCCACTAGGAGTCACACCAACACACCCCACTAAGAGTCACACCAACACACCACACTAGGAGTCACACCAACACACCACACTAGGAGTCATACCAACATCCACACTAGGAGTCACACCAAACTAGGAGTCACACCAAACTAGGAGTCACACCACACTAGGAGTCACACCACACTAGGAGTCACACCACCACACCACACTAGGAGTCACACCACACTAGGAGTCACACCAACACACCACACTAGGAGTCACACCAACACACCCCACTAGGAGTCACACCAACACACCCCACTAGGAGTCACACCAACACACCCCACTAGGAGTCACACCAGCACACCCCACTAGGAGTCACACCACACTAGGAGTCACACCAACACACCACACTAGGAGTCATACCAACATCCACACTAGGAGTCACACCAAACTAGGAGTCACACCAAACTAGGAGTCACACCACACTAGGAGTCACACCACACTAGGAGTCACACCACCACACCACACTAGGAGTCACACCACACTAGGAGTCACACCAACACACCACACTAGGAGTCACACCAACACACCCCACTAGGAGTCACACCAGCACACCCCACTAGGAGTCACACCACACTAGGAGTCACACCAACACACCACACTAGGAGTCACACCAACACACCACACTAGGAGTCACACCAACACACCACACTAGAGTCCACACCACACTAGGAGTCACACCAACACACCACCACTAGGAGTCACACCACACTAGGAGTCACACCAACACACCCACACTAGGAGTCACACCAAACACACCACACTAGGAGTCACACCACCACACCACACTAGGAGTCACACCACACTAGGAGTCACACCAACACACCACACTAGGAGTCACACCACACTAGGAGTCACACCAACACACCACACTAGGAGTCACACCAACACACCACACTAGGAGTCACACCACCACACCCCACTAGGAGTCACACCAACACACCACACTAGGAGTCACACCACACTAGGAGTCACACAACACACCACACTAGGAGTCACACCACACTAGAGTCACACCAACCACACCACACTAGGAGTCACACCAACACACCCCACTAGGAGTCACACCAACACACCACACTAGGAGTCACACCAACACACCCCACTAGGAGTCACACCCCACTAGGAGTCACACCAACACACCCCACTAGGAGTCACACCAACACACCCCACTAGGAGTCACACCAACACACCCCACTAGGAGTCACACCAACACACCCCACTAGGAGTCACACCAATACACCCCACTAGGAGTCACACCAACACACCCCACTAGGAGTCACTCCAACACACCACATATAGTGAAGAAGGAAACCAAGAGCAGGACTGACAGCCATTGTTCTGTTAATGGATCTCACCTCTGGGTCTGTTTCCATAGACTTACAACACCGTCACACAACATAAAGCATAGCCTGGATCTCACCTATAGGTCTGCAGTGTGTCCTGAGGTCTACCTTCCCTCTGGCTGCTGGGTTCAGCGGTTCAGGCTTCACTCTATTCCTCACTGCAATATGAGACAGGAGCTCCCTCATACAATGTACATAATGTATACTCCCTCATACAATGTACATAATGTATACTCCCTGATACAATTTAAATACAGTCCAATTTACAAGCTGCATCACAATAACAAGAAAGATCCGTGCATCCTGATACGACGTACAGCTGACTTTGAGCTGTTTAAAAATGTCTGGGACTGTTTCTCATCAACGGCAGGTCAAGAAAGACAACATGATACGTTTGCATGCCTCGAAGAGCAACATGACCAAGAAATAGTGCAAACACAAACAAAAGCAATCACAACCAGAAGCAAACACAATCAAAAGCAATCGCAACCAGAAGCAAACAATCGCAACCAGAAGCAAACACGATTAAAAGCAATCACAACCAGAAGCAAACACAATCAAAAGCAATCGCAACCAGAAGCAAACACGATCAAAAGCAATCACAACCAGAAGCAAACACAATCAAAAGCAATCCCAACCAGAAGCAAACACGATCAAAAGCAATCACAACCAGAAGCAAACACAATCAAAAGCAATCACAACCAGAAGCAAACACAATCAAAATACTTTTACAAGCCACAGGGATAATTGTGAGACACATAACTCCGTTGCAGAGTAGCACCGAAACATCCATGCATAACAGGTAGACATGTCGTAGCTCTAACACAAAGCCTCACTAACAACACCAAGACAAAGACACCACACAAAGCCTCACTAACAACACCAAGACAAAGACACCACACAAAGCCTCACTAACAACACCAAGACAAAGACACCACACAAAGCGCAAAGAGAACCCGTAGTAACGAACGTAACTAGAACATACAAAACATGACGACAACATCCACCAAACGCAACGTGTATACAGAATGTTAAGAGTATACATTCGCAGAACGTAACCCAGTCGTGCACCAAACATAACGACAATGTTCCCGGTTGACCTTACCTTTCCCTTGCACTGACACCTCAGTCCTGACCTCCCCATTAAAGGCTGTTGTTTCTAATTGGCAGAGATACGGCAGGAAAGTGACTAGTTACCACAGAGACACAACATATCCACCCGCTGCCTCGTGTAGAGTAATGTATGACGAAATATGAGCAGAGTCATTGACACAACCCAAGTTACTGTACCACACAAACAAAACACAACCACTTCCTCATAATATTGTATGACTGAAAATGAGCTGAGCACGCATGAACACACTGTCATCCTCTTCTATGGAAGACTGAGATGCAGTTGAGATGAGAAAGTCTGTTTTGGAGAGACAGTAGACTGTAGATGAGGAGATATTCAGTAACTCTTGGTAAGACAATGGAAGTTGGAGTGATAGATAGTAGACTATGTACTAAAAATGGAAAACCCCTTCAGAAGGGCTGGCATGACGTGACAATACAGGGTGACATCATAAGGAGGAGGTGACAGGGTGACATCATAAGGAGGAGGTGACACGTTGACTTGCCTCTTACCTTGTCTAACTCTCCTCTGGCCAGGGCCTCTAACATCTCTGCTAAAGCCCGTCTCTAGAATAGAGGGGACGATGGAAGACACCATAGAATTACACATTACAACTCATTTCATAGGATTTCTGTGGGAGAGACATTCAGTCAAAAAAATCTGTAGTTACCAATTCCCCAAGTCCCCTGACATTCAGAGCTATGGTGTGGAGTGCCCAGTAGAGCAGCGCTCTCCAAACCTGGTCCTGGAGAGATCGGATTCAAAAGCCTCTCAACACCTTGGCGCTACCTTACACTAGAGTCCCATGTTGTATGATACGTCAAGAGCAGAGGTCAAGTCCACCTGTGTTCCTGGATTACAGGGATGTGACTGTCCTGTTCTGTCCTGTACTGGAGTGACCTTCACTGAGTCCCCTCCCTCCCAGCACTCTGATCCTTAATCAGCTTTCAATACAGGCTAATAAAAGCTGGATAAGAGCCAGCCTCTGGCCGACCAATCTCTTTATCTCAATAGCACTAGCTCTAGGCCTCTCGTTGTACTGGACTGTGTGTGTCACTGAGTTAACAGTCTGATGCTGCTGTGAAGCTGAGCTAACAGTCTGATGCTGCTGTGAAACTGAGCTAACAGTCTGATGCTGCTGTGAAACTGAGCTAACAGTCTGATGCTGCTGTGAAACTAACAGTCTGATGCTGCTGTGAAGCTAACAGTCTGATGCTGCTGTGAAACTGAACTAACAGTCTGATGCTGCTGTGAAACTGAACTAACAGTCTGATGCTGCTGTGAAACTGAACTAACAGTCTGATGCTGCTGTGAAGCTGAGCTAACAGTCTGATGCTGCTGTGAAGCTGAGCTAACAGTCTGATGCTGCTGTGAAACTGAACTAACAGTCTGATGCTGCTGTGAAGCTGAGCTAACAGTCTGATGCTGCTGTGAAGCTGAGCTAACAGTCTGATGCTGCTGTGAAGCTGAGCTAACAGTCTGATGCTGCTGTGAAGCTGAGCTAACAGTCTGATGCTGCTGTGAAGCTGAACTAACAGTCTGATGCTGCTGTGAAGCTGAACTAACAGTCTGATGCTGCTGTGAAGCTAAGCTAACAGTCTGATGCTGCTGTGAAGCTAACAGTCTGATGCTGCTGTGAAGCTAAGTTAACAGTCTGATGCTGCTGTGAAACTGAACTAACAGTCTGATGCTGCTGTGAAGCTAACAGTCTGATGCTGCTGTGAAGCTGAACTAACAGTCTGATGCTGCTGTGAAACTGAACTAACAGTCTGATGCTGCTGTGAAGCTGAACTAACAGTCTGATGCTGCTGTGAAGCTGAACTAACAGTCTGATGCTGCTGTGAAACTGAACTAACAGTCTGATGCTGCTGTGAAACTGAACTAACAGTCTGATGCTGCTGTGAAGCTGAGCTAACAGTCTGATGCTGCTGTGAAGCTGAGCTAACAGTCTGATGCTGCTGTGAAACTGAACTAACAGTCTGATGCTGCTGTGAAGCTAACAGTCTGATGCTGCTGTGAAGCTAAGTTAACAGTCTGATGCTGCTGTGAAACTGAACTAACAGTCTGATGCTGCTGTGAAGCTAACAGTCTGATGCTGCTGTGAAGCTGAACTAACAGTCTGATGCTGCTGTGAAGCTGAACTAACAGTCTGATGCTGCTGTGAAGCTGAACTAACAGTCTGATGCTGCTGTGAAGCTAAGCTAACAGTCTGATGCTGCTGTGAAACTGAACTAACAGTCTGATGCTGCTGTGAAGCTAACAGTCTGATGCTGCTGTGAAGCTGAACTAACAGTCTGATGCTGCTGTGAAGCTGAACTAACAGTCTGATGCTGCTGTGAAGCTGAACTAACAGTCTGATGCTGCTGTGAAGCTGAACTAACAGTCTGATGCTGCTGTGAAACTGAACTAACAGTCTGATGCTGCTGTGAAGCTAAGCTAACAGTCTGATGCTGCTGTGAAGCTGAACTAACAGTCTAATGCTGCTGTGAAGCTAAGCTAACAGTCTGATGCTGCTGTGAAACTGAACTAACAGTCTGATGCTGCTGTGAAGCTAACAGTCTGATGCTGCTGTGAAGCTGAGCTAACAGTCTGATGCTGCTGTGAATCTGAACTAACAGTCTGATGCTGCTGTGAAGCTGAACTAACAGTCGGATGCTGCTGTGAAGCTGAACTAACAGTCTGATGCTGCTGTGAAGCTGAGCTAACAGTCTGATGCTGTTGTGAAACTGAACTAACAGTCTGATGCTGCTGTGAAGCTGAACTAACAGTCTGATGCTGCTGTGAAGCTGAACTAACAGTCTGATGCTGCTGTGAAGCTGAACTAACAGTATGATGCTGCTGTGAAGCTGAGCTAACAGTCTGATGCTGCTGTGAAACTGAACTAACAGTCTAATGCTGCTGTGAAGCTAAGCTAACAGTCTGATGCTGCTGTGAAACTGAACTAACAGTCTGATGCTGCTGTGAAGCTAACAGTCTGATGCTGCTGTGAAGCTGAGCTAACAGTCTGATGCTGCTGTGAATCTGAACTAACAGTCTGATGCTGCTGTGAAGCTGAACTAACAGTCTGATGCTGCTGTGAAGCTGAACTAACAGTCTGATGCTGCTGTGAAGCTGAGCTAACAGTCTTATGCTGTTGTGAAACTGACTAACATCTGATACTGCTGTGAAGCTGAAACTAACGTCTGAATGCTGCTGTGAAGCTGAACTAACAGTCTGATGCTGCTGTGAAGCTGAACTAACAGTCTGATGCTGCTGTGAAGCTGAACTAACAGTATGATGCTGCTGTGAAACTGAGCTAACAGTCTGATGCTGCTGTGAAACTGAGCTAACAGTCTGATGCTGCTGTGAAACTAACAGTCTGATGCTGCTGTGAAGCTAACAGTCTGATGCTGCTGTGAAACTGAACTAACAGTCTGATGCTGCTGTGAAACTGAACTAACAGTCTGATGCTGCTGTGAAACTGAACTAACAGTCTGATGCTGCTGTGAAGCTGAGCTAACAGTCTGATGCTGCTGTGAAGCTGAGCTAACAGTCTGATGCTGCTGTGAACTGAACTAAACAGTCTGATGCTGCTGTGAAGCTGAGCTAACAGTCTGATGCTGCTGTGAAGCTGAGCTAACAGTCTGATGCTGCTGTGAAGCTGAGCTAACAGTCTGATGCTGCTGTGAAGCTGAGCTAACAGTCTGATGCTGCTGTGAAGCTGAACTAACAGTCTGATGCTGCTGTGAAGCTGAACTAACAGTCTGATGCTGCTGAAGCTAAGCTAACAGTCTGATGCTGGGTGTGGAAGCTAACAGTCTGATGCTGCTGTGAAGCTAATTAACAGTCTGATGCTGCTGTGAAACTGAACTAACAGTCTGATGCTGCTGAAGGGTAACAGTCTGATGCTGCTGTGAAGCTGAACTAACAGTTCTGATGCTGCTGTGAACTGAACTAACAGTCCTGATGCTGCTGTGAAGCTGAACTAACAGTCTGATGCTGCTGTGAAGCTGAACTAACAGTCTGATGCTGCTGTGAACTGAACTAACAGTCTGATGCTGCTGTGAAACTGACTAACAGTCTGATCTGCTGTGAAGCTGACTAACAGTCTGATGCTGCTGTGAAGCTGAAACTAACAGTCTGATGCTGCTGTGAAACTGAACTAACATTCTGATGCTGCTGTGAGCAAGTCTGAGCGTGTGAAACTAGTAACAGTCTGATGCTGCTGTGAAACTGAACTAACATCTGATGCTGCTGTGAAGCTAACAGTCTGATGCTGCTGTGAAGCTGAACTAACAGTCTGATGCTGCTGTGAAGCTGACTAACAGTCTGATGCTGCTGTGAAGCTGACTAACAGTTTTGATGCTGCTGTGAAGCTAACTAACAGTCTGATGCTGCTGTGAAACTGAACTAACAGTCTGATGCTGCTGTGAAGTTAACAGTCTGATGCTGCTGTGAAGCTGAACTAACAGTCTGATGCTGCTGTGAAGCTGAACTAACAGTCTGATGCTGCTGTGAAGCTGAACTAACAGTCTGATGCTGCTGTGAAGCTGAACTAACAGTCTGATGCTGCTGTGAAACTGAACTAACAGTCTGATGCTGCTGTGAAGCTGCTAACAGTCTGATGCTGCTGTGAAGCTGAACTAACAGTCTAATGCTGCTGTGAAGCTAAGCTAACAGTCCTGATGCTGCTGTGAAACTGAACTAACAGTCTGATGCTGCTGTGAAGCTAACAGTCTGATGCTGCTGTGAAGCTGAGCTAACAGTCTGATGCTGCTGTGAATCTGAACTAACAGTCTGATGCTGCTGTGAAGCTGAACTAACAGTCTGATGCTGCTGTGAAGCTGAACTAACAGTCTGATGCTGCTGTGAAGCTGAGCTAACAGTCTGATGCTGTTGTGAAACTGAACTAACAGTCTGATGCTGCTGTGAAGATGAACTAACAGTCTGATGCTGCTGTGAAGCTGAACTAACAGTCTGATGCTGCTGTGAAGCTGAACTAACAGTATGATGCTGCTGTGAAGCTGAGCTAACAGTCTGATGCTGCTGTGAAACTGAACTAACAGTCTGATGCTGCTGTGAAATTAACAGTCTGATGCTGCTGTGAAGCTAACAGTCTGATGCTGCTGTGAAGCTGAGCTAACAGTCTGATGCTGCTGTGAAACTAAGCTAACAGTCTGATGCTGCTGTGAACTGAGCTAACAGTCTGATGCTGCTGTGAAACTGAACTAACAGTCTGATGCTGCTGTGAAGCTGAACTAACAGTCTGATGCTGCTGTGGAAACTGAACTAACAGTCTGATGCTGCTGTGAAGCTAAGCTAACAGTCTGATGCTGCTGTGAATCCTGAACTAACAGTCTAATGCTGCTGTGAAGCTAAGCTAACAGTCTGATGCTGCTGTGAAACTGAACTAACAGTCTGATGCTGCTGTGAAAGCTAACAGTCTGATGCTGCTGTGAAGCTGAGCTAACAGTCTGATGCTGCTGTGAATCTGAACTAACAGTCTGATGGCTGCTGTGAAGCTGAACTAACAGTCTGATGCTGCTGTGAAGCTGAACTAACAGTCTGATGCTGCTGTGAAGCTGAGCTAACAGTCTGATGCTGTTGTGAAACTGAACTAACAGTCTGATGCTGCTGTGAAGCTGAACTAACAGTCTGATGCTGCTGTGAAGCTGAACTAACAGTCTGATGCTGCTGTGAAGCTGAACTAACAGTATGATGCTGCTGTGAAGCTAAGCTAACAGTCTGATGCTGCTGTGAAACTGAACTAACAGTCTGATGCTGCTGTGAAATTAACAGTCTGATGCTGCTGTGAAGCTAACAGTCTGATGCTGCTGTGAAGCTGAGCTAACAGTCTGATGCTGCTGTGAAACTAAGCTAACAGTCTGATGCTGCTGTGAAACTGAGCTAACAGTCTGATGCTGCTGTGAAACTGAACTAACAGTCTGATGCTGCTGTGAAGCTAAGCTAACAGTCTGATGCTGCTGTGAAACTGAACTAACAGTCTGATGCTGCTGTGAAGCTGAACTAACAGTCTGATGCTGCTGTGAAGCTGAACTAACAGTCTGATGCTGCTGTGAAGCTGAGCTAACAGTCTGATGCTGTTGTGAAACTGAACTAACAGTCTGATGCTGCTGTGAAGCTGAACTAACAGTCTGATGCTGCTGTGAAGCTGAACTAACAGTCTGATGCTGCTGTGAAGCTGAACTAACAGTATGATGCTGCTGTGAAGCTAAGCTAACAGTCTGATGCTGCTGTGAAACTGAACTAACAGTCTGATGCTGCTGTGAAGCTAAATTGATGCTGCTGTGAAGCTAACAGTCTGATGCTGCTGTGAAGCTATAACATCTGATGGCTGCTGTGAAACTAAGCTAAACAGTCTGATGCTGTGAAACTGAGCTAACATCTGATGCTGTGTGAAACTGAACTAACAGTCTGATCTGCTGTGAAGCTAAGCTACAGTCTGATGCTGCTGTGAAACTGAACTAACAGTCTGATGCTGCTGTGAAGCTGAACTAACAGTCTGAATGCTGGGTGTGAAGCGAACTAACAGTCTGATGCTGCTGTGAACTGAACTAACAGTCTGATGCTGCTGTGAAGCTGACTAACCAGTCGATGCTGCTGTGAAACTGAACTAACAGTCTGATGCTGCTGTGAAGCAAGCTAAGTCTGATGCCCGCTGTGAAACTGAACTAAAACAGTCTATGTCTGTGAAGCTGAACTAACGTCTGATGCTGCTGTAATGAACTAACATCTGATGCTGCTGTGAAGCTGAACTAACAGTCCCGATGCTGCTGTGAAGCTGAACTAACAGTCTGATGCTGCTGTGAAGCTGAACTAACAGTCTGATGCTGCTGTGAAACTGAACTAACAGTCTGATGCTGCTGTGAAGCTAAGCTAACAGTCTGATGCTGCTGTGAAACTGAACTAACAGTCTGATGCTGCTGTGAAGCTAACAGTCTGATGCTGCTGTGAAGCTGAACTAACAGGCTGATGCTGCTGTGAACTGAACTAACAGTCTGATTGCTGCTGTGAAGCTGAACTAACAGTCTGATGCTGTTGTTGAAGCTGAACTAACAGCCTGATGCTGCTGTGAAGCTGAACTAACAGTCTGATGCTGCTGTGAAGCTGAGCTAACAGTCTGATGCTGCTGTGAAACTGAACTAACAGCCTGATGCTGCTGTGAAACTGAGCTAACAGTCTGATGCTGCTGTGAAGCTGAACTAACAGTCTGATGCTGCTGTGAAACTGAACTAACGTCGATGCTGCTGTGAAACTGAGCTAACAGTCTGATGCTGCTGTGAAGTTAACAGTCTGATGCTGCTGTGAAGCTGAACTAACAGTCTGATGATACTGTGAAGCTACAAGGAACTATTTTGACTGGTGTCATCAACCTTTGTCCTTTGAGAGAATTACAGGGCGAGCAGGTTTTATTTAAAGCTGAAGGTAGAAGGTCCCTGTGGCAGTAATCAACAATATAACTCCTCATGTAGACCTTTATGAGGGTATAGTGAATGTAGAAGGTCCCTGTGGCAGTAATGACAAACTAATAGGTATAATACATAGTTCAGTAGCTCCTCCCAGGGGTCATAGCTTCCTTGTCCCTGGTACTGTACAGGAAGGACCATAGATTAGGACCATAGATTAGGACCATAGATTAGGACCATAAATTAGGACCATAAATTAGGACCATAGATTAGGAACATAGTTTAGGACCATAGATTAGGACCATGGATTAGGACCATATATTAGGACCATAAATTAGGACCATGGATTAGGAACATAGTTTAGTACCATAGATTAGGAACATAGTATTAGGACCATGGATTAGGACCATAGATTAGGACCATAGATTAGGACCATAGTTTAGGAACATAGTTTAGTACCATAGATTAGGACCATGGATTAGGACCATAGTTTAGTACCATAGATTAGGACCATAGTTTAGTACCATAGATTAGGACCATAATAGGACCATATTAGGACCATAGATTAGGAACTATAGTTTAGGACCATAGATTAGGAACATAGTTTAGTACCATGGATTAGGACCATGGATTAGGACCATAGTTAGTACCATTTAGTGACCATAGATTAGGACCATGGATTAGGACCATGGATTAGGACATAGTTTAGTACCATAGATTAGGACCATGGATTAGGACCATAGTTAGGACCATAATAGGACCTGATTAGACATATATTAGGAACATAGTTTGACCATGGATTAGGACCATGTTAGGACCATAGTTTAGGAAATAGTTTAGTACCATAGATTAGGACCATGGATTAGGACCATGGATTAGGACCATAGTTTAGTACCATAGATTAGGACCATGGATTAGGACCATGGATTAGGACCATAGCGGTCCCTGTAATAAGAAAGATTGATATAAAGTCCAGTACCTTCTCCCAGGGGGTCCAGTGTGTGGATCATCAGCTGGAAGATGGTGTTTCTGTTGGTGCTGTTGTGGAGAGACGCATTACTGCCTCCTCTCTGGAGAGTGGGCTTCACCTGGGACAGAACACACACACAAACAGGGTTGAAGCCACGGCAGATTACGGCAGGTTACATTCAGGTAAATACCTTTTTTGCTGGTCACTATGACATCTAAGAAACAATCCTTTTACAATCAGTATACAACCTGATCATGACATCACAATCAAAGAGTGTTGAGACCTTCAACTGTTCTCTGTCTCTCTTCTGGGGTGAGTCTTGAGGTTGTGGTTTGGGCTCTGGTGAAACATTGTTTTGGGGTGGATCAGGTTGTGGAGGTCCACTGTTCTGCTGCAAATACAGGAATACTTTACTACACATGAGCAATAGGAACCGGAGAGAGGAGAAAAGGTATACTTTTAAAGCACTACCCAGTGGGCCAAATGTATTGAATGTCTTTTCATGGTCAGGTTGTATTCTGATTGTAAAAAAGGAAGGGTTTCTTGTCCTTTTCGTAGTCCTGAAAAAAGTATGTTGTTTCAACCAGAAAATAATGTCTTTATGACATCCCATGCCAACATTTGCCCGCTGGGTAAAGGCTGCATAATGGGTGTCTAATGATGGGCATAATACATGATTATAACAACACTGATATTAGCGAGAACAGGTAACTTCCAAAATAAAGGAAACACCAACATAAAGTGTCTTAATAGGGCGTTGGGCCACCACGAGCCGGAACAGCTTCAATGGCATAGATTCTACAAGTGTCTGGAACTCTATTGGAGGGATGCGACACCATTTTCCCACGAGAAATTCCATCATTTGGTGTTTTGTTGATGGTGGTGGAAAACGCTCTCTCAGGCGCCGCTCCAGAATCTCCCATAAGTGTTCAACTGTGTTGAGATCTGGTGACTGAGACGGCCATGGCATATGGTTTACATCATTTTCAAACCATTCAGTGACCACTCCTGCCCTGTGGATGGGGGCATTGTCATCCTATGGGGGACATGGCCATGCTAGCCAAAATAATGGCCTGCCCAGCATTTTTAGACATGACCCTAAGAATGATGGGATGTTAATTGCATAACTAACTCAGGAACCACACCTGTGTGGAAGCACCTGCTTTCAATATACTTGATATCCCTCATTTACTCAAGCGTTTCCTTTATTTTAGCAGTTACCTGTAGCTGAGTGTTGATAGCTTCATGGATACACTACTTCAAGTGCATCTAAGGTCATGATTAAAAGGTTAAAATATACCTACTGGGATTCTATGAGTTGCCTACACCAGTATCAACCGTGTGCACCTGCATGTCATCTTCTTAGCAACCCCACACCAACACCCACCATCATACCAGTCAAGATAATAATAATAATAATAATAATAATATGCCATTTAGCAGACGCTTTTATCCAAAGCGACTTACAGTCATGCGTGCATACATTTTTGTGTATGTGACACTGTGGATCTGTCCCAATTGACACCCTATTCCCTATATAGCACACTACTTTTGATCAGAGCCCTATGGGGAATAGGGTGCCATTTGGGACACAACCCTGGAAAAGTTATTAGCATATAAAATCACATTCAACCATTTCTCTGCTGAAAAAATAAAATAAAATGACAACCCAGATGCTTTACATAATCATTTAAGACACCCCCGGACAAGCAGGGGCGTGGAGACTCTAGGTTCCAAATGGCACCCTATACCCTTTATAGTGCACTACTTTAGACCAGGGCCCACAAGGAATAGGGTAGAGAGTAGGGTGCCATCTGGGTACCCATCAGCCTAGATGTGAAGGGCTCTAAAATGCAAACGCCCCAAATGACCCAATTTCATTAATTTAGTGCAGCGCCATGCTTCTTCCACACTCAGCGCCTGATTGCAGGAGTATTGTCCTGAGTGTGTGTTGTAGATTGTGTGTTGTGTGTTTGCTGGAGAGAGTGTGTTGGGGTGTGTGGTGTTGTGTGTGCTGGAGTGTGTGTGTTGGGTGTGTGTTGTGTGTGCTGGAGAGTGTGTTGTAAAGATCCTATTAAATTACTAGAGGGGCTATGTAATAAACCCTCGAAGTTCCAGAATGGGGTGAAAATGGCAGCCATATTGGTCAGGGAGAAGTCCAAACCTGTCTAATTGGAATGAATGGCAGTAGAGGTATCATCCTGATTTTCAACAAAGGCATGCAACATATCCGAAATTGTGTAATAGAATTATTGTCAACCTAAAATAATGTCATATAATCATCAAAACAGTTTATATGGGTTTTCTACAAATGTTCTGTATAAATAGCCTCTAAAACATATATAAACAGACCATAAATGAGTGCTATTATATCCTAAGTACGATCATCAACTGATTTCAGCCAGTGTATGGCTCTGGATTGACTGCATTGTTTGAATGCAATGTTGGCATATTGGCAGTTAAAAATGAATGGAATCATTCCTCTAAAGCTGGCTGGCTAGCTAGCTAAAAATGTACAGTGCAGATAAATTCTTCACATTCATTATTTTACACAATATCTTATCACAGCACTGGAAAACCATGGCTGGCCAACTCCCTGACCAAAATGGCTGACCTTTATTACATCATAAGACTAGTATTCTAATTCCTAATTCTAATCTAACAACCCTGGCAGGGGCATGTGGTACGCCAGTGGTTGTGTGTGCTGGAGAGTGTGTTGTAGGTGTGTGTGTGTGTGTGTGTGTGTGTGTGTGTGTGTGTGTGTGTGTGTGTGTGTGTGTGTGTGTGTGTGTGTGTGTGTGTGTGTGTGTGTGTGTGTGTGTGTGTGTGTGTGTGTGTGTGTGTGTGTGTGTGTGTGTGTGTGTGTGTGTGTGTGTGTGTGTGTGGCAAATTAAACAAAATATGCTGGTTAGTTAGCTCTGTTGTCAAGGGCCATTGAAAAACAAACGCTATCATTTTGCATAATGTAACATGTAGGCTAAATATGAAGCTTTGACAACTGAAGAATGGTATACTGTGTGGTAGTCAGTGCCTGTGTGTTTAACACAGGAAGTTGCTGAGGGGAGGACGGCTCATAATAATGGCTGGAACGGAGCGGATGGAATGGCATCAAAACAAATCAAATCAAATGTTATTTGCCACATGCGCCGAATACAACAGGTGAAAACCTTACAATGATATGCTTACTTACAAGCCCTTAACCAACCACGCAGTTTTAAGAAAAAACTAACTAACCAGTATATTTTGTTTCAAGGGTTGTGGGCTCGCTGGAGGTCGCCCCCATAGAATGGGGCCCCGTGACGCTCAGTTGGTAGAGCATGGCGCTTGCAACGCCAAGGTTGTGGGTTCGATTCCCACGGGGGGCCAGTATAAAAATTGTATGCACTCACTAACTGTAAGTCGCTCTGGATAAGAGCGTCTGCTAAAATGACTAAAATGTAAAAAATAGATAAGTAAAAAATAAATATTTATAAATATTAAAAGCAGCAGTAAAATAAAATAACAGTAGGGAGGCTATATACAGGGGGTACAGGTACAGAGTCAATGTGCGGGGGCACCGGTTAGTCGAGGTAATTGAGGTAATATGTACATGTGGGTAGAGTTAAAGTGACTATGCATAAATAATTAACAGAGTAGCAGCAGCGTAAAATAGTCCGGGTAGCCATGATTAGCTGTTCAGGAGTCTTATGGCTTGGGGATAGAAGCGGTTAAGAAGCCTTTTGGACCTAGACTTGGCGCTCCGGTACCGCTTGCCGTGCGGCAGCAGAGAGAACAGTCTATGACTAGGGTGGCTGGAGTCTTTTGACCATTTTTAGGGCCTATCCTCAAACCACGTGTTTAATGTAATAGATACCATTCCACTGATTCCGCTCCAGCCATTACCACGAGCCCCGTCCTCCCCAATGAAGGTGCCACCAAACCTCCTGTGGCGTTGAAGTGGGGTCGGTGCTATTGGTTTCTACTGGTCTGGACAATACATCCCTGCTACAGCTTTGACTGCCAAAGAATATATAATGAAACAGAGAGAATTCATATTCAGATAAACGCGGCTAAGCGCTGTACGGTGAGGGGCACCAGGTGTGTGGTTTGGATGAATAATAAGCTACTCCAGCGTGACCAGTGACAAACTGATGGCTGACATTACTTTACATCTCATCAGCATTACATCACCCCCCCCCGTCTTCCCGTCCTGTCCACCCCCTGACCCATACTCCCCTACGCTGGGCTCTGACACCTGGGATCCTTTCAGGGATTCAGTCCCAATCATCAAAAGGCTGCCTTGCCTGGCTGCCACACAAACACACATTCTCTATGAGCTGCACAAAGGGCTGATGAATAAACACAGGCTCAAATGACAGCCAAGTGGATCAACCATTCCTTGTCTCTCGTGGACTGGACCAGAGACGGTCTCTGTCCTGGGTGATATTGCAATGGGCTCTTCTAGTATTTTTATTTCCTGATAATTGTTTTTTGGTGGAGTTTTTCTTTGTCTGTGTGTCTGTCTGTGTGTCTGTCTGTCTGTCTGTCTGTCTGTCAGCCACTCTGTTTGTCTGCCTGCCTGCCTGCCTGTCTGTCTGTCTGTCTCTCTGTCTCTCTGTCTCTCTGTCTCTGTCAGCCACTCTGTTTGTCTGCCTACCTGCCTGTCTGTCTGTGTGTCTGTGTGTCTGTCTGTCTGCCTACCTGCCTGTCTGTCTGTGTGTCTGTGTGTATGTCTGTCTGCCTGCCTGCCTGTCTGTCTGTCTGTGTGTCTGTGTGTCTGTCTGTCTGCCTGCCTGCCTGCCTGTCTGTCTGTCTGTGTGTCTGTCTGTGTGTCTGTGTGTCTGTCTGTCTGTCTGCCTGCCTGTGTGTCTGTGTGTCTGTCTGTCTGCCTGCCTGCCTGCCTGTCTGTCTGTCTGTGTGTCTGTGTTCCTTCTGTCCTGCCTGCCTGCCTGCCTGCCCCGTCTGTCTGTCTGTCTGTCTGTCTGTCTGTCTGTTGTCTGTCTGTCTGTCTGTCGTCTGTCTGTCTGCGGTTCTGTCGGTCCCTGCCTGCCTGCCTGCCTGTCTGTCTGTCTGTCTGCTGTCTGTCTGTCTGTCTGTCTGTCTGTCTGGCTGTGTGTTGTGTGTCTGTGGTGTGTGTGGTGTTGTCCCTGTCTGTCTGTCTGTCTGTCTGCCTGCCTGTCTGTCTGTCGTCTGTCCTGTCTGTCCTGTCTGTCTGTCTGTCTGTCTGTCGTCTGTCTGTCTGTCTGTGTGTTGTCGTGTCTGTGTGTGTGTGTGTGTGTCTGTCTGCCTGTCTGTGTGTCTGTCTTTTTGCTTCACCAAGCTGCATAACAAAGTCCCAACAACAACAACTACCAACCTTCTTGGGTTCCTTCTCCTCCTCCTCCTCCGGCATGATGATCTTGACGATGCTCTTGTGTTTGTTGATATGCGTCTTGACAAAGTGTTCGATCTGCACGTTGAACTTCATGAAGCAGACATAGGCCACGTAACCCGACACCAGCATCACGCTCTCCCACCACATGATAGTGTTGTCCAGGAAGAAAACGATCAGCATGATCAGGTCTAGGATGGAGGAGAGGACAACTTAAAACAGAGCTGAGAATGCATCCCAAATGGCACCCTATTCCCTATATAGTGCACTACTTTAGGCCAGAGCGCAGGGAACTATGTAGTATTACACTCTTAGAAAAAAGGGTTCCAAAAGGGTTCTGCGGCTGTCATCATAGGAGAACCATTTTTGGTTCCAGGTAGAACCCTTTTTGGTTCCAGGTAGAACTATTTTAGGTTCCATGTAGAACCCTTTGTGGAAAGGGTTCCACATCGAACCCAAAAGTGTTCTACCTGGAACCAAAAAGGGTTCTTCAAAGTTTTCTCCTATGGGGACAGCCGAAGAACCCTTTTTGGTTATAGATAGCACCTTTTTTTCTAAGAGTGCATGTCCCTATACAGTGAGGGAAAAAAGTATTTGATCCCCTGCTGATTTTGTACGTTTGCCCACTGACAAAGACATGATCAGTCTATAATTTTAATGGTAGGTTTATTTGAACAGTGAGAGACAGAATAACAACAACAAAAATCCAGAAAAAACGCATGTCAAAAATGTTATAAATTGATTTGCATTTTAATGAGGGAAATAAGTATTTGACCCCTCTGCAAAACATGACTTAGTACTTGGTGGCAAAACCCTTGTTGGCAATCACAGAGGTCAGACGTTTCTTGTAGTTGGCCACCAGGTTTGCACACATCTCAGGAGGGATTTTGTCCCACTCCTCTTTGCAGATCTTCTCCAAGTCATTAAGGTTTTGAGGCTGACGTTTGGCAACTCGAACCTTCAGCTCCCTCCACAGATTTTCTATGGGATTAAGGTCTGGAGACTGGCTAGGCCACTCCAGGACCTTAATGTGCTTCTTCTTGAGCCACTCCTTTGTTGCCTTGGCCGTGTGTTTTGGGTCATTGTCATGCTGGAATACCCATCCACGACCCATTTTCAATGCCTTGGCTGAGGGAAGGAGGTTCTCACCCAAGATTTGACGGTACATGGCCCCATCCATCGTCCCTTTGATGCAGTGAAGTTGTCCTGTCCCCTTAGCAAAAAAACACCCCAAAAGCATAATGTTTCCACCTCCATGTTTGACGGTGGGGATGGTGTTCTTGGGGTCATAGGCAGCATTCCTCCTCCTCCAAACACGGCGAGTTGAGTTGATGGCAAAGAGCTCCATTTTGGTCTCATCTGACCACAACACTTTCACCCAATTCTCCTCTGAATCATTCAGATGTTCATTGGCAAACTTCAGACGGGCCTGTATATGTGCTTTCTTGAGCAGGGGGACCTTGTGGGCGCTGCAGGATTTCAGTCCTTCACGGCGTAGTGTGTTACCAATTGTTTTCTTGGTGACTATGGTCCCAACTGCCTTGAGATCATTGACAAGATCCTCCCGTGTAGTTCTGGGCTGATTCCTCACCGTTCTCATGATCATTGCAACTCCACGAGGTGAGATCTTGCATGGAGCCCCATGCCGAGGGATATTGACAGTTATTTTGTGTTTCTTCCATTTGCGAATAATCGCACCAACTGTTGTCACCTTCTCACCAAGCTGCTTGGCGATGGTCTTGTAGCCCATTCCAGCCTTGTGTAGGTCTACAATCTTGTCCCTGACATCCTTGGAGAGCTCTTTGGTCTTGGCCATGGTGGAGAGTTTGGAATCTGATTGATTGATTGCTTCTGTGGACAGGTGTCTTTTATACAGGTAACAAACTGAGATTAGGAGCACTCCCTTTAAGAGTGTGCTCCTAATCTCAGCTCGTTACCTGTATAAAAGACACCTGGGAGTCAGAAATCTTTCTGATTGAGAGGGGGTCAAATACTTATTTCCCTCATTAAAATGCTAATCAATTTATAAAATTTTTGACATGCGTTTTTCTGGATTTTTTTGTTGTTATTCTGTCTTTCACTGTTCAAATAAACCTACCATTAAAATTATAGACTGATCATTTCTTTGTCAGTGGGCAAACGTACAAAATCAACAGGGGATCAAATACTTTTTTCCCTCACTGTATAGTGCACTATAAGAGGAATACTATAGGATGCAATTTGGCAGTTTAGATGTGATCGACTGTTGGCTCCAAGGTAAGTACCCTTTAAAGTATGTACTTTCCCAATATTCCCAGGTTTTCCAGAAATCCTGGTTGGAGGATTCCAGATGTCCTGCTTGTTCCCTCCTGATTCCGGGAGTCTTCCAACAGAGATTTCTGGAAAATCTATTATCTTCTACCTGTTATCTGTAAAATGATTATATTATTATTATTACCTATGATATAGAAGGAGACGTCTCTGAACAAGGGCCACCAGGTGAGGTGGAGCATCTCCCTGGAGAAGATGGCACACATCCCGATGACAAACAGGATGTTAAACACCGCCGACCCTACGATCGTCCCGATGCCCACGTTGCTATGGGAAATGAACACGCCAATCAGAGAGGTGAACAGTTCGGGGGCGGAGCCTCCTGCAGCCATGAAGGTTGCCCCGGCGACATCGTCGGAGATGTCGAGCTTCACGGTGATGACTCCGAGCGCCGGGGACGAAGAACTCGTCACAGACGATGGCGAGGGAGACGAACATGTAGACCATGCCCAGGATGTGGAGGGTCACCCAGCCCTGCCTCCTCTGGTCCACCGTGAACAGGTCCTCTGGGTACTCTCCCTTCCTGTGGGGGACGTCTCCAGGGATACCCGGGGGGGTGGTGGTGTTAGGAGGAGGGGAGGTGGGAGAAGGTTTAGTAGGTGGCTCAGGTTCAGGGTCCTCTACGTAGATACAGTGTTTAATGTCCGTCCTGTTGACAGTTATCACTATGACGTCATCCCCCTCGATCACTATAGGAGCCCTGGTGATGACGTCGTCATTATAGCTCTCTGTTAGGGTCGAGGGGTTAGAGGTCACCACCTCTCGTGTGTCTACCTCCGGGACACTACTACTACCACTACCGCCCCCTTCCTCTGGGAGTGCTGTCCCGGGGTCCTCCTCTGCTGCGGCCTGGCGAGCCACCCATGGCTCCTGCAGCCGGGCCTTGAACGTCACGGTGTAGACACAGCACAGTAATACACCGGAGAGGAAGAAGAGGATGCGACTCCGATTGAGTCTCCGTCTTTGTGGCAAATGCATTGTTGACTGCTGCCAGAGTGGTGCTTGGTTCCTACTTCAGATTACTGGGTCTATGTCAGGTGCATGGTTAGGCTTACGGGAACAGGTCCAGTAGCATTAGTTGGACAAATAATGCAGTTCAGGGAGCGGTCAGCACACTTCTTCAGCATGGTCTGTTTTAATGTCATAGTCCTGGCATGGCATGATGTCCCAGCTCCAACCTATAAAAAGGGGGAAATAAATCAATGATTCACTCAGTTTAGACTACAATGCAAAACTCACGTCATACATTTTACATAATAATGTAATAATAGAATAATAATAACATTACTCGAGTATTATATACACTCTCTGATTTATTAGAAGGGTTTATAATAAGGGCGCGTTCACGTGAAGGCAGCCGCAGGAGCGCGGAGGATGGGACACAGCCACCTGTTACTATGGCTACATAATTGCAGGTACTCTGCTCTCCCAAGAGGTGCACAGATTAAATGGCACGTGTAATGAAATGCAACACAAATGTAGTTAATGAACAAACTACAATGAAAAAAACGGCGAATAAACTACAAAGACCATAAAGTAGGCCCTACTTTTCATTGATGTGCGCGCGTCAAGAACGCGCTAATATGCGCTCCTCGAGTCGAGACAGCATCAGCAATATGATTCATTCCAAATGTTCAATCAACCATTTCATTTTCACGTGTGTATCCAGGTGGGTCGGGTGAAAATTAAGAAATGTAAATAAAGATAAATTAAACTGAATTTCGTGGGGAAATTCCAGGCAAGAAACAGTGCCCGATAATGACTCATTGACAAGTATCGCAGGCTTCCACAAGGTCAATGCCGATTATTGTAGCTTAAATCCTATCTTAATAAAACATCTGTAAACCTAAACCTTTATCAATTCTTAATAAAACGTACCTTTGATCGCTGAGTTGTTGTGCTAGAGGTGTTCTAGAAGCGAGGTCTCTCTCCAGCTGTGTGCGCTAAGGTAAAGGGATTGGTTGAGAGATGCTGACTCTAGTTTTTGGTGAGCAGCTACAAGGGCGCACCGCAGGATGACAGCTCACACCTCCTCTCCTCGGCTCAGCATAATACCTGGAGTCTTTTAAGAGGATTAGGTTAGGTGTTCACACAATCTCTCACATTCTCATTAACACGTTTAAAAGGCTTCAATTCCAATGCATTCCAATTCATTTGTTCATAATCCACCAAATGGATGCAGCGTCTCCAACCGCCAACGCTGGGCAAAAACGAACCATGTCTGCGCGCTGAAGTGGAAGGCGGGTTGTCAAGACATAATTGCAATTCTGAAGAGTGCTCCTTTGTGCATACAGACATACAGGCAGGCAGGCAGACATACGTACAGGCAGGCAGGCAGGCAGACAGACAGACAGACAGACAGACAGACAGGCAGACAGACAGACAGACAGACAGACAGACAGACAGACAGACAGGCGGGGTTTGGTGATGAGAGGAAGGTGAGTCATTAACCATTTGATGAACTCATTGGACTCATGAAATCATTCTGATATGTAAGCTGCTGCCTTCATTTAGTGTTGATGAGACATGCTGCTACAGCTAGGTTTACTAAGGAGGCTGTTATGTGGAGATGAAGGACCGCTTTTAAAAGACTAGATCATTGTTTTTTATTCACACCACCAGCTATGCTCTTTTCACAAATAACTACAGATATTCACTTTATTTCACACAACTTTATTGGTTATTATATCACACATTATACATTTATACTTCAACCATTCAAAACCTTTTAATAAAACACATGATTCCAGACAGCGATCCCTTCCCTTAATTCTCTAACAATGTCCATTTCCCTGAGGTTCTGGGCTCTGACGGGCTCTCTATGTCTGCTTCGACAGGGAGTGGGCAGGAGAAGTGTGGAGAGTTGGGACGCAACCCTAACCATGGCATCAGACACAGATCAGTGAGCCTTTGAACATTCAGCAAGGATGGCATGATGGAGATAGTCCCCATGATATCTACTATAACATCACTGGAGAATACAGTAGCTTACATCCCAGAATGCAGCTTGATTCTACACTGCATGAGAAACACTGTTGGCGTACAACATTTCATTTAGGATTAAAGCAATATTTTAAAAAAAGTCCAATGCAGCCGTTTTATGTCAATATCAAATCATTTCTGGGTAACAATGAAGTACCTTACTGTGATTGTTTTTAATTAAAATGGCCAAAAATAAACAAAAGTAGCTTCTTAGCAACGGGCAATTTCTCAAGCAAGAATTTAGCTAGGACTGACTGGGAGTGGTCTGAGTGGGGAGGGGAAAACGGAAAATGTGCTGTTATTGGCAGAGAGGTTTTAGAACTCTCTTTCTTATTGGTCTATTAACTAATTCACCCCATGGTGATGTCACCGTGGAATGCCAAAACTCCCTCCCACCAAAACAGGCTGAAATTTCAGGCGGTCTTTTCAAAGAGCTCTTACACTAAAAGGGCATTATCATAATTTTCACAATTTCACAGTATTATTCCAACCTCATAGTGTGGAAATATATATAAAACACAGGAAAAGTACATTTTTGACTGCACTGGGCCTTTATAAAACAAAACAAATCAACTTATAACAAAACAAATCAATGTATAACAAAAAAACTTATAACAAAACAAATCAACTTAAAACAAAACAAATCAACGTATAACAAAACAAATCAACGTATATCAAAACAAATCAACGTATAACAAAACAAATCAACGTATAACAAAACAAATCAACATATAACAAAACAAATCAACTTATAACAAAACAAATGACTGTATAACATTAGGCAGGATGATGACTCATTGTCAGATGGGATAGTAGTGAAGTGCACCATGACTGTTATATCAATGACCGTAACAGAGTTAGAGTCAATTACGTTTTCTATTCAGTCAAGTCAATAAGTGGATCGAAATTAAAAGAGTGATTTGAAAACAATCCTCATTGAATACAATGGGCAGTTTTCATTTCACTTCCTGAATTAAAACTGAAGGCAGGTCCATGTACAGTATGAGGATGACAGTAGCTGCAAAATGGTGTTCAGAAAATACAATCACTTGTTTAGTCTGGCCAAGAGAAGCTAGAACCGTTTATAGTATGGCTCCTTCAATACTAACAGTACAGTATGACATGGACCTGTCAATACTAACAGTACAGTATGACATGGATATAAATCCTAAAAAGAGGGTATGAAATGAATGCACTAGTTTGTGTTAGAGGAGGTACCTCTGATGAACAGACTGGCTGAGGAAGAGAAAATAAGAAACTCCACTGGAAAAGAGGAGAGGAGAGAACAAGGAAAGGAAGGGAGAGGAGAGGAGAGGAGAGACAAGGAAGAAGAGGAAGAGAGGAGAGGAGAGACAGGAGAAGAGGAGGTAGAGGAGAGGAGAGACAGGAGAAGAGGAGGAGAGGAGAGGAGAACAGGAGAAAGAGAGGAGAGGAGAGGAGAGAGAGTAGAGAGAGAGAGAGAGGAAGAGGGAAGGAGAGGACGAGGAGAGGAAAGAGAAGAGAGTATGAGAGGAGGAGAGGAGAGAGATGCGAGGAGAGAGAGGAGAGAGAGGAGAGGGAGGAGAGAGCGGTTCCGGTGAGGTGCGGCGTTGTTTTTTGTTTCTTTTTTTCCCTTTTTTGGCCCTTTCGCGTGAGGAGTTAGGCGGGAGAGAAGGCCCCCCCACAGTGAGCTGGAGACATCGTGAGGTTGGTCTTTCCATCCCTCAGTCCATCTTCCTCTTCCTGGAGCGCAGTCGTCTCCTCCTCTGGCGAAACAGGTGGCGGAAGTTGATGAACAGGCCTTGGAAGAAAAAAAACATGTTTTATTTAAAAATATGTTTTAAGTGCAAACCCCATCCACTTGGCATGCCAGAATAGCTAAGTCTAGCCCAAGCAAAGATAGGTTTGTTAGCTATGTGACAAAGTGTATGTTTCTCCCTTAGTGGCATTAACTGATCCTGAAACATGACACCTAGATACAGCTGGAGGGTGTAGGTTTAGAGAGAGGGTTAGGGTGTAGGGTTAGGGGTTAGGGGTTAGAGAGTGGGTTAGTGTGTAGGTTAGGGGTTAGGGTTAGAGAGTGGGTTAGTGTGTGGTTTAGGGTTGGGGTTGGGGTTGGAGTGTTTGTGTTGGGTTAGGGTTAGGGGTTGGGGTTGCGAAGGGGTTTTGTAGGGTTGGGGTTGGGTTTGGAGTGGTTCTGTGTGGTTGGGGTTGGGGTTCGGGGTGGGTCGTGGGGTGGGTTGGGGTTCGGGGTTCGCGCGTGGGTTTGTGGTGTCCCGGGTTCGGGGTTCGGGTTCGCGGTGGGTTTTGTGTGTCGGGTTCGGGGTTCGCGCGTGGGTTCGTGTGTCGGGTTCGGGGTTTGGGGTTCGGGGTTCGCGCGTGGGTTCGTGTGTCGGGTTCGGGTTTTGGGGTTCGCGCGTGGTTCGTGTGTCGGGTTCGGGGTTCGGGGTTCGCGCGTGGGTTCGTGTGTCGGGTTGGGGTTCGGGGTTCGCGCGTGGGTTTTTTGTGTCGGGTTCGGGTTCGCGCGTGGTTCGTGTGTCGGGTTGGGGTTCGTGTGTGGGTTGTGTGTCGGGTTCGGGGTTGGGGTTCGCGCGTGGGTTCGTGGTGTCGGGGTTCTGGGTTGGGGTTCGCGCTTTGGGTTCGTGTGTCGGGTTCGGGGTTCGGGGTTCGCGCGTGGGGTCGTGTGTCGGGTTCGGGGTTCGCGTGGGTTGTGTGTCGGGTTCGGGGTTTCGGTTCGGGTTCGGCGCGGGTTCGTGTGTCGGGGTTGGGTTCGGGTTCGCGCGTGGGTTCGTGTGTCGGGTTCGGGGTTCGGGGTTCGGCTGGTTCGTGTGTCGGGTTCGGGGTTCGGGTTCGTGTGTCGGGTTCGGTGTGCGGGTTCGGGGTTCGGGTTCGCGCGTGGGTTCGTGTGTGGGGTTGGGTTTTCGCGCGTGGGTTTTGTGGTTCGGGTTCGGGGCTTGGGTTCGTGTGTCGGTTCGGGGGTTTGCGCGTGGGTTTTTGTGTGTCGGGTTCGTGTGTCGGTTCGGGTTCGGGTTCGTGTGTCGGGTTCGTGTGTCGGTTTGGGGTTCGGGTTTCGCGCGTGGGTTCGTGTGTGGGGTTCGGGGTTCGGGTTCGCGCGCGGGTTTCGTGTGTCGGTTCGGGGTTCGGGGTTCGCGCTTTGGGGTTGTGTGTCGGGTTCGGGGTTCCGCGTGGGTTCGTGTGTCGGGTTCGGGGTTCGGGGTTTTGCGCGTGGGTTCGTGTGTCGGGTTGGGGTTCGGGGTTCGGGGTTCGCGCGCGGGTTCGTGTGTCGGGGCGGGTTTGGGGTTCGGTTCGTGTGTCGGGTTCGGGGTTCGGGGTTCGCGCGTGGGTTCGTGTGTCGGGTTCGGGTTCGGGGTCCGCGCGTGGTTCGTGTGTCGGGTTTCGGGGTTCCGCGTGGTTCGTGTGTCGGGTTCGGGTTCGTGTGTCGGGTTCGTGTGTGGGTTCGCGCGTTGGGTCGTGTGTCGGGTTCGGGGTTCGGGTTCGCGGTGGGTTCGTGTGTCGGGTTCGGGGTTCGGGTTCGCGCGTGGGTTTTGTGTGTCGGGTTCGGGGGTTTGGGGTTCGCGCCGGGTTCCCTGTGTTCGGGTTCGGGGTTCCGCTGGGTTCGTGTGTCGGGTTCGGGGTTCGCGCGTGGGTTCGTGTGTCGGTTTTGCGGTGGGTTGTGTGTCGGGTTGCGCGTGGGTTTTTTGTGTCGGGTTCGTGGTCGGGTTCGTGTGTCGTGGGTTTGCGCGTGGGTTCGTGTGCGGGTTCGTGGGGTGGTTCGTGTGTCGGGTTTCGCGTGGGTTTTGTGGGGTCGGTTCGGGGTTCGCGCGTGGGGTTTCGTGTGGGTTCGTGTGTCGGGTTCGGGGTTGGGGTTCGCGCGTGGGTTCTGTGTCGGGTTGGGGTTCGGGGTTCGCGCGTGGGTTCGTGTGTCGGGTTTTGGGGTTCGGGGGTTTGCGCGTGGGTTCGTGTTCGGGGTTTGCGGTGGGTTTGGTGTCGGGGTTTGTGTGTCGGGTTCGTGTGTCGGGTTCGCGCGTGGGTTCGTGTGTCGGGTTCGTGGGGTCGGGTTCGTGTGTCGGGTTCGCGCGTGGGGTTTGTGTGTCGGGTTCGGGTTCGGGTTCGCGCTGGGTTCGTGTGTCGGGTTCGGGGTTCGCGCGCGGGTTGTGTGTCGGGTTCGGGGTTCGGGGTTCGCGCGTGGGTTTTGTGTGTCGGGTTTGGGGTTCGGGGTTCGCGCTTTGGGGTTTGTGTGTCGGTTTGGGGTTCGGGGTCGCGCGTGGGTTTGTGTGTCGGGTTCGGGGGTTTGGGGTTCGCGCGTGGGGTTCGTGTTTCGGGGTTTTGGTGTCGGGTTCGGGGTTCGGTTCGCGTGGGTTCGTGTGTCGGGTTCGGGTTGCGCGTGGGTTCGTGTGTCGGTTCGGGGTTCGCGCTGGGTTCGTGTGTCGGGTTCGGGGTTGGGGTTCGCGCGTGTTTCGCTTTTGTCGGGTTCGGGGTTCGCGCGTGGGTTCGTGTGTCGGGTTCGGGGTTCGTGTGTCGGGTTCGTGTGTCCCGGGGTTCGGGGTTCGTGTGTCGGGTTTCGGGGTTCGTGTGTCGGGTTGTGTGTCGGGTTCGGGTTTTGTGTGTCGGGTTCGGGTTCGGTTCGCGCGTGGGGTTCGTGGGGTCGGGGTTCGGGGTTCGCCGTGGGGTTCGTGTGTCGGGTTCGGGGTTCGGGGTTCGCGCGTTTGGGTTCGTTTTGCGGGTTCGGGGTTCGCGCGTGGGTTCGTGTGTGGGTTCGTTGTGTCCCGGGGTTTGCCGTGGGTTTCGTGTGTCGGGTTCGGGGTTCGCGCGTGGGTTCGTGTTTTCGGGTTCGGGGTTCGCGCGTGGGTTCGTGTGTCGGTTCGTGTGTCGGGTTCGCGCGTGGGTTCGTGTGGGCGGGTTCGTTGTCCGGGTTCGGGGTTCGGGTTCGCGCGTGGGTGTGTGTCGGGTTCGGGGTTCGGGTTCGCGCGTGGGGGTTTGTGTGTCCGGTTCGGGGTTCGGGTTCGCGCGTGGGTTCGTGTGTCCGGTTCGGGGTTCGGGGTTCGCGCGTGGGTTCGTGTGTCGGGTTCGGGTTCGGGGTTCGCGCGTGGTTTTGTGTCGTTCGGGGTTCGGGGTTTGCAGGTGGTTCGTGTCGGTTGGGGTTCGCGCGTGGTTCGTGTGTCGGGTTGGGGTTCGCGCGTGGGTTCTGTGTCGGGTTCGGGGTCGGTTCGCGCGTGGGGTTTGTGTGTCGGGTTCGTGTGTGGTTCTGGGTTCGGGCGCGGTGGTAGTGTGTGGTTGGGGGTTTGGGGGTTTTCCGTGGGTTTTGTGGGTTCGGGGTGGGTTCGGGTTTTGCGCGTGGGTTCGTGTGCGGTTCGGGTTCGGGTTGGGGTTCGCGCGGGGTTCTGTGTCGGGTTCGGGGTTGGGTTCGGTTCGTGTGTCGGGTTGGGGTTCGGGTCGCGCGCGGTTCGTGGTCGGGTTCGCGCGTGGGTTCTGTGTCGGTTCGGCGTGGTTCGTGTGTCGGGTTCGTGTTTTCGGGTTTTGGGTTCGGGGTTCGCGCGGGTTCGTGTGTCGGGTTCGTGTGGTCGGTTCGCGCGCGGGTTCTTTGGGTTCGGGGTTCGGGGTTTCCCCTGGTTGTGTGTCGGGTTCGGGGTTCGGGTTCGGGTTCGTGTGTCGGGTTCGGGTTCGGGTTCGCGCGTGGTTCGTTGTCGGGTTCGCGCGTGGGTTCGTGTGTCGGGTTCGGGGTTTCGGGGTTCGCGCGTGGGTTTGTGTGTCGGTTCGGGGTTTGGGGTTCGGGTTTGTGGGTTCGGGGTTCGGGTTTCGTGTGTCGGGTTCGGGGTTCGGGGTTCGCGGTGGGTTCGTGTGTCGGGTTCGTGTGTCGGGTTTCGGGGTTCGGGTTCGTGTGTCGGGTTCGGGTTCGCGTGGGTTCGTGTGTCGGGTTCGGGGTTCGGGGGTTTGCGCGTGGGTTCGTGTGTCGGGTTTCCCCGTGGGTTCGGTGTCGGGTTCGTGTGTCGGTTCGTGTGTCGGGTTCGTGTGTCGGGTTGCGCGTGGGTTCGTGTGTGGGTTCGCGCGTGGTTTTGTGTGTCGGGTTGGGGTTTTGGGTTCGGCGTTGGGTTCGTGTGTCGGGTTCGGGGTTCGCGCGTGGGTTCGTGTGTCGGGTTGGGGTTCGGGCGGGGTTTGTGTCGGGTTCGGGGTTCGGGTTCGCGCTCGTGGGTTCGTGTGTCGGGTTCGGGGTTCGGGTTCGCGCGTGGCTCGTGTGTCGGGTTCGCGCGTGGGTTCGTGTGTCGGGTTCGTGTGTGGGTTCGCGCGTGGGTTCGTGTTCGGGTTCGCCGTGGGTTCGTGTGTCGGGTTCGCGTGGTTTCGTGTGGGGGTTCGTGTGTCGGGTTCGGGGTTCGGGTTCGCGCTGGGTCTGTGTCGGGGTTTGCGCGTGGGTTCGGTGTCGGGTTCGTGTGTCGGGTTGCGCGTGGGTTCGTGTGTCGGGTTCGCGCGTGGTTCGTGTGTCGGGGTTTGTGTGTCGGGTTCCGCGTGGTTCGTGTGTCGGGGTTGTCTGTGGGTTTGTGTGTCGGGTTCGCGCGGGGTTCGTGTGTCGGGTTCGCGCGTGGTTTCTGTGTCGGTTTTTGTGTGTCGGGTTCGCGCTGGGTTCGTGTGTCGGGTTCGTGTGTCGTTCGTGTGTCGGGTGTGTCGGGTTCGCGCGGGGGGGTGTCGGGTTGGGGTTCGGGTTCGCCGTGGGTTCGTGTTGGGTTGCGCGTGGTTCGTGTGTCGGGTTTTGTTCGGGTTCGTGTCGGGGTTTGTGTGTCGGGTTCGTGTGTCGGTTCGCGCGTGGGTTCGTGTGTCGGGTTTGGGGTTCGGGTTCGCGCGTGGGTTCCCCTGTGTCGGTTCGGGGTTCCGCGTGGGTCGTGTTCGGTTCGGGGGTTTGGGTTCGCGCGTGGGTTCGTGTCGGGTTCGGGTTCGGGTTCGCCCGGGGTTCGTGTGTCGGGTTCGGGTTCGGGGGTTTGCGCGTGGGCTCGTTTTGTCGGGTTTGGGGGTCCGGGTGGTTCGTGTGTAGGGTTCGGGTTGGGTCAGAGGTGGGTTGTGTGTGGGTTCGGGGTTGGGGTTTGCGCGTGGGTTCGTGTTCGGGTTCGGGGTTCGGGTTCCGTGGGTTTGTGTGTGGGTTCGGCGTGGGTTCGTGTGTCGGGTTTTGTGTGTCGGGTTGTGTGTCGGGTTGGGGTTGGGGTTGGGTGGTTCGTGTGTCGGTTAGGGGTTGGAGTGGGGTTCGTGTTGGGTTGGTTCGGGGTTCGCGGTGGGTTCGTGTGTAGGGTTGGGTTGGGTTCGGCTGGGGTTGTGTGTCGGGTTCGCGCGTGGGTTCGTTTTGTCGGGTTCTGTGCGGGTTGGGGTTCGGTTCGCCGTGGGTTCGTGTGTCGGGTTCGGGGTTCGGGTTGCGCGTGGGTTCGTGTGTCGGGTTCGGGGTTTGCGCGTGGGTTCTGTGTGGGTTCGTGTGTGGGTTCGTGGTGGTTTCGTGTGTCGGGTTCGGGTTCGGGGTTCGCGCGGGGTTGTGTGTCGGGTTCGGGGTTCGGGTTCGCGCGCGTGGTTCGTTTTGTCGGGTTCGGGGTTGGGTCGGGGGGGGGTTCGTGTGGGGTTTGGGGTTGGGTGGGTTTTGTGTGTCGGGTTCGGGGTTCGGGGTTCCGCGTGGTGTGTGTCGGGTTCGGGGTTCGCGCGGGGTTCGTGTTCGGGTTCGGGTGTCTGGTCCCCGGGGTGGGTTCGTGTGTCGGGTTCGGGGTTGGGTTGTTCGCGCGTGGGGTTCGTGTGTGGGTTTGGGGTTCGCGCCGGGTTGTGTGTCGGGTTCGGTGTTGGGCGGATGGGTTCGTTGTGGGTTCGGGTTCGGGTTTGCGGTGGGTTCGTGTGTCGGTTCGGGGTTCGGGTTGGCTTGGTTCTGTTTGGGTTGGTATTTTCAGAGTGGGGTTGTGTGTGGGGGTTTGGTCGAGGTGGGTTAGTGGTGGTGGTATGGTCCGGGTTGGGTTTGTGTGGGGTTTTGTCAGGAGTGGTTAGTGTTGTGGGGTTTTGTCAGAGAGTGGGTTAGTGTGTGGGGGTTTTTGGTCAGGGTGGGGGTTTTGTGTGGGGTGTATTGTCAAGGTGGTTAGTGTTGGGGTTTGTCAGAAGTGGGTTAGTGTGTGGGGGTTTATTGGTCAGAGAGTGGGTTTAGTGTGTGGGGTGTATTGTCAGAGAGTGGGTTAGTGTGTGGGGTGTATGGTCAGAGAGTGGGTTAGTGTGTGGGGTGTATTGTCAGAGAGTGGGTTAGTGTGTGGGTTTATGGTCAGAGAGTGGGTTAGTGTGTGGGGTTGTATGGTCAGAGAGTGGGTTAGTGTGTGGGGTGTATGGTCAGAGAGTGGGTTAGTGTGTGGGGTGTATTGTCAGAGAGTGGGTTAGTGTGTGGGGTGTATGGTCAGAGAGTGGGTTAGTGTGTGGGGTGTATTGTCAGAGAGTGGGTTAGTGTGTGGGGTGTATTGTCAGAGAGTGGTACTAACTGACCGAGGAACATGAGGGCGAGGTAGAGCTTCAGAGTGTAGGAAAAGCTGAAGGACGAGCCCAGGACCGTAGGTAGAGGGATGCTGTACAGACGGGTCTCATCGAAGACGGGCAGGGACTGGATCACAGCTATAGCTAAGAGGGAACAGACAGGACAGACAGGAATACTCACTACTACATAGCAACACTTGGATATCTTGGTAATAAACTACGTAATATCTTGTTTCACTTGTTTGACTATAATCATCATACCACTATTATTTACATACAATTTACATATTAAGTGAATAGAGTAGGCATAGAGCTCTCTGAGGGAGTGTGTGTGTTTGTGGTGTGTGTGTGTGTGTGTGTGTGTGTGCGTGTGGTCTTTGTGTGTGTGTGTGTGTGTGTATAGTCTTTGTGTGTGTGGTCTTTGTGTGTGTGTGTGTATAGTCTTTGTGTGTGTGGTCTGTGTGTAAGGCCCACTGACCCTCTGCTAGGACCCCCAGAGGGTAGAGGGGAATCCAGATGGAGTATCTGAGCCAGGTCAGCAGCTTCCAGTCTGTGTCGATGCAGGCCAGCATGTAGAATGGATACCTGGGACACACAACAAAACAACAGAGTAGCAGCAGCGTAAAAGAGGGGAGTGGGGGTGGGGGGGAACAATGCAAATAGTCCGGGTAGCCATGATTAGCTGTTCAGGAGTCTTATGGCTTGGGGGTGCTTGGTAAACAACAGGTGTAGACTAACAGTGAAACACATACTTACAGGACCTTCCCAACAATGTAGAGAGAGAAATAGAAAGATAATAACACCAAGAATAAATACACAATGAGTAACGATTACTTGGCCATTTACACTGGGTACCAGTACAGTTAGTGCAACAAAAGGGTCAATACAGATAGTTAAATAGTTAACCAATAGCTACCCGGACTAACTATTTAGCAGTCTTATGGCTTGGGGGTAAAAGATGTTCAGGGTCCTGTTGGTTCCAGACTTGGTGCATCGGTATCGCTTGCCATGAGGTAGCAGAGAGAACAGTCTATGACTTGGGTGGCTGGAGTCTTTGACAATTTTTAGGGCCTTCCTCTGACACTGCCTGGTATAGAGGTCCTGGATGACAGGGAGCTCTGCCTTAGTGATATACTGGGCCATACACACTACCCTCTGTAGCGCCTTGCGGTCGGATGCCAAGCAGTTACCATACCAGGCGGTGATGCAGCCGGTCAAGATGATCTCAATGGTGCAGCTGTAGAACGTTTTGAGGATCTGAAGACCCATGCCAAATCTTTTTCAGCCTCCTGAGGGGGAAGAGGCGTTGTGGTCCCTCTTCACGTCTGTGTTGGTGTGTGTGGACCATGTCAATTCCTTACTGATGTGGACACCGAGGAACTTGAAGCTCTCAACCCGCTCCACTACAGCCCCGTCGATGTGGATGGGGGCGTACTCGGCCGTGGGTTTTCAATAGTCCACGATCAGCTCCTTTGTCTTGCTGACGTTGAGGGAGAGGTTGTTGTCCTGGCACCACACTGCCAGGTCTCTGACCTCCTACCTATAGGCTGTCTCATCGTCGTTGGTGACCAGGCCAACAACCGTCGTGTCTTCAGCAAACTTACTGATGGTGTTGGAGTCGTGCGCGGCCACGCAGTTGTGGGTGAACAGGGAGTACAGGAGGGGACTAAGCATGCGTTGCTTACCCTCACCACCTGGGGGGCGGCCCGTCAGGAAGTCCAGGATCCAGTTGCAGAGGAAGGTGTTCAGTGCCAGGGTCCTGAGCTTAGTGATGAGCTTGGAGGGCACTATGTTGTTGAACGTTGAGCTGCAGTCAATGAGCAACATTCTCACATAGGTGTTACTCTTATCCAGGTGGGAGAGTGCGGTGTGGTGTAATAGCGATTGCATTATCTGTGAATCTGTTGGGGTGGTAAGCGAATTGGAGTGGGTCGAGGGTGTCTGGAATGACGGTGTTGATGTGAACCATGACCAGCCTTTCAAAGAACTTTAATAGCTACAGACGTGAGTGCTACGGGCCAATAGTCATTTAGACAGGTTACCTTGGTGCTCTTGGGCACAGGGACTATGGTGGTCTGCTTGAAACATGGTCAGGGAGAGGGGCACGGCTCGGTTGCATCCCGCAGTGGGTGTGACGTTTGGTGTGACGTACTTTTATGTTTTTAATTTGTACACTTTGTTTGTAAACCATCTGTCAACGATGGCTTTCCAGTGGTGGGGTGTTGGACTGATCTTGTTGATCGTGTACAAACAGACTGTGATGAAAACGCTGTTGGCAGCGGAATCCAATACAGCAGAGAGTTCCTACTACAATTGTCCCCGATTGTCTGCGAGTAGATTACAAACCCAAATGCAAACGTGGAAAACACGGGGGAATCAGACAAAGACTTAAGAACAAACTTCCCTTACCCACCACCTTGCTGATCAATGCCCAGTCACTGAGGGGGAAAGCGGATGAGCTTTCACCGAATCAGGCTCTTCCAACATGAATACCGGGAGGCCTGTTTGCTGGCATTTACTGAGACTTGGCTGGATGACAGAGTCCCGGACAGGGAAGTGGAGCCGGAGCGGACCGTGATCTGACCGTCACAGGGAAACATCACGGCGGGGGGGCGTCTGTCTGCTTGTCAGGGACCAGTGGTGTAAATCGATCCTGGTAAGAGAGAGACTCTGTACCCCCGACATTGAACTGCTTTCTGTGTCACTGCGACCCTACTATCTGCCCCGTGAGTTCCCCCAATTGTTTGTTACTGTTGTGTACATGCAACCAACTGCTAATATAGCAATCCATCATAGATTATTTATAATCTGTCACAGAAACTGAAATCCATCTCCCCCGACGCACCCACATTTATTTTAGGGGATTTTAACAACTGTACTTTGCACAAGGTCCTGCGCACATACCACCAGTATGTGAAATGTCACACTAGGAAAAATAAGACTCTTGATTTGTGCAATGGGACAATACCAAATGCTTTCTCTGCCACCACCAGACCTCCTCTGGGGACATCACATTTACATTTTAGTCATTTGGCAGACGCTCTTATCCAGAGCGACTTACAGTTAGCGCATACATTATTTTATCGAACCCACAACCCTGGCGTTGCAAACGCCATGCTCTACCAACTGAGCTACATCCCTTGCCGGCCATTCCCTCCCCTACCCTGGACGACGCTGGGCCAATTGTGCGCCGCCCCATGGGTCTCCCGGTCGCGGCCGGCTACGACAGAGCCTGGATTCGAACCAGGATCTCTAGTGGCACAGCTAGCACTGCGATGCAGTGCCTTAGACCACTGCGCCACTCGGGAGAGTGGATTCAGACCACAGTGTTGTCTACCTCCGGCCAACCTACTGTCGGCTCCTGGAGAGGGACAAACTTACAGTTAAAACTGTCCAGATCTGGACTGACAATAGTATCACTCGTCTCCAAGGGTGTTTTGACTGGACTATGTGGGAGGTATTTCAGGACAGCAGCGCTGATCTTAACGAACTCACAGACTATGTAAACTTCTGTGTTGAGTCAGTTGTGCCTACTAAAACATGTAAAATCTTCCCTAACAATAAGCCTTGGGTATGAAAAAATCTCAAATCACTACTTAATAGGAAGAAGGCAGTTTATTCGGAGGGTACTAGACTTTAAGAGATGTACAACGTGAGATTAAAATACAGATAGTGGTGGACAAGGAGGCATACAAGCAAAGGGTGGAGAGGACCCTCTCCTCAGGAAACTCAAGGGTGGCCTGGCAAGGGATTAAATCCATGGCTAGTGACCCCCACATAGGCAGTGGAAAAAACAATGCTGACCTTGGGAGACATGAGGGCCAGAACATGGCTAACCAATGCTGACCTTGGGAGACATGAGGGCCAGAACATGGCTAACCAATGCTGACCTTGGGAGACATGAGGGCCAGAACATGGCTAACCTATGCCGACCTTGGGCGACATGAGGGCCAGAACATGGCTAACTAACTGAATGTTTTCTCCTCAAGATTTCAATCTGACGACTTTATGTCGGAGGTAAAACAAATGGAAGCATCATTCCAAATGTTTGAGAGGGTTGTTGTTAAACAGGCTGATGTTGTGAAGTTGGTCAGGGGATGTAACACTAAAGCCCAGGTCCAGACTAAATAAGAGGATGTGTGTTAAAGCACTGGGCTGAATAATTAGCTGGTGTTTTCACAGACATTTCCCAATTCTAGCTCGACCAGCAACACAAGCCAGTATTGTGGAAAAACTCAATAATTATACCCATTCCTAAAGCATCTAATCCCTCTGTGCAGAATGACCACCGCCCTGTCGCCTTGACATCCTTAGTAATGAAATGCTTTGAGAAAATTGTGAAAAGTCATATTCTCAGCGCCAACCAGAAGCTCCTCGACCCGTTTCAGTTTGCATATCAGCCCAGCAGAGGAGTTAATGATGCCATTCATACTCTCCTCAACATGGTCTATAGACATCTAGAGGGCGCCAAATCCCATTGTCAGGGTTCTCTTTGTTGGCTTTTCTTCTGCCTTCAACACAATCCAGCCTTACATTCTGGCACAGAGACTCATAAGGGACTTCTCCTTAGATGGGGGGCTGGTTATGTGGCTGTTGGACTTCCTGAGCCAGAGGTCACAGTGGGTCAAAGTAGGTCCCCACGTGTCGGACATACGCACCACCAACACAGGCTCTCCTCAGGGATGTGTTTTGTCCCCACTCCTGTACACAAATAGTTGTACTAGTTCCCATCCTGACAGACACCTAGTTCCCATCCTGACAGACACCTAGTTCCCATCCTGACAGACACCTAGTTCCCATCCTGACAGACACCTAGTTCCCATCCTGACAGACACCTAGTTCCCATCCTGACAGACACCTAGTTCCCATCCTGACAGACACCTAGTTCCCATCCTGACAGACACCTAGTTCCCATCCTGACAGACACCTAGTTCCCATCCTGACAGACACCTAGTTCCCATCCTGACAGACACCTAGTTCCCATCCTGACAGACACCTAGTTCCCATCCTGACAGACACCTCGTTAAGTTCGCTGATGACACTGCCTTGATCAGCCTGTTGCATGGTGACGAGGAACACCATGGCCCGGTCCTAAACGACTTTGTAGAATGGTGTGACGAATCACACTTGGTCCTCAATACCAAAGAGATGTGCATAGACTTCAGGAAGAGTTCAACACCTACCTCTGCAACATCTATCAGAGGTCAGAACATAGCGATTGTAGAGGAATACACATATCTGTGTGTCCTCTTGGATAATAAGCTTCAGTGGAGTAAATGTACAGACCTGATCTACAAAAAGAGTCAACCGAGACTGTACTTTCTCAAAAAACTGGGACAGCCTATAGGGAGGAGGTCAGAGACCTGGCCGTGTGGTGCCAGGATAACAACCTCTCCCTCAACGTGACCAAGACAAAGGAGATGATTGTGGACTACAGGAAAAAAAAGAGGACTGAGCACGGGGCTGTAGTTGAACAGGTTGAGAGTTTCAAGTTCCTTGGTGTCCACATCACCAACGAACTATCATGGTCCAAACACACCAAGACAGTCGTGAAGAGGGCACGACAAAGCCTATTCCCCCTCAGGAGACTGAAAAGATTTGGCATGGGTCCTCAGATCCTCAAAATATTCTATAGCTGCACCATCGAGAGCATCCTGACTGGTTGCATCACCACCTGGTATGGCAACTGCTTGGCCTCCGACCGCAAGGCACTACAGAGGGTAGTGCGTACGGCCCAGTACATCACTGGGGCCAAGCTTCCTGCCATCCAGGACCTCTATACCAGGCGGTGTCAGAGGAAGGCCCTCAAAATTGTCAAAGACTCCAGCCACCCTAGTCATAGACTGTTCTCTCTGCTACCGCACGGCAAGCGGTACCGGAGTGCCAAGTCTAGGTCCAAAAGACTTCTCAACAGCTTCTACCCCCAAGCCATAAGACTCCTGAACAGTTAATCATGGCTACCCGGACTATTTGCACTGCCCCCCCACCCCCACCCCATCTTTTTACGCTGCTGCTACTCTGTTAATTATTTATGCATAGTCACTTTAACTCTACCCACATGTACATATTACTTCAACTAGCCGGTGCCCCCGCACATTGACTCTGCACCGGTTCCCCCCTGTATATATAGCCTCCCTACTGTTATTTTATTTTACTTCTGCTCTTTTTTTCCTCAACACTTTTTTGTTGTTGTTTTATTTTACTTTTTTATTAAAAAATAAATGCACTGTTGGTTAAGGGCTGAAAGTAAGCATTTCACTGTAATGTCTGCACCTGTTGTATTCGGCGCATGTGGCCAATACAATTTGATTTGATTTGAATGTTGACTGTACTATCCTGATTCTGTTTTACAAATCTTTCATTGAGAGTATTTTAACTTTTTGTACTGTTTGTTGGTATGGCAATGTCACTGTCAGCCAGAGAAATACTCTGAGAAGGATTATCACCACAGCAAGCAAGGTACTTGGAGTCAAACAGACAGGCCTGGATGAGATCTTTAAGGTCAGAGCCCTCCAAGGCTCACATAATCATTTTAGACTCAAGCCACCCCCTGTCCCCAGACCCAAGCCACCCCCCGTACCCAGACCCAAGCCACCCCCTGTCCCCAGACCCAAGCCACCCCCTGTCCCCAGACCCAAGCCACCCCCTGTCCCAAGACCCAAGCCACCCCCTGTCCCCAGACCCAAGCCACCCCCTGTCCCCAGACCCAAGCCACCCCCTGTCCCCAGACCCAAGCCACCCCCTGTAGCCAGACCCAAGCCACCCCCTGTCCCCAGACCCAAGCCACCCCCTGTACCCAGACCCAAGCCACCCCCTGAACCCAGACCCAAGCCACCCCCTGAACCCAGACATTGAACTACTCCCCTCTGGGTGCAGGTATAGAGCACCCCTTGGCGGAAAAACAGAACTAGACAATAATTTGTGCCAGGTGTGATATCCCTCCTAAATAGCTCAGGCTAATGTTCCTATCGACCCAGTAAAGCCAGCAAGCTAATGTTCCTATCGACCCAGTAAGGCCAGCAGGTTAATGTTCCTATCGACCCAGTAAGGCCAGCAAGCTAATGTTCCTATCGACCCAGTAAGGCCAGCAAGCTAATGTTCCTATTGACCCAGTAAGGCCAGCAAGCTAATGTTCCTATCGACCCAGTAAGGCCAGCAGGCTAATGTTCCTATCGACCCAGTAAGGCCAGCAGGCTAATGTTCCTATCGACCCAGTAAGGCCAGCAGGCTAATGTTCCTATCGACCCAGTAAGGCCAGCAGGCTAATGTTCCTATCGACCCAGTAAGGCCAGCAGGCTAATGTTCCTATTGACCCAGTAAGGCCAGCAGGCTAATGTTCCTATTGACCCAGTAAGGCCAGCAGGCTAGTCTCTTTTTATTGGTATGTAACTGCTATGAAAGTTGTATTGTCAGTTTGTTTTGTAATTAAACGCCACTTTAAACGTGTACATGACACTGCAACAAAATGTCCCCATGGGAACAATAAAGTCAGTAAAGTAAAGTAGAAGAACAAAATGCCAGTGAAGACACTTGCCAGCTGATCAGAGCATGCTCTGAGTACGCATCCTGGTAATCCATCTGGCTCTGTGACTTTGTGAATGTTAACCTGTTTAAAGGTCTTACTCACATCGGCTACGGAGAGCGAGATCACACAGTCATCCGGAGCAGCTGGTGCTCTCATGCATGGTTCAGTGTTGCTTGCCTCAAAGCGAACATAGAAGGCAGTTAGCTCGTCTGGTAGGCTCGCGTCACTGGGCAGCTTGCGGCTGGGTTTCCCTTTGTAATCCGTGATAGTTTGCAAGCCCTGCCACATCCGAGCCGGCGTAGTAGGATTCGATCTTAGTCCTGTATTGACGCTTTGCCTGTTTGATGGCTCGTCAGAGGTCGTAGTGGGATTTCTTATAAGCATCCGGATTAGTGTCCCGCTCCTTGAAAGCGGCAGCTCTAGCCTTTAGCTCAGTGCAGATGTTGCCTGTAATCCATGGCTTCTGGTTGGGGTATGTATGTATGGTCACTGTGAGGATGAAATCGTCTATGCACTTATTAATGAAATCGGTGACTGATGTGGTGCGGATATCATGGCAGTAATGGTGCCGAGTACAGAGTATACAAAGGATGACAATTTCCTTACACCATATTTCTTACACCAAACCACTTTTTAAACGGGAAACATTATTTTCACGATACTTCGATAGCAGGTTAGGAAAACTTATGCAGCAGGCTAGGATAATTAACTTAGCAGGTTAGGGAAAATGCATGAAAACTATGTAAACCATATGCCATGGCCATTTCAGTCACTAGATCTCAACCCAATTTGAACACTTACAGGAGATTCTGGCGCGGCGCCTGATACAGTGTTTTGCACCACCATTAACAAAACACCAAATAATGGAATTTCTCATGGAAGAATGGTATCAGAACCCTCCAATAGAGTTCCAGACACTTGTAGAATCTATGCCAAGGTGCACTGAAGCAACTTTATGCTGGTGTTTCCTTTATTTTGGCAGTTACCGGTATGTGAACTATATAGGGCTCCCGAGTGGAGCAGCGGTCTAAGGCACTGCATCTCAGCTGTCTAAGGCACTGCATCTCAGCGGTCTAAGGCACTGCATCTCAGCGGTCTAAGGCACTGCATCTCAGCGGTCTAAGGCACTGCATCTCAGCGGTCTAAGGCACTGCATCTCAGCGGTCTAAGGCACTGCATCTCAGCGGTCTAAGGCACTGCATCTCAGCGGTCCCCCCGTATCACTGCATCTCAGCGGTCTAAGGGCACTGCATCTCAGCGGTCTAAGGCACTGCATCTCAGCGGTCTAAGGCACTGCATCTCAGCGGTCTAAGGCACTGCATCTCAGCGGTCTAAGGCACTGCATCTCAGCGGTCTAAGGCACTGCATCTCAGCGGTCTAAGGCACTGCATCTCAGTGCTTGAGGCGTCACTACAGAGACCCCCTGGTTCGATTCCAGGCTGTATCACAACCGGCCGTGATTGGGAGTCCCATAGGGCGGCACACAATTGGCCCAGCGTCGTCCGGGTTTGGCCGATGTAGGCCGTCATTGTAAATAAGAATTTGTTCTTAACTGACTTGCCTACTTAAATAAAGGTAAAATAAAAAATTAAATAAAAATAGAGGTAGAGTCACCTGAAGATCTCTATGGTGCTCTCTATTGACTATACTATAGAAATAGTCACCTGAAGATCTCTATGGTGCTCTCTATTGACTATACTATAGAAATAGTCACCTGAAGATCTCTATGGTGCTCTCTATTGACTATACTATAGAAATAGTCACCTGAAGATCTCTATGGTGCTCTCTTTTGACTATATTGAAGATCTCTATGGTGCTCTCTATTGACTATACTATAGAAATAGTCACCTGAAGATCTCTATGGTGCTCTCTTTTGACTATATTATAGAGGTAGTCACCTGAAGATCTCTATGGTGCTCTCTTTTGACTATATTATAGAAATAGTCACCTGAAGATCTCTATGGTGCTCTCTATTGACTATACTATAGAAATAGTCACCTGAAGATCTCTATGGTGCTCTCTTTTGACTATATTATAGAGGTAGTCACCTGAAGATCTCGATGGTGCTCTCTTTTGACTATATTATAGAGGTAGTCACCTGAAGATCTCGATGGTGCTCTCTTTTGACTATATTATAGAGGTAGTCACCTGAAGATCTCGATGGTGCTCTCTTTTCAAATCAAATCAAATCAAATTTTATTGGTCACATGCGCCGAATACAACAGGTGCAGACATTGCAGTGAAATGCTTACTTACAGCCCTTAACCAACAGTGCATTTATTTTAAACAAAAAAAGTAAGAATAAAACAACAACAAAAAAAGTGTTGAGAAGAAAAGAGCAGAAGTAAAATAAAGTGACAGTAGGGAGGCTATATATACAGTAAAATAAAGTGACAGTAGGGAGGCTATATATACAGGGGGGTACCGTTGCAGAGTCAATGTGCGGGGGCACCGGCTAGTTGAGGTAGTTGAGGTAATATGTACATGTGGGTAGAGTAGTCACCTGAAGATCTCGATGGTGCTCTCTTTTGACTATATTATAGAGGTAGTCACCTGAAGATCTCGATGGTGCTATCTTTTGACTATATTATAGAGGTAGTCACCTGAAGATCTCGATGGTGCTCCAGAGGTAGAAGACGAAGAAGACCACTGCTTTGTTCTGCATCTCCTCCAGACTACCGAAGATCACAAACAGGATAACGTTCCTACCCACCACCTGGACAGGTCAAAAACACAAAAACACACTACATTAAAGGAATAATTCACCCTAAATACAAAATCACTTATCCTCACCCTGAAAGCATCCTATGGGCAAGGAGAGACAATATATGCTTTGGGTTGGTTTACAAAAACCATTGCTGCCAACTTTAGCTTTGACTAACCAAAAAACAAACTAGAAGTCAACGTATCCCAAATTAGCATGCGTTATATTTTAAACCCAAGCCATTTTGAAAGTGAGTTTTCTGTGTGTTTGGATTGAGCCCTACCTGGATCATAGCTGGGAAGACCCCAGTCTTGACCAGACCCACTAGAGGGTTAATGACCTCTGCTACGGCCATCATCTGACAGAAGTACATCATGTCAGCAATGGTGTGGAACGTGTCATAGAAGGAGTCTGACAGGAGGGGGAGAGAGAGAGAGAGAGAGAGAGAGAGAGAGAGAGAGAGAGAGAGAGAGAGAGAGAGGGGGAGAGAGAGAGAGAGAGGGGGAGAGAGAGAGAGAGAGAGAGAGAGAGGTAGAACACATTGAATATCCAAAGTAGCCTGGTTCCATACTGTATGTGCTGAAGTCCAGCGGTTCTCAACCCGTTTTAGTAACTCTACCCCAGTCACATTTAGCTATGCCTGAAGTACTCCCCCAAGTACCATTTCATGTGTATTTCACCAGTAGGTCTACGTTCTCGTAAGACTCCTCAAGTGTCCCTGTGGAAAGGCCAAAGCACACCAGGGTGACGACCACTGCTGTAGTCAAGTCTTCAATTGTTGTGAGGACATATAAACTGAATTTGGCTAAAGCACAAACAGATTGGACCACCGGGCTATTCAGTATCCAAAGCTATTTGCAAGACAAATTCATCGACAGACTAGAGTCAATGTTATTTTTCTCATATTCAAATGGGGCGCATCTATGAATAAAGGGCCCGTTTACTTCTTCTAGGGAAGCAACACATCGGCTTGCTGGGTTTGATGTCAGTTCTGAGTGGTGTGGGTTCATCTGCCTCACTCAGATCACTTCACAGAAACAGAACTTAATAAGAATAAGTTGAAACTAGACAGCTTTCAGCTAAAAATAAATAAATAAGAGGAAGAAAGATGATGTATGTAAATATTTGTGTTATGTGAGCCATCTATACTAACTCTCTTACTTTATGTTGAAGAACCAGTTCTGAGGTAGCTAGATCCAACCACAGCTGTTGAGTTTAAAAGGAATTATTATGATGGTACACTTTTCCATCCCTGAAAACATTGACCACTTAACCTGCTTGGTGTCTGTAGCCAACTCTGTAGTCAACTCTCAAGCCAAACATGACAACCAACCAACAAACAACAACAACAACAACAAACAGCCACTAACAGACTGGACCCTCAGCAGGCTCCGGACCACTGACCTTGTCCCAGGATGAAGAGACGGACGGTCATGTTGACAAAGATCCAGGAGAAGCCCAGGAACTGGACCAGGTTGTACATGAACAGATAGCCCTTCTTTAGACCCAGGTAGGCTGAGAGAACAAACTAAATATTAACATAATACAGCTTTAAACACATAACACCAGGTTGAACATGAACAGATAGCTCTTCTTTAGACACAGGTAGGCTGAGAGAACATTGTACAGCTTTCAATAATAACACACAAAAATTGAATAAATACAAAAGGAGACTCCAGTCAATTGGTTTTGTATGTCTATACCAAAACCAAATGATTTGAAATTACATTTCAGATGTTTACATTTTCAAATATCTAGTACTTAAAAAGGTAGCTTGTATTTGTGTTGGTATAAACTAAAAGGCGATGCACAGTCTAAACCAGGGTTCCCCAATTGGTGGCCCGCGGGTGGATTTATTTGGTCCCCAAACTTTTCTGAGCAAAAAAAAAAAAAAGTATACGTTGCATTTTCATTGTTGTACATAAAATAGTGTAAAAACACCAAGAAATCAGCTGTTACCAAGTATTCCCACGAGCCGACTAGGTGAAAAATCTGTCGATGTGCCCTTGAGCAAGGCACTTAACCCTAATTGCTCATGTAAGTCGCTCTGGATAAGAGCGTCTGCTAAATGACTAAAATGTCAAATGATAATAGAGAGACATACAAATTTAGGCAAGGATTTAAATGATCTGCTTGGGATTCTTGTGGTCAAATTGCAGTCTACAAATGATTTGTACTTATGTTCCGGCTCCCCGACCATCTGGTCAACAACAAAAAAAAATCGTCCCACGGCTGAACCTAGTTGATGATCCCTGGTCTAAACCAACGGCATCTTTAACCAAGAAACGCAAATATTCAGATTAGAGACAAGGGCTGCAGTGTTCACAGCTGCACCGCTCGGTACTTACCGTCTTTACGGATTCTTGACTCGATGCTGACCTTGTTAATCTTCTCCTCTTCCTGAGAACAAACAGACAGAGCATCAGGTGTAATAAATGTCATAACACACTTAGAAAAGCCAAATAAAGCCTTATACTTCATAGAAAATTATTTGTCATCCTTTTGTATTACGTCTAAAAGTTCCACAGCGTTATACCAAAAACTGACCCCGGACATTACTACCTTAGCCTGAAGCTCCATCTCTGCGTCTGATTCGTCGAGCCAGCGGTCGAAGTCTGGCGCCAGGAAGAGAGGTTTCCTCTCCTGCAGAGTGAGTCTATCCCACCAACGTTGCTCTAGCTTCCTCACTGTCACGTTTACCAGGCGCTGGGTCGACCTGTGACTCACCTGGCAGACAGACATGCACACAGACACAAACACACAGTGAGTGTGATCATTACCGTAGACACCACAGGAGGTTAGTGGCACCTTTAATTGGGGGAGAACGGGCTCGTGGTAATGACTGGAGCGGAGTATGTGGAATGGTAACAAATACATCAAACACATGGTTTCCTGGTGTTCGATGCCATTCCATTTGATCCATTCCGGTCATTATTATGAGCCACCTCCTGTAGTAGATACACTTAACAATAAAGTACATGCAGGGAACAGTAACAATCTCTAGTACAATAAGAGAGGTTTGTCTTTGAGACTGAGAAGAGTGTGATGAGAAACTACATTTTGGAGGAGAAAATAACAGAATAATAGAACACCTCAGGTTTTACTGGTTCCAGGAAGTCCAGACTGAACTCATAGTCATTGACTCCTTTAGCTCCGTGACCCTGAGCTGTCGAACAAAGGAACATGGGTTTAATACTATGTACAGACTAGAGTTATTCTCATTATATCAGCTTGTGGCCTGTGTCATTCTGTTCCAATGTAATGCAAACACCAACCTTTGAATTGCAGGGTGTTGTCTTGCACGCAGATATCAAGATTCTGAAACGCGAAAGTAAATGTCATGCATAAAAAAAAACTCAAAAAGCGGAAGACGACTGTCAGCTACCAGGCTAAATATAGAAACCACTAACATTGGTTGAGCTCAAACTATGTGACTGAGTGGCTGATACGGATGTGTATCCCTCACACATACAGCATCACTAACATATTCTGATGACATTATGTACACTATGCTATGTAGCTGGAGTACAAATGTTGATCATGATGCGTCTTGAGTGAGTAACTATGTCTGCTGAATGGCCAAATTGGATCCAGCGATCACCATGACAATTCCTGAATCTTTTATGAAGCATGACATTCGGTAGACGCACCACCACTAGCTACTAACGTTACAACTCAATATGAATGACAGTAACTAGCTAGCTAGCGTCGTCTAGCCTCGTCGAGAACCAGCCTTCTCTCGACAACGACGTGATTTTGGACTGTGGAATAGTGGATCAGGATCTCAGGAAACGATATGTATGGTACTGTCTGACTAGTAGTAGTGTCATGCTAGACTTTTGTTTTGTTATCACTCGGTATAGTTAATAGAACAAAGTGGTAAGTTAGCTAGCTAGATTTATGAGCATACTTGCTAACGTGTAAGCATGGGCTGGTATCACTCCATTCTCAAAGGAGCATTGTAGCTAATGTAATGTATGTAATTTGTTCATGTCAGCAACGTGCATTCAATTTACAATGTCCAGCAGTGAGCTTAAGCAAAGACACTTATTACTGGCTGAAGTGATGTTTACTATCTAGCTAGCTTGTTAGCCTAGCCAGCTAGCTTGGAGACAAGTCGGTCCCGGAGAGCATCAGTAACATACCTTAGCGTCACTCAGCTCTACGCGCAGGTAGATGTCTCCGTGACGCTGTGCCCAATATACGTGCGGTGTGAGGGTCTGCATTGTGATATATATATATATATATAAAGCTACGGTAGATTCAATTAATATTATTGTTATATCAAGCAGAAGCAATGATGGAGATCCTCCGCATCATTCATTCAGCCAGCTGGCTAGAGGCGGAAACAGTTATCAAAGGATACTCAGGGTGCGTTCAGTTCGATTGAACGTTTACGTTGCTTAACGGTTTGTACTGAACGACACGTTTCCCTAAAACGTTCTTGAACAGACTTTGAGGTACGTTTGCTCCGTTTGGTGGGTGTGTCTTGAAGTAATTTACTGTATGTCTGCGGCACAACGTTCCCCAACACACAACCGACCCAACCAACCACTCCCTCCACGTTTTTGAACTGGTCGTTCATAACAGCACCGTTTCCATTGAATTGAACGTTGCAGTACGTTTTTCTATACTGAACGCAGCTCAGGTGTCGCTACGTGCGCGCTACACCCACGAATCAAAAAAAGGAAAGAACGTGCTCGTGCACAGTCAGTTACAATAAAAAAAGTGATGTCAGAGGTTTCAAACTTTGATATTATTTAAATTGAAAGAAATATATAATATTGATACTCTCTGGATATGTATTGGACAGTACAGAAGTACAGCTCTTACAAACGTACTTTATTTTTTTCTTCCTCAATTCGGGGCTACATGTAAGCTACGGGGGCAACCAACATCCAAGGGCTGCTCCCCATGACACCGGCCAATTCACGCCATCTGAAATGTTACATCCGACGTGTGAAATAGATTGAGTGATATCCACCGTACGGCTGATCATGTTATGTACTATATAAAGCCCATACAACAGAAGTGACTGTTATTAAAATCAGCCATGTTATACAGGCCTTGGACTTCTCCAGGCAGATGATACATACATGCATCAGCAGTCCAGAAACAAAATTAAAAATAATATGCCATTTAGCAGACGCTTTTATCCAAAGCGACTTACAGTCATGCGTGCATTCATTTTTACATATGGGTGGTCCCGGGGATCGAACCGACTACCCTGGCGTTACAATCTTGGTTAGAGTGCCAGCACACCAAAACTATCAAGTTTGACCTACTTGGGATGCTGTAGGTCTATGGGTCTATGTATGACATTTGATGCAAGTGGAATGTGAACAGGAGCAAGTATTCAAGCATCTATATATTTTGTCTAAAGAAAACAAATCGTATAACAAAATTCCTTTTGAATGACATTTATTTAAATAGGACATTTGTTTGTAAGAATGGTTATAATACATGAAAGCAACTGTATCTGACCTTCCCATTTCACAGAAAGTATCAGAAACAGAGATAAAAAATAGTATTTTCAGATGATTCACGCTTTGGTGAAGAAAAATCTTTGTTTCCTTCTTGTCGGCCACATCGGTGTCAAATGCCAGACTCTTTTCTTTCTTGAGGGCTACAGCGCATTGAGAAACGTATTCCAACAAGCACTGACAGAAGACGTCACTGTGACTACTCCTGCCACTTCCCTGGGCTAGGGTAGTCTTGTTTTGGACCTCGTACGCTCATATAAAACTGGAAAGTGTTACGAAGGTAAATGGCATCATCATGTCAACCATGTTTGTACAACCCAAGCTACGTCCCAAATGACACCCTATTCCCTCTAGTGCACTACTACCCATTGGTCTGTGTGGTCAAAAGTAGTGCACTTATATAGGGAGTAGGGTGGCATTTCGGACTCACTACCAGTGTAAACGCCACTCTCATAGTCTAGATGCCAAAGCTTTACAACAACAGACATCTCAAAACATCAGCTCTTTATGCCCGGTAACGATTTTTTCTTTTGAAATGCAGCTGTCGGACAAGACTCTTTCCTTGAAGCTCATAAAGCAGTTCGTATAACTCAACTGCATGGTGCTATAGAAAGCAATACTCCTTTACAGAACACAGATAGAGCGGGGGGAAACGGGGTAGGTTTTCTCAGCCAGCTCTGTCACAGCTTCTAGTTCTTTAGGGGCCTAGGACTAGGTACTGTCGTCATGCCGACTGACTCAAGTTTAAACAGCACTTTCAGGGAATTACCTACCGCCTCCCAGGTTACCAAGGTGCCCTACCGCCTCCCAGGTTACCAAGGTGCCCTACTGCCTCCCACGTTACCAAGGCGCCCTACTGCCTCCCAGGTTACCAAGGTGACCTACCGCCTCCCAGGTTACCAAGGTGCCCTACTGCCTCCCAGGTTACCAAGGTGCATGCAAAAACCATGAGGAAAAGCTCAAGCCTGAAAAATAAATACATTTGTTTATTTTTTTTATGAGTGAATGTCACTCAATTTGGCTCTCATGAAACAGTTGGTAGTGTGTTATCTGGAACGGAGAACTTCTAAGGAGAAACAGGAGGAGAGGTGATCGGAGGACAACAAAACAACAAGGAGGAAGGGAGGAGGGGGGGGTAGAACAAACAGGACATGGCTTGCATCCCAAATGGCACCCTATTCCCTACATAATGCACTACTTTTGACCAGGGCCCATAGGGCTCCCATAGATAGGGCTCCCATAGATAGGGCTCCCATAGATAGGGCTCCCATAGATAGGGCTCCCATAGATAGGGCTCTGGTCAAAATAAGTGCACTTTATAGAGAATAGGGTACTATTTGAGACACAGCCGGACTCCTTTCCAAGTCATTCTCTATTCATTTCTCAAAACCCCTCAGGTGCAATTAGCTGATAACCTCTGAAAGTTGCGAGGTCAATTCCAACTATGAATAATCAATGTATTACCTGAACTACAGTCTGGCTTGCTGTTAAACATATGGTTTGTTCTTTAGTCTCATTCTCTCACGTACTAATGCTATCCTTTAGTGGATTTTGTTTAGTCAGATTTGCTTTAAAGCTACTACAACCCAGTCAGAGTTCTATCGTTCGTTCAAACTGTTTCTTTCCTTGTTCTCCTGGGTGAAGAAGCTACACAGCTTCCAAACCCTCACAAACACCTCTTCTTTTTTTTCTTTTTTTAAAGCAGGAGGGAACTTGTCTTCTACACAGCAACTATATTGAATATTTGAAAAAGAATAAATATTTTTCTAAAAATTAAAAAAAAAAAAAAAAATGCCACACTTGCTGTTCCATGCATATGCGTTATTTACAAATTGAAAAACATGTTTCCTTCTTTTTTTTTTTTGCACTCCCTTTGCTTTTTGTCTGCCAACCCATATGGTTTGACACCTTACAATCAGCAAATCAACATTCAACAACCCTAAATGGGATCTAACCACACTCAATGAACATGGCTTGAACAGTTGGACTGTGTTGAACACAAACCCCATGTCCCAAACAAGGGTACTTAAAATGAAACAAATAAAATACATCTCACTGGAAAACTGAACAGAGTAGTTGGGGAAAGGGAGTGATGTTACAATAGTGACCAATTGAGAGAAGTGGGGAGATCTTTTTTTTTTTTGTCCTCACAATCAAATCTGCTACAAACAATACTGTTGTACGATTAATGTTTGAAATATTCTACCTCTTTTTTTTTATTTTGATATAATTTATAAACTTTTTCCATTAAACAAAACCCAAGAAAAAAAACAAAAAACGCAATATTGGGAAGATCAGCAACAATAGCTGAAAACCAGTGTTGCCCCGTGGCATTGCATCAGTGCTCTAGTCTGTAGAAGGGGTTTTTAGTAAAGAGTCTATCTTCAATCTTCTATGTACTCCCACAGATCCTTCTCATAGCCCTCATGCACATGCTGCAGCAGAACCCTCCGCCGACTCTCACAGTATCTGGAGGACACAACAAAAACAAACAGGAAACGGTGAGGATAGGAAAGGGTCATTTTAAAATCAGTCTGGTGTCATTCTGATATGCGCTGTAGGAAAGGGTCATTTTAAAATCAGTCTGGTGTCATTCTGATATGCGCTGTAGGAAGGGTCATTTTAAAATCAGTCTGGTGTCATTCTGATATGTGCTGTAGGAAAGGGTCATTTTAAATCAGTCTGGTGTCATTCTGATATGTGCTGTAGGAAGGGTCATTTTAAAATCATTGGTGTCTTCTGATATGTCTGTAGAGGGCTTTTTCATTGTTCTGATATGTGCTGTAGTAAGGGTCATTTTAAAATCAGTCTGGTGTCATTCTGATATGTGCTGTAGGAAGGGTCATTTAAATATCTGTGTAAATCGATAGTGCTGTAGTGGTGTAATCAGGTGGTGTCTTCTATAGTGCTGTAGGAAGGCATTTAATCAGTCTGTGTCTTCATGTTTAGGAAGGGTCATTTAAATCAGCTGTCTGTATGTGCGTATGTCATTTAAATCAGGTGGTGCATTGATATGTGCTGTAGGAAGGGTCATTTTAAATCAGTCTGGTGCCATTCTGATATGTGCTGTAGGTGTAGCGTAGCCAACTAATCATCTTTGGCTTGACAAACAAACAAACACAAATAGAATGGAACAAGAGGCAATTTCAGATTAAATTAATCGCTGATCATGACAGCCTCATAGTAGGCATGTTTAGAATACTCCTCCCACGTTAGCATTCAAATTTCATATATTTACCACTGACTGGTACAAAAAGACAAATCTGGTATAATTTCATAGATAAAACACAGAGCTATAAAATCATCTACCCTGTCGCAGACTAACCTGTACTTCCTGCTGTCATAAAGACATCTATATCATGTATTTAACTCACCCGTACTTCCTGCTGTAATAAAGACATCTATATCATGTATTTAACTCACCTGTACTTGTCCTGTACTTTCTGTTTGATGTCCTGCAGAGAGTCCTGGGAGATGTCCCGCTCCAGATATCCAGACAGAACCTCCGTGGCATTCTCCAAGTCAGCCTGATTGTTCTAAAAGAGGACCGCGTGGGTTCAGTCACAGCATATACACCGAGTGGACAAAACATTAAGGACACCAGCTCTTTCCATGACACAGACTGACCAGGTGAATCCATGTGAAAGCTATGATCCATTATTGATGTCACTTGTTAAATCCCACTTCAAAATCAGTGTAGATGAAGGGGAGGAGACAGGTTAAAGAAGGATTTTTAAGCCTCGAGACAATTGAGACATGGATTGTGTGTATGTGCCATTTAGAGGGTGAATGAGCAAGACAAAAAGATTGAAGTGCCTTTGAACGGGGTATGGTAGTAGGTGCCAGGCGAACCGGTTTGAGTGTGTCAAGAACTGCAACGCTGCTGGGTTTTGTACACTCAGTGTATAGTATAGCGCCACTACTTGCCCTGATAGAACTACATGAACAGGAATAACTGTGCTGCCGTTTTTTACCTGGAGCATTCAAACTCATGACAACAACTGTGGAAATAAAGATTTCCTTTAGAGAGGAGACCTTGACTTGTAGGTGTAGAAATACATCACAGCTTACTGTCTCCACCTGTACATCACGGCTTACTGTCTACACCTGTACATCACGGCTTACTGTCTACACCTGTCCATCACGGCTTACTGTCTCCACCTGTACATCACGGCTTACTGTCTCCACCTGTACATCACGGCTTACTGTCTACAACTGTACATCACGGCTTACTGTCTACACCTGTACATCACGGCTTACTGTCATACGGCTACCACCCTGTCCATCACGGCTTACTGTCTCCACCTGTACATCACGGCTTACTGTCTCCACCTGTACATCACGGCTTACTGTCTACACCTGTACATCACGGCTTACTGTCTACACCTGTACATCACGGCTTACCGTCTCCACCTGTACATCACGGCTTACCGTCTCCACCTGTACATCACGGCTTACTGTCTACACCTGTACATCACGGCTTTCTGTCTACACCTGTACATCACGGCTTACTGTCTACACCTGTACATCACGGCTTACTGTCTCCACCTGTACATCACGGCTTACTGTCTACACCTGTACATCACGGCTTACTGTCTCCACCTGTACATCACGGCTTACTGTCTACACCTGTACATCACGGCTTACTGTCTCCACCTGTACATCACGGCTTACTGTCTACACCTGTACATCACGGCTTACTGTCTCCACCTGTACATCACGGCTTACTGTCTACACCTGTACATCACGGCTTACTGTCTACACCTGTACATCACGGCTTACTGTCTACAACTGTACATCGCGGCTTACGTTACACCTGTACATCACGGCTTACTGTCTACCACTGTCTCACGGCGTACTGTCGCCCCCTGTACATCACGCTTAATGTCTACACCTGTACATACGGCTTACTGTCTCACCTGTACATCACGGCTTACTGTCTCCACCTACATCACGGCTACTGTTACTTACATCACGGCTTACTGTTCCCCCCCCCCCCATCCGGCTACCCCCACCCTGTCTCACACTCACGGCCCCACTTACCCCCGTCTCACCTGTACATCACGGCTTACTGTCTACACCTGTACATCACGGCTTACTGTCTACACCTGTACATCACGGCTTACTGTCTCCACCTGTACATCCACAGATACTGTTCTACAACTGTACCAACAGTTACTGGAGCAACTGCAACACTTCAAGCTAAATAGAATACCGGTACTTGACTCTCTCCACGCCTTCCTTCTCTCCCCCCCTTCTCCCTTCTCTACCCTCCCTCACCTCAAAGATGATGGACTGGTTGTTCTTCTTGAGGTAGAAGGGTTTAGGTTAGCTATAGGGTTAGTACTATAGCTGTAAAGTTACCTCAAAGATGATGGACTGGTTGTTCTTCTTGAGGTAGAAGGCGAAGACGTAGGTGAACATGAGTGTGGAGCGACACTGACACAGCACGTCCACGGCCTTCTTCAGGAACTGCACCTCGATCCAGGACATGTTGTGCTGCTGCATCTCCTCCATCTTCTGCTTGACCCCGGCGTACAGCTTGTGCTCGAAGCGCAGCGACTGCATGTGGTTCATGTAGCGGTTGCAGTAGAACAGGTACCGCTGCAGCGCTGCCCTGGATCGCTGGAGGAGGGGGGGGGGACAACGCCTGGCTCTTAATCACAACAACAATCAAGCCTGGGGACTGGGAGAATATGTCTACCATTATACATGCTCTTCATAACTAGTATAACCACCACTAATATACCATCACTAGTATAACCACAACTACTATATAATCACTAGTATAACCACCACTACTATACCATCACTAGTATAACCACCACTACTATACCATCACTAGTATAACCACCACTACTACACCATCAATAGTATAACCACCACTAGTATAACCACCACTACTACACCATCACTAATATAAGCACCACTACTATACCATCACTAGTATAACCACCACTACTACACCATCACTAGTATAACCATCACTAATATAACCACCACTACTATACCATCACTAGTATAACCACCACTACTATACCATCACTAGTATAACCACCACTACTATACCATCACTAGTATAACCACCACTACTATACCATCACTAGTATAACCACCACTACTATACCATCACTAGTATAACCACTCTACTATACCATCACTAGTATAACCACCACTACTATACCATCACTAGTATACCACCACTACTACACCATCACTAGTATAACCATCAATAGTATAACCACCACTACTACACCATCACTAGTATAACCACCACTACTACACAATCACTAGTATAACCACTACTACTATACCATCACTAGTATAACCACCACTACTATACCATCACTAGTATAACCACCACTACTATACCATCACTAGTATAACCACTCTACTATACCATCACTAGTATAACCATCACTAGTATACCACCACTACTACACCATCACTAGTATAACCACCACTACTATACCATCACTAGTATAACCACCACTACTATACCATCACTAGTATAACCACCACTACTACACCACCACTAGTATAACCACCACTACTATACCACCACTACTATACCACCACTACTATACCACCACTAGTATAACCACAACTACTATACCACCACTAGTATAACCACCACTACTATACCATCACTAGTATAACCACCACTACTATACCACCACTAGTATACCACCACTACTATACCATCACTAGTATAACCTCCACTACTATACCATCACTAGTATAACCACCACTACTATACCATCACTAGTATAACCACCACTACTACACCACCACTAGTATAACCACCACTACTATACCATCACTAGTATAACCACCACTACTATACCATCAATAGTATAACCACCACTACTATACCATCACTAGTATAACCACCACTACTACACCATCACTAGTATAACCACCACTACTATACCATCACTAGTATAACCACCACTACTATACCATCACTACTACACCATCACTAGTATAACCACCACTAGTATAACCACCACTACTACACCATCACTACTATACCATCACTAGTATAACCACCACTACTATACCATCACTAGTATAACCACCACTACTATAACATCACTAGTATAACCACCACTACTATACCATCACTAGTATAACCACCACTACTATACCATCACTAGTATAACCACCACTACTATACCATCACTAGTATAACCACCACTACATCACCACCACTAGTATAACCACCACTACTATACCATCACTAGTATAACCACTCTACTATTACATCACTAGTATAACCACCACTACTATACCATCACTAGTATAACCACCACTAGTATAACCACCACTAATACCATCACTAGTATAACCACCACTACTAACCATCACTAGTATAACCACCACTGACTATACCATCACTAGTATAACCACCACTACTATACCATCACTAGTATAACCACCACTACTATACCATCACTAGTATAACCACCACTACTATATACCATCACTAGTTATAACCACTACTACTATACCATCACTAGTATAACCACCACAACTATACCATCACTAGTATAAACCACCCACTACTATACCATCACTAGTATAAACCACCACTACTATACCATCACTAGTATAACCAACCACTACTATACCATCACTAGTATAACCACCACTAGTATAACCACCACTAGTATAACCACCACTACTATTACCATCACTAGTATAACCACCACTACTATACCATCACTAGTATAACCACCCACTACGATACCATCACTAGTATAACCACCACTACTATACCATCACTAGTATAACCACCACTACTATACCATCACTAGTTATAACCACCTCTACTATACCATCACTAGTATAACCACCACAACTATAACCATCACTAGTATAACCACCACTACTATACCATCACTAGTATAACCACCACTACTATAACATCACTAGTATAACCACCACTACTATACCATCACTAGTATAACCACCACTACTACACCACCACTAGTATAACCACCACTACTATACCATCACTAGTATAACCACCACTACTATACCATCACTAGTATAACCACCACAACTATACCATCACTAGTATAACCACCACTACTATACCATCACTAGTATAACCACCGCTACTATACCATCACTAGTATAACCACCACTACTATACCCACCACTACATCACCACCACTAGTATAACCACCACTACTATACCATCACTAGTATAACCACTCTACTATACCATCACTAGTATAACCACCAACTACTATACCATCACTAGTATAACCACCACTAGTATAAACCACCATACTATACCCACCACTACTATTACCATCACTAGTATAACCACCACTACTATACCATCACTAGTATAACCACCACTACTATACCATCACTAGTATAACCACCACTACTATACCATCACTAGTATAACCACCACTACTATACCATCACTAGTATAACCACCACTACTATACCATCACTACTACACCATCACTAGTATAACCACCACTAGTATAACCACCACTACTACACCATCACTACTACACCACCACTACTATACCATCACTAGTATAACCACCACTACTATACCATCACTAGTATAACCACCACTACTATACCATCACTAGTATAACCACCACTACTATACCATCACTAGTATAACCACCACTACTATACCATCACTAGTATAACCACCACTACTATACCATCACTAGTATAACCACCACTACATCACCACCACTAGTATAACCACCACTACTATACCATCACTAGTATAACCACTCTACTATTACATCACTAGTATAACCACCACTACTATACCATCACTAGTATAACCACCACTAGTATAACCACCACTACAATACCATCACTAGTATAACCACCACTACTATACCATCACTAGTATAACCACCACTACTATACCATCACTAGTATAACCACCACTACTATACCATCACTAGTATAACCACCACTACTATACCATCACTAGTATAACCACTACTACTATACCATCACTAGTATAACCACCACAACTATACCATCACTAGTATAACCACCACTACTATACCATCACTAGTATAACCACCACTACTATACCATCACTAGTATAACCACCACTACTATACCATCACTAGTATAACCACCACTAGTATAACCACCACTACTATACCATCACTAGTATAACCACCACTACTATACCATCACTAGTATAACCACCACTACTATACCATCACTAGTATAACCACCACTACTATACCATCACTAGTATAACCACCACTACTATACCATCACTAGTATAACCACTTCTACTATACCATCACTAGTATAACCACCACAACTATACCATCACTAGTATAACCACCACTACTATAGCATCACTAGTATAACCACCACTACTATACCATCACTAGTATAACCACCACTACTATACCATCACTAGTATAACCACCACTACTACACCACCACTAGTATAACCACCACTAGTATACCATCACTAGTATAACCACCACTACTATACAATCACTAGTATAACCACCACAACTATACCATCACTAGTATAACCACCACTACTATACCATCACTAGTATAACCACCGCTACTATACCATCACTAGTATAACCACCACTACTATACCCACCACTACATCACCACCACTAGTATAACCACCACTACTATACCATCACTAGTATAACCACTCTACTATACCATCACTAGTATAACCACCACTACTATACCATCACTAGTATAACCACCACTAGTATAACCACCACTACTATACCATCACTAGTATAACCACCACTACTATACCATCACTAGTATAACCACCACTACTATACCATCACTAGTATAACCACCACTACTATACCATCACTAGTATAACCACCACTACTATACCATCACTAGTATAACCACCCACTACTATACCATCACTAGTATAACCACCACTACTATACCATCACTAGTATAACCACTACTACACCACCACTAGTATAACCACTACTACACCATCACTAGTATAACCACTACTACACCATCACTACTATACCATCACTAGTATAACCACCACTACTATACCATCACTAGTATAACCACTCTACTATACCATCACTAGTATAACCACCACTACTATACCATCACTAGTATAACCACCACTACTATACCATTACTAGTATAACCACCACCACTATACCATCACTAGTATAACCACCACTACTATACCATCACTAGTATAACCACTACTACACCACCACTAGTATAACCACTACTACACCATCACTTACTATACCATCACTAGTATAACCACCACTACTATACCATCACTAGTATAACCACCACTACTACACCATCACTAGTATAACCACCAACTACTATACCATCACTAGTATAACCACCACTACTATACCATCACTAGTATAACCGCCACTACTATACCATCACTAGTATAACCACCACTACTACACCATCACTAGTATAACCACCACTACTATACCATCACTAGTATAACCACTACTACACCACCACTAGTATAACCACTACTACACCATCACTAGTATAACCACCACTACTACACCATCACTAGTATAACCACCACTACTATACCATCACTAGTATAACCACTACTACACCACCACTAGTATAACCACTACTACACCATCACTACTATACCATCAGTAGTATAACCACCACTACTATACCATCACTAGTATAACCACCACTACTATACCATCACTAGTATAACCACCACTACTATACCATCACTAGTATAACCACCACTACTATACCATCACTAGTATAACCACCACTACTATACCACCACTAGTATAACCACTACTACACCACCACTAGTATAACCACTACTACACCATCACTAGTATAACCACTACTACACCATCACTACTATACCATCACTAGTATAACCACCACTACTATACCATCACTAGTATAACCACTCTACTATACCATCACTAGTATAACCACCACTACTATACCATCACTAGTATAACCACCACTACTATACCATCACTAGTATAACCACCACCACTATACCATCACTAGTATAACCACCACTACTACACCACCACTAGTATAACCACCACTACTATACCATCACTAGTATAACCACCACTACTATACCATCACTAGTATAACCACCACTAGTATAACCACCACTAGTATAACCACCACTACTATACCATCACTAGTATAACCACCACTACTATACCATCACTAGTATAACCACCAATACTATACCATCACTAGTATAACCACCACTACTATACCACCACTAGTATAACCACTACTACACCACCACTAGTATAACCACTACTACACCATCACTAGTATAACCACTACTACACCATCACTACTATACCATCACTAGTATAACCACCACTACTATACCATCACTAGTATAACCACTCTACTATACCATCACTAGTATAACCACCACTACTATACCATCACTAGTATAACCACCACTACTATACCATCACTAGTATAACCACCACCACTATACCATCACTAGTATAACCACCACTACTATACCATCACTAGTATAACCACTACTATACCATCACTAGTATAACCACCACTACTATACCATCACTAGTATAACCACCACTACTATACCATCACTAGTATAACCACCACTACTACACCATCACTAGTATAACCACCACTACTATACCATCACTAGTATAACCACCACTACTATACCATCACTAGTATAACCACCACTACTACACCATCACTAGTATAACCACCACTACTATACCATCACTAGTATAACCACCACTACTATACCATCACTAGTATAACCGCCACTACTATACCATCACTAGTATAACCACCACTACTACACCATCACTAGTATAACCACCACTACTATACCATCACTAGTATAACCAGTACTACACCACCACTAGTATAACCACTACTACACCATCACTAGTATAACCACTACTACACCATCACTACTATACCATCACTAGTATAACCACCACTACTATACCATCACTAGTATAACCACCACTACTACACCATCACTAGTATAACCACCACTACTATACCATCACTAGTATAACCACCACTACTATACCATCACTAGTATAACCACCACTACTACACCATCACTAGTATAACCACCACTACTATACCATCACTAGTATAACCAACACTACTATACCATCACTAGTATAACCACCACTACTATACCATCACTAGTATAACCACCACTACTATACCATCACTAGTATAACCACCACTACTATACCATCACTAGTATAACCACCACTACACCATCACTAGTATAACCACTACACCATACTACTACACTGTAAATAATATTAAACCAGGAGAACGCCTTAATCATAACAGGAATTAATTGTTGGGGGACTGAAGAGACCTGTCAATCATTATACACGCTCTGAGGAGACCTGTCAATCATTATACACGCTCTGAGGAGACCTGTCTATCATTATACACGCTCTGAGGAGACCTGTCAATCATTATACACGCTCTGAGGAGACCTGTCAATCATTATACACGCTCTGAGGAGACCTGTCAATCATTATACACGCTCTGAGGAGACCTGTCAATCATTATACACACTCTGAGGAGACCTGTCTATCATTATACACACTCTGAGGAGACCTGTCAATCATTATACACACTCTGAGGAGACCTGTCAATCATTATACACGCTCTTCAACAAAGACCAGGACTGAGGAAACCTGTCTATCATTATACACGCTCTGAGGAGACCTGTCAATCATTATACACGCTCTGAGGAGACCTGTCAATCATTATACACGCTCTTCAACAAAGACCAGGACTGAGGAAACCTGTCTATCATTATACACGCTCTTCAACAAAGACCAGGACTGAGGAGACCTGTCAATCATTATACACGCTCTTCAACAAAGACCAGGACTGTGTTGTGATTCTATAGTGAGGGACACCAAAGACACCATGACTCACTGTTACCTCTTGTGCGTCCCTCGCTGCCTTGGCATCATCCTCATTGTAGCGGTTGCAGTTGTACCTACAAAACAGAGCAAGTAATTAGTGAGAGGAAAAAAAACACATTTTAGTTCAATATGGTTGTAGCTTCCTTCATTATTACAGCAAGACCCGACAGCAACCGGAGGGTTGCCAGTTCGAATCCCGGGTCTGACAGGAAATCTGTCCGGAAGTTAGTTTTTTTAACGGGAGGGTTGCTAGCAACAATCCTAGATGCCATCACCTGCAGTTGCGGCCTTGATCAAGGCACCTAACCCCCCCCCCCCCCCCCCCCCCCCCCCCCAACAACAACAACTGCTCCACGGGCGCCCAGCCCCCTGGCGTTGGGAGAAAGCGGAAGTCAAATTTTCGTTGAACCTTAAATGACAATAAAGGAATCTTAAAGGGACACTTCGGGATGTTGGCAGTGAAGCCCTTTATCTACTTCCCCCAGAGTCAGATCAACTCATGGATACCATTTTTATGTCTCTGTATCCAGAATGAAGTAAGTTAGAGGTAGTTTTGCAAGCCAATGCTAACTAGCGTTAGCGCAATGACTGCAAGTCTATGGGTATCTACTAGCATGCTAGCAGATCCCCATAGACTTCCAGTACAATAGTACTAGTCATTAGGAGGTAGATCCACCCACCAGGCAGAGCCGTGTGGTTCCCAGGGCCCCAGGCAGACCCAGCAGAACTCAGCCTTGCAGCTCTGGTTCCGACACACCATGTGGTTGCAGCCACCGTCCTTCTCAATGGTCACGTGGCATTTGGGGCACTCCTGAGGGACAGATGGCCAAGCAGAGAGACAGCTCAGTAACAGTCCATCATTCACACCGCAGCACTATAGAGCAACATTTAAGGGCCAGTTTCCAGGACACAGATTAAGCCTAGAATAACCACTGAGAATGCTTTTCAGTCCAGGAATAGGCTTAATCTATGTCTGGGAAACCGGTCCTAAAATGCTTAAAGAGATACTCAAAATCCAAATCTTCCTGGTTTCGTGGAGGACTAGCAACTGATATAGCTAGCTGCTGGACCTCCATAAAACAGACTAGGATAAAATACCCTTGTATTCGCTGCGATCCAGTTGGACGTCTCGCTGTCGTCGTCACACTTCTTGATCCATTTCCTCAACCACTGAAAAGTACATGTAGAAAAAGGATATTCAATACACAAGTTCAAAGGTCACCAACCTTTGTTTGATAATGTCCCTATAATACAGTAAGCAGAACTGTGTTTATCTCAGGACCTCTGTCCCACGTACACTGCACCACTACCCATGAATGTCTAGTCCAGTCCCATCCCACGTACACTGCACCACTACCCATGAATGTCTAGTCCAGTACCATCCCACGTACACTGCACCACTACCCATGAATGTCTAGTCCAGTACCATCCTTTAGTCACTAGTGGAGATCTGAAAGGTATAGAGGTATAAGCAATATGGTGACAACTCTACTTATCCTATCAGAGGATAAGGTAAAGCTACTACCACCTATCCTATCAGGGGATAAGGTGAAGCTACTACCACCTATCCTATCAGAGGACAAGGTGAAGCTACTACCACCTATCCTATCAGAGGATAAGGTGAAGCTACTACCACCTATCCTATCAGGGGATAAGGTGAAGCTACTACCACCTATCCTATCAGGGGATAAGGTGAAGCTACCACCATCTATCCTATCAGAGGACAAGGTGAAGCTACCACCACCTATCCTATCAGAGGATAAGGTGAAGCTACTACCACCTATCCTATCAGGGGATAAGGTGAAGCTACTACCACCTATCCTATCAGAGGATAAGGTGAAGTTGGCTATTGCTGTAAAGAGAACATAATGAAAAGACTCCAATCTGTCTTTTAGTTCTCAAAATTCTGAACTTAATTGAGTGAAAAGTCTTATTGGCACCAGCGGAGAACATCAGCCATATCCCCGGTGAGTGCATATTCACTGTCTTTATCATTGGGTCAGTGCCACTTTTGTTTGTTTTTGGACGATAATTTCCTTCTCCAGGTTAGATTGACGTCATATTGTATTTGTGTCTCTTTTCGTAGGGCGATTATATGGAACCGACAACGTCGTGTTTATTGATCGGTTTGTCAGTGGCAGCAGAGTAGGCTACCCTGTAATTTTTGTTGTATTAAAAAAATATTCTGCTAATGTCTCCAGTGATATAAAGTGTAGTAGAATTGCATGAAATGTGTTTTTTAAAAAAAGGCCAACATTTTCTGGTGTAAAGAAAGGAATGCTATCTGATATAGCCTAGCCTACTCTAAGCCACTACATGCTGCATTTAACATTATGTTTTACGAACAGTGATTGAGTTATATTATTAGCCTAAATTATGACTATCCAATCTAATCATCACATTAGGAATAGTAGGCTCATTTTTTTGTTGTTGTACTTTTTACCCCTTTTTCGTGATATCCAAATTGGTAGTTACAGTCTTGTCCCATCGCTGCAACTCCTGTACGGACTCGGTAGAGGCGAAGGTCGAGAGCCATACTTCCTCCGAAACACGGCCCTGCCAAGCCGCACTGCTTCTTGACTCAGTGCTCGCTTAACCCGGAAGCCAGCCGCACCAATGTGTCGGAGGAAACGCCGTACAACAGCATGCGCCCGGCCTGCCACAGGAGTCGCTAGAGCGCGATGGGACAAGGTCATCCCGGGCCGGCCTAACACTCCCCTAACCCGGACGACGCTGGGCCAATTGTGCGTCGCCTCATGGGTCTCCCGGTCGCGGCAGGCTGCGACACAGCCTGGGATCGAACCTGGATCTGTAGTGACGCCTCTAGCACTGCCTTAGACCGCTGCGCCACTCGGGAGGCCCATAGTAGGGTCTTACATAAATAAGTCTGCAAATGCAAGGATGCATGGAATGCTTTATTATAAAGGTGCATTTTTATGGTGAAAATGAGTTTTCCCAAACTTGAAACCCACACGCTGCCTATGTTAGAATAATTGCCCAAATTTACTTTTCCTCTGCCAACAAGACGAGTAACGAACAGCAAAATCACTAGCCTACAGTGAGGGAAAAAAGTATTTGATCCCCTGCTGATTTTGTACGTTTGCCCACTGACAAAGACATTATCAGTCTATAATTTTAATGGTACGTTTATTTGAACATTGAGAGACAGAATAACAAAATAAATTGATTTGCATTTTAATGAGGGAAATAAGTATTTGACCCCTCTGCAAAACATGACTTAGTACTTGGTGGCAAAACCCTTGTTGTCAATCACAGATGTCAGACGTTTCTTGTAGTTGGCCACCAGGTTTGCACACAGGAGTATAACCACCACTACACCATCACTAGTATAACCACCACCACTACAAACATTTTATAAATTGATTTGCATTTTAATGAGGGAAATAAGTATTTGACCCCCTCTCAATCAGAAAGATTGCTGGCTCCCAGGTGTCTTTTATACAGGTAACGAGCTGAGATTACATTACACTCTTAAAGGGAGTGCTCCTAATCTCAGCTTGTTACCTGTATAAAAGACACCTGTCCACAGAAGCAATCAATCAATCAGATTCCAAACTCTCCACCATGGCCAAGACCAAAGAGCTCTCCAAGGATGTCAGGGACAAGATTGTAGGGCTACAAGACCATCGCCAAGCAGCTTGGTGAGAAGGTGACAACAGTTGGTGCGATTATTCGCAAATGGAAGAAACACAAAAGAACTGTCAATCTCCCTTGGCCTGGGGCTCCATGCAAGATCTCACCTCGTGGAGTTTCAATGATCATGAGAACGGTGAGGAATCAGCCCAGAACTACACGGGAGGATCTTGTCAATGATCTCAAGGCAGCTGGGACCATAGTCACCAAGAAAACAATTGGTAACACACTACGCCGTGAAGGACTGAAATCCTGCAGCGCCCGCAAGGTCGCCCTGCTCAAGAAAGCACATATACAGGCCCATCTGAAGTTTGCCAATGAACATCTGAATGATTCAGAGGAGAACTGGGTGAAAGTGTTGTGGTCAGATGAGACCAAAATGGAGCTCTTTGGCATCAACTCAACTCGCCGTGTTTGGAGGAGGAGGAATGCTGCCTATGACCCCAAGAAAACCATCCCCACCGTCAAACATGGAGGTGGAAACATTATGCTTTGGGGGTGTTTTTCTGCTAAGGGGACAGGACAACTTCACCGCATCAAAGGGACGATGGACGGGGCCATGTACCGTCAAATCTTGGGTGAGAACCTCCTTCCCTCAGCCAGGGCATTGAAAATGGGTCGTGGATGGGTATTCCAGCATGACAATGACCCAAAACACACGACCAAGGCAACAAAGGAGTGGCTCAAGAAGAGGCACATTAAGGTCCTGGAGTGGCCTAGCCAGTCTCCAGACCTTAATCCCATAGAAAATCTGTGGAGGGAGCTGAAGGTTCGAGTTGCCAAATGTCAGCCTCGAAACCTTAATGACTTGGAGAAGATCTGCAAAGAGGAGTGGGACAAAATCCCTCCTGAGATGTGTGCAAACCTGGTGGCCAACTACAAGAAACGTCTGACCTCTGTGATTGCCAACAAGGGCTTTGCCACCAAGTACTAAGTCATGTTTTGCAGAGGGGTGAAATACTTATTTCCCTCATTAAAATGCAAATCAATTTATAACATTTTTGACATGTGTTTTTCTGGATTTCTGTTGTTGTTATTCTGTCTCTCACTGTTCAAATAAACCTATCATTAAAATTATAGACTGATCATTTCTTTGTCAGTGGGCAAACGTACAAAATCAGCAGGGGATCAAATGCTTTTTTCCCCTCACTGTATGTCAATCTACTATCCCCCATAGTAGAAATGTTGACCTATTCTATTGGTCAGCTTGTCAGAGAAAGAAATGGCCTATTCCAAACTGACTCTGGGACAATAGATTCCATATTCATCCAACCAGTGGGCCAAACCTTCATCCAGAAAACGTTAAAAAGCAATGAGGCTCATGCAACAGATCAGAACGTTTAGCATAAAAAAGGTTGATAAACGATTACCGTATTTTCCGCACTATAAAGGCACACCGGAGTATAAGCCGCAGCAGCTAAATTGAATGATATTGAATGATGTGTACATATATAAGCCGCACTGGACTATAAGCCGCAGGTGTTTTCATGTTTAATTACCATATGTAAGGGTTCGTGCACAGAGGGGATTGTCAGGAAAGAGACAAACTGTCTCGCTCTCGTAATGTCTGTCTGTCTTGCTCTCGTTCTGTCTCTCGTACCACTCTCGGTTCCACTTTTACTTTTGCGCGCTACCTGTCTCACTCTTTTCCGGCCTCCAGCTTTTCCTGCTGGAGCCCGCCGCTTAAAGGTGGGGGGCGCGGACCGGTCATAGAGCCCATAGAGTTAAAGTTGGTGGACTGTAACCTGTAAAATCCATAGATTTAGGAGGTCTTCTAGTGGCCGTTAGCTGTAAAAATCCATAGATTAGCCGCACCATTATATAAGCCGCAGGGTCGAAAAATGGGAAAAAAGGCGCGGCTTATAGTCCGAAAATTATGGTATTTCTTCACATTATAAGCGCAGCAAGCTACGTGCGAATGCTCGTTCCATAATGCAATTAGCAGGAAAACACCATTTTGAGCGGTTTGACGAGACAGAGATGAAAATATCCGTTAGAAATGTAGAAAGAGGGGAGATCTAAATTTGCAACATCTAGCATGGGGTTGCTAATATGACTAGGATTGTGCCTTTGGCTACTGGACAATGAAAGAAAGTTGATTTGAAAACCAATAGAAAATGAGAGAAAAAGGCCACTGGTTTCAATGGCATATGGAAATCTTTAGAAAATAATTGCCTGCACGTTTGGTGGGATTTTGGCTATAGGCTACATTGAAGCAAGGTAAGACATGTCTCATAATATGCAGTAAAACGTTCAGGTTTCAAACAATTAAGCGTCCGTTTTCAACATGCATACTACATTTACATTTTTAGTCATTTAGCAGAAGCTCTTATCCAGAGCGACTTACAGTTAAGTGAATACATTTGTGTTTTCTTTTTTTGTATTTTTTTTGTATTTCTTTATTTTTGTTTTTTCCCCCTTTGTTCTGTTTAATTTTTTCTTCTTCTTTATACTGGCCCCCCGTGGGAATCCAACCCACAACCCTGGCGTTGCAAACGCCATGCTCTATCAACTGAGCTACATCCCTGCCGGCCATTCCCTCCCCTACCCTGGACGACGCTGGGCCAATTGTGCGCCGCCCCATGAGTTTCCCGGTCGCGGCCGGCTGCGACAGAGCCTGGATTCGAACCAGGATCTCTAGTGGCACAGCTAGCACTGCGATGCAGTGCCTTAGACCACTGCGCCACTCAGGAGCACCTCCAGCTCATTGCAATGTGGTGTGTGACGTGCTGAAGCCTGCCTAGTTGCCTACGCACTTGAATGGGGAATAGGAAGCGTGCTTCAATTACCACTTGAGAAATAAAAATAGTAGGTCTTTGTTTAAATTGTGGCCATTTTTTGTTGTTGTTGTAAAAAAACAAAAAAAAAAACAATGTTGCGCAATAATTGGGCTTATTAAAGCATGTTTCATTCCAGCAGCAACAATAAGCAGTTGTAGCGTTACATCAACTGGTATTTCAATCAATGAAGAGGCTAAAATGCATTATTTCACCAAGGGATTTTTTTCTTTCTCCCGGACAATTGGCAGGCGCTTATTTTATTTATCGGCTATTCAGATTTTTTGGGGTGTCAAAAGCCGGCTATTACCGGCTAACGGAAACCCTGGACTACACCTATCCTATCAGGGGACAAGGCTACTACCACCTATCCTATCAGAGGACAAGGCTACTACCACCTATCCTATCAGAGGATAAGGTGAAGCTACTACCACCTATCCTATCAGGGGACAAGGCTACCACCACCTATCCTATCAGGGGACAAGGCTACCACCACCTATCCAATCAGGGGACAAGGCTACCACCACCTATCCAATCAGGGGACAAGGCTACTACCACCTATCCAATCAGGGGACAAGGCTACCACCACCTATCCTATCAGGGGACAAGGCTACCACCACCTATCCAATCAGGGGACAAGGCTACTACCACCTATCCTATCAGGGGACAAGGTGAAGCTACTACCACCTATCCTATCAGAGGATAAGGTGAAGCTACTACCACCTATCCTATCAGGGGATAAGGTGAAGCTACCACCACCTATCCTATCAGAGGATAAGGTGAAGCTACTACCACCTATCCTATCAGAGGATAAGGTGAAGCTACTACCACCTATCCTATCAGAGGATAAGGTGAAGCTACTACCACCTATCCTATCAGAGGATAAGGTGAAGCTACTACCACCTATCCTATCAGATCTACAGTACATGAAGTGTATATGGGGTTGTTTTTGTGGACAGGGCCAACCACTATCACACTACCACTGACAGGGAGGGAGGGAGGGTTGAATTTAGACTCCGTTGTGACATACCTTACACTTGACGGGATCATGCCAGTTCTCACCACAATTGAAGCTGCAACGATTGGGTAGAAATCAGGATCCACATGTAACCAAATATCAATGCATTTTAAGATTCCCTTTGTGTGACAATTGCAAGAGAGATATCATCATGCGTTCTGAGAGATCTTGGTTACAATCCTTTTACAGTGTGTTAATAATCAAGAAGTCTCTGTGTAATTATTGGCGTTTGATGCCCTCTGCATGCCAGAGAATGTGTGATACACAACCAAACCAATAAAACAGGGAATGTAGTCATAGTGTGGCTGTCTCTTACCAGAACTGACGGCCACATGTGCATCTCACAGGCTTGGCATCTGGGTACTGGACTTTGACTACGTGATGGCAGTCTGGCGCTGGGCACCATTTTAACAGTCGATTGCACTGAGGACGAGAGGAGAGGAGTCAGGAAGATGAGAAGCTGATACTAGCAGAAGGAACACACGCCATAACCCTCTTTTCCCAAACAAGCAAGCTCATCTAACGACATCTGAAGAACGAATTTGATATTTAGGCCCACGTGTAAAATTGCTTCATTGTTTTGTACAGACATCATCTTGATATAACATTTTTGCTGTATATTTGATCAATGAAGAACATGACACATCTTACCTCTACAAAACTATTGGTAATCAAGTGTTGGTACTTCAGCTTGACCTTGGATTCTGTGATTAGTCTCCTACAGGAAAAGAACAGCTTTTCAAAAGCAAATTCAGGGAGTGGATTTGGACAAATACAAAACCAGCTATCTCCCACAGAACAAGCAGTGGGTAGGGCAGGACTGCCCAGCCCTGTTACTGGAGAGCTACAGACCTGTAGGTTTTTACAAGCCGGTTGATAAAGATGAATCAGGTTAGTAACACCTGGGGTTGGAGCAAAAACCTACAGGAGGGTAGCTCTCCAGGAACAGGGTTGGGCAACCCTGGTGTAGAACTAGCACAGTGTAGAACTAGCACAGTGTAGAACTAGCACAGTGTAGAACTAGCACAGTGTAGAACTAGCACAGTGTAGAACTAGCACAGTGTAGAACTAGCACAGTGTAGAACTAGCACAGTGTAGAACTAGCACAGTGTAGAACTAGCACAGTGTAGAACTAGCACAGTGTAGAACTAGCACAGTGTAGAACTAGCACAGTGTAGAACATGTTGAAACTTAACAATAATAAAAAATGCTTTATTGTCAGAGCGGATAGGTGCAGTGAAATGTGTTGTTTTACAGGGTCAGCCATAGTAGTACGGAGCCCCTGGAAACAAATTAGGGTTAAGTGTCTTGCTCAAGGCCACAGACAGATTTTTCATCTTGCCGGCGCGGATATTGGAACCAGCGACCTTTCAGTTCCTGGCCCAGCGCTCTAACGGCTAGGCTACCTGCTGTGGGAGGCAAAGCGACAGCGACGTGACACTTACATGACTGTGTTGTCGTCCACCAATATATCACAGCTGTGAGCAGGGCAGGAAATAGTCTTTTTTTAAAGAAAGAGAAAGTAAACATGGTGAGATTTTACACATCTCAACAAAAGCCCATTGATTGCTTTTCCTGAGTCCATTGTGATGATACACACAGGTAATTATTTTACTGTTTTGTCTGTGCTATTGCATTGCTTTCTTGACTACTTCCTGCTGACCTCTTGCCAGGCCCCGCCCACTAAGGGTTTCTTACCTTAAGGGTATTTTTCCTGGTTAAGCAAAAAAGGTGTTTGTGGCGCCTACCTGCCCCATCCCCTCCTCGATGATTTTGGTAGTCAAGTAGTCCCCCCAACACTGCATGCAGAACTTGTGTCCACACTCCAGGCCAGTGAAGTACTGTGGGGGAGGAAGACGATGTTTCAGTCATGTAGCGATTCCACTACATATTCTGCTGAGGCTTGGTACCAATACACTATTCCACTACATCTTCTGCTGAGGCTTGGTACCAATACACTATTCCACTACATCTTCTGCTGAGGCTTGGTACCAATACACTATTACACTACATATTCTGCTGAGGCTTGGTACCAATACACTATTACACTACATATTCTGCTGAGGCTTGGTACCAATACACTATTCCACTACATCTTCTGCTGAGGCTTGGTACCAATACACTATTCCACTACATCTTCTGCTGAGGCTTGGTACCAATACACTATTCCACTACATCTTCTGCTGAGGCTTGGTACCAATACACTATTACACTACATCTTCTGCTGAGGCTTGGTACCAATACACTATTCCACTACATCTTCTGCTGAGGCTTGGTACCAATACACTATTCCACTACATCTTCTGCTGAGGCTTGGTACCAATACACTATTACACTACATATTCTGCTGAGGCTTGGTACCAATACACTATTCCACTACATCTTCTGCTGAGGCTTGGTACCAATACACTATTCCACTACATCTTCTGCTGAGGCTTGGTACCAATACACTATTCCACTACATCTTCTGCTGAGGCTTGGTACCAATACACTATTACACTACATATTCTGCTGAGGCTTGATACCAATACACTATTCCACTACATCTTCTGCTGAGGCTTGGTACCAATACACTTGCTTAGGGCAACATTGTCAGCCTGTACAAGGGGGATTTATTGCCAAATCATGTAAAGGCTACTTTGTGATCTCAATCTAGGGGGACTAAACTACAGCCCAGAAATACCCCCCATAGGCACTGGTGGAGACCTGAGGAAGTTGACAGAAATACCCCCCATAGGCACTGGTGGAGACCTGAGGAAGTTGACAGAAATACCCCCCATAGGCACTGGTGGAGACCTGAGGACGTTGACAGAAATACCCTAGACACTGGTGGAGACCTGAGGAGGTTGACAGAAATACCCTAGACACTGGTGGAGACCTGAGGAGGTTGACAGAAATACCCTAGACACTGGTGGAGACCTGAGGAGGTTGACAGAAATACCCCCTAAACACGGGTGGAGACCTGAGGAGGTTGACAGAAATAACCCCTAAACACTAGTGGAGACCTGAGGAGGTTGACAGAAATACCCCCTAAACACGGGTGGAGACCTGAGGAGGTTGACAGAAATACCCCCTAAACACGGGTGGAGACCTGAGGACGTTGACAGAAATACCCCCTAAACACTGGTGGAGACTTGAGGAGGAGGTCAAAGTGCAGCACAGCCACAGTGTTAATACCTGTCCCCAATATTTCCTACTCTAGTGGGTAAGGGTTAGGGGTCGTCTCTCTTCTTTCGAGAATAGTGACCGAGTTTGGGTAGTTGTGACAGGGCATGTCCTGATCCTTTCAGATGTACACTACTGGCTAGTGGATAGGGTGTAGGGGTTATGTGTTTCCCTTCAGAGTACTGACCGAGTTTGGGTAGTTCAGGTAGAAGGGCTGACAGGGAATGTCCTAGTGATGGGGAATCGATACAGTTACATATCACGATATTATAATTGATACTTTGACTACATACATTTTTTTTTTGCTAGGTAGCATTTGCTAGCGCTAGTCGGCTGTACCTGCCCAAATCTCTGGTATTTTTCATCCTATAGCTGGTTCTCCATCTTATTTTTTAAAATAGTGAGCCAACGTGTTTTCAGCACTTTTATTTCCATGACTGATCAAAAATCATTTTCTCATGCTCTCGTCTCTCTGCAGCACACATATAGTGAGCAATATGTTAGGAACATGAAATAGCAATAAAATCGCAGTATCGAATCGCAATACATAACGTATCAGTATCTAAGTATGGTGATAATATTGTATCGTGTGGTCCCTGGCAATTCCCAGCCCGAGCATGTCCTGATCTTTTCAGATCTACACCAGTGTCTAGTGGGTAGGGGCTAGGAGTTAAGTGTTTCCCTTCATGCCTAGGGGTTGTGTCTTTCCCCTCAGAGCAGGATACTGACTGAGTTTGGGTAGTTCAGAGCTACACTACTAGAACCTGCAGGTATGGGCTAGGGTTCAGAGTAGGGTACTGACCGAGTTTGGGTAGTTCAGGTAGCAGATCTGACAGGGAAGGTCCTGAGCAGAGGACCTCGTGTTCATCAGCCGTGTCCTCGACTTCTTACTGGGGTTGATGACATGGCATTCCGAGAACAATTTGTCAAGGTTCCCATCAAAATACCTAGCGAGAGGGGAAATGTCATCACTGGCTGGGAAACAAGCTACTTTATTGAGAGGTGTTTTATGCACTACAATACAGTGGAGGCTGCCGAGGGGAGGACGGCTCATAATAATGGCTGGAATGGAGCGAATGGAATGGCATCAAATGTGTGACGTATTTGCTACCATTCCACTGATTCTGCTCCAGCCATTCCCACGAGCCCCGTCCTCCCCAATTAAGGTGTCACCAACCTCCTGTGCTACAACAGGAGCATCTTTAGGTAATGCTATAGCAAATGGTTACTTACAAAGGCAATAAATCACAGCCAAACTAAAGCACCAAGACAAAGGCTAACCCTGTGCCAGATCAATTCAATTTCCTAGTGTAATGCAGTCTATTCTTATGTATATTTAATACCAGACCATGGCCATTCAACAGACCTCCTAACTAACAGAATGATGGTAGAAATACTGCCAAGAAGATGACCCTGTTTTACAATGAGTTCACAACAAATCACACAAGAGCCAATGTCACAACTAACCTTTCCATCAGTTTCTCTTTGTCCCAGTTGAAGTGACTAAGAAGTATTCTTGTTATCGTTGCAGGGTTCTAGAGAAGAGTAGCAAAAATTAGGAGGCAAAATACACATTTATTTGGCCTCAGGAAACTTCACAACTTTTAAAAGACAGCCACCTACATAGCTATTTAGCATAGGATTAGACAACACTAAACGGTAACTAGCAGTACGGTCATGTAAGTCATACGACAAATAAGATCTAGGCTATTATTGTTCAAAATGTGTGTCTAATAATAGGAATCATAAAAATCTGCAATTCATTGCAGACAAACTCACTGGCTGACAGAAGTGGGAATCAAGGTTCGGCCATGTTGTTTCAGGCGCACAGGCCTCAAAATCAGACACAGTGGAAAGTAAGATAGCTAGCTAGGTGGCTAGCTATAATCCAGGTGAAACTATGGACATAGGGGGCTGATAGGATTTCACGTCAACTAGATTGCTCTGTAGCTATTTCGCCATGTTGGTGCCATAAAAGTAGAGAAATGGCTGAATACGTTGATAGCAGTGTTGTAATAGATATCAGGTAGCTAACTTGTCTAACAAGGGAATGACAAAGATGACTAGCCAAACTAGCTAGGTTGTCTGGATGTGTCTTACAGTTATTTTCATTAAATCTTTACTGTAGTTAGTTGGGTCAGCATCTTGGCAGAGCTGACAACTCGCTTATCTTGCTGAGCCAGGCGCCCTAGTCATTCAAGAGACATACGTTATTGGTTCGTTAGCTAACGTTTGTGAACTAGTTAACGTTAGCTAACTAGCTAACGTTAGTTGACCAAACTGAAATTGGCAGCTTCCCTAGACAGATAACGTTAATTTAGCTAGCTTGTTAGCTACAGTAGTTTGTTAAATTGGAAGTCGGAGTAACTTAGCTACAGTACCTAAGCTAAGGTAACGTTACTAGCGTTAGTTTGTAGCTAGCTAACTAGCTAACGTTAGCTAGCAAACAAGCTAACAGGCGTTGAGGCTTACCGTTACCTACGATTGTTTGTGGTGGGCAGTAAACTAACTTGGTAACTAACTAGCTGTTTACGTTTTACAAGTTGCGGCCTACCGAGACCCAACATCCTCGGCCTTTCCTTCACCTTACCTGGATGACATCATTGACCTCCCTGATACACTCGACCATATGCTGAAGGATTTGTTCAGCAGTCAGAACCTCGAACCGATAGTCCTCCTCATCTTGACCGGGCCCTAGTCCACTGCCCCCGGTCTCCCCACATTCATCTCGCTCTCCACCGGCCACAACAGGGTCATCCAACTCCACTTCCAGGGTGTCGTCTTCGGGATCCTCCTCAGCGCTGTCTTCGCTGCATTCCTCTTCCTCCTCGTCGAATTCATAATTGTACCCCTCGTCTGAGTCCATTACTCGGTTAATTTGATATCGTGACAAGGTATGATACAAACGCTAGATACGAGAATGTGTACAGGCCGCAATGAAACAAGAGACGAAATATTTCCGTGAAGAGAGTAGCTAGCTACATCAACATGAGCGCAGCTGCCGCTGTGGACCAACAAAGAGACGCGCCGTCATACGGACGGACGCTTTACGTCACGTCAAAAATAATGAAAGGATGGTCCAAGCAAAAGATGGACAAAATATTCAAGCTCATCAAGATCACTATTATGTATTTGTTGAGGACAGCGTGGAATGTTTTAACAAATTATTATACTTTATCATAAAGGTGTAAGGCTGCCATTCACCGTTGTGTATTCACCGTTGTGTTTTTCTCTAGTGAATTGGACCTTCTTTAAATGAGCCTTCATGATAAATCATTCAACAAACATTGGTTATTTATATTCTTGGGTAGGACATTGTGTCCTATGGGCACAAGAAATCCTATGGACACATTACCCCCCAAAATACATTATTGGCATAGCCATTAAAATCAATGAATAAATTGTCGTTTTAATACATTAACTTAGTTTTGTATCATATTGTAATGTTGTAGCCTATCACATTATATAATATGTAAGTGCATGAGACAACATTATATAGGGCCTGTTTACAATTCCACTGGGCGTGTAGGTAGACACTTTACCACTAGATGACAGCACAGAGTTAAATCTAAAACTTTTGACATGCATTGGATTGAATTTAGTGGGACTGACAGCGATCTGCCCCATAGCCTATGGCAGAGGGCATGGCGTTGCGGTAGTGTTATAGAACATAAATAGGCTAATCTTATTTTGCAAGTATTCATTTTGCAAGTATATTGCAATAATCGTACGCAGTCTTCAAATTATTTTAACTCCTTTACTGTTTAGCAAAATGTGGAATCACTAGGCATATTTAATTCACGTAAATCACCTTTGAGTATATCTGTTTTTACCTGATGATGAATAACCAGACTGTTTTCAATAACTATTACACATCTTCCGAGTCCTCTGTGAATTGAGGTATATTGTGTGTTTCAGGTTTTGTGATCACCGTTTTTTTTATTAGCCTATCTTATTGAAAGCCTACACATACCACAATAAAGGACAAAATATTTTCTACATAGATTACTAGACAAAATAGTATTTGAGCCAACACATGATATGTTGAGGAATGGTAGTTGAAAGCAGAATGGAGCGTCATGGATCTGTGCTCCACGTTTGTTTTTTCGGAGCCGTGTGACCTGATAGCTGCTTGATTTCGTATTCATTGTTTGTAGTATTATTTTCCAATACTGTTTGCAACCCCACAACTACGATTGTAAACTGAATGTTTCCACTGTATAAATCATCCGCTGTTACAAAAAAATAGCCTTTGCTGTGATGGCACAATATCTGGAGCAGGTGTTCTTTTGTTTGGTGAAAATACAGTTGGTTTTCATGCTATTGAAAAAGAAAACCACAGCAATAATCATAGCATTATCTCCCATTGGAACAGTCAACAGTAGTTAACCCTAGGGTCTTAGAGATTTACAGACTTTATATCACAGATGTCCATGGTGTGATCTTTATGCATAGCGCCGCTAAATATCTGTTGCAACCTGTTGAGGCAACCAATCAGAAGCGATTGCAACATTCTGATTATGCTCTAAAGCTTTGTTTACACAGGCAGCCCAATTCTGATATATTCTTTGACCAATCAGATCATTTATTTTGCCCATAATTGGGCAAAATATCAGAATTGGGCTGCCTGTGTAAACACAGCCCAAGTAGACAAATACTGTGCTCTCTTAAAGAGAGGGGACATTTTTCTTAAAATGCCCACCACCTGAGGTAAAAAAATCGGATATTTTGTCATTTTCCAGAATACAATAAAATCTAGTTTGGTAAAGCAACCCGATTGGGAAACAACAAAAAAAATGATAGCGAATGTGTTGTAGACATATTTCAATGGCAAACTAAAACCATAATAGTGTCCTGCAGTCTCAGATGTGCTCTAGTCAGATTTACAGTTGGGTGTAGGAGGATGTGCTCATATTAATGGTACAGTACAGTGAAATACCTTTTACCTCGTCTCTGTGCTCTTCTGATTACATGAGAGAGGAGCAGGTTTAATGTGATACACCTTTAAATCCCCTCATCTGATCTGAGCCAGACCAGACAGAGCCTGATCAGATCCTGTTAAAGCATGCACTGAACTGTCCTCCCGACACAACATCACTAACTGCTCAGTCTCAGTCTCAACACAAGCACTTCATTCTCTTTTCACCTCATTGACAACAAAAATGGAATTGAAACAAAAATATTTTATAGCTATTTTTGAGGAAAAATACAATGTATCCCCTGCTAGAATGCCAGGTGAACACACACAAACCCCCCTCTGAGTGCAGGCAGGGTTACTGTATCTGTGAGACCCAGGGGGGTGGCAGTGAGGGGGACATACAGGTGCCACGTTACACTGGTCCTTTGAGCCAGGAGGACTGGGGGACAATGGTGCTGTTAACACTGCTGACTGGGACCTTTGGGCCCTCTGAAACTTTAATGTGATTTGGTGAGCGACCTACCGCTCGCCGAGGTCAGAGATGAACCCGGGCCCCGGCAACGTCCCGGGGTTGCCGTGTGTCGTCGCGGCTGTAACCAGATGCCGGCCTGGCGACGGGGGGCAGAGGGGGGAATCGGGTGCCGGCTCGTCTTTGTCCCCCGTGGCATGGATAATGACCCGTCTGTCCTCACCGGGGGCATAGAGAGATGGGACTCAGTGTCTCAGGTAAAAAGAGCACAGGTTACCAATCTGATTTATACAAGGCAGGACAGTGACCTGATCTCAGGCAGAGGAGACTGTTTTTGAATCATTTATACTCTGTGTTTTTCCTTCCTGTGGGTTTTGCCTCAGCTCGCACCATATAGAACTGGCCTATTCCCATCTAGTGGTGCTCTCTGTCCAGTGGTGGCTCCTGAAAAAATTCTCAGGGGGGGCAATTTTTCTGATGATTTAGGTGACCTACACACATTTTAAAAAAGATATGTCCAGCAACAACATGAAGACAGGGGCAGCATATAAGTCAATACCAGAAGCATTTATTGACTGATCTCAAAAGTGTTGGCTTACCAGGGTTGGTGGAGCCCTCAGTTTCATCTTTGCCTCGCAAAGCTAACTCAAACACTCCGCAAAACTTCACACACTGGATTAGCCGGCTGAGGATGTGGCGGTTCTTGCTAATGTCGTAGTAAATATATTTGTTATAGTGAATATGGAATATGATATGTTGAGTAAAATGTTGTGCTAAGATCTATTTAGGTCAGGAGCTGGTTATAAGTTCTGTTCCTATCCAATAACAATGGACAAAAGGGTCCTATCTTGTCAGCCTTGTCAGTTTCAGTTCTCCAGTAAACTTGTGATTATCAACACTAACCTCATCGTTGTGGCGGCGGACAGCTAGCCTGTATCCCTCATCCAGTTGAGTGGGAATGTTCACTCTCCCCAAAGCAGACAATCTCAAACAGCAATCCATGTGGGTCTTTGACAGCTCATGTTTCTTAATCTTTCCTGAAAGATGGTGCATGTCCGTTACACACCAGTCGCTGTCCAAGCGGTGCTGTCTGCCGTGCCGCCTTCAGGGTGAAAGAGTAAGCAGGGGGTAGCAGAAGACTGCATTAGCTACATCGCAGCCTGCTAGCCAGGTTTTTCGTTCGTACCAATTTTTGGAAAATCCTCGGGTGTAGGACTTCCCCCCTTTAGTAGAAACCTGTTGAATTATTAAATTTGGTCTGGGAGGTCCTAATTGTTTCGTTGCCAATTTATCTTCATTGTTCGCCGACAAAAAGGAACTTCTTTCAAAGACACAATCGAGTTGCACTGAAGCCTAGCCATTTTCACAGTAGTAGTGAATTGATTGATGAGGCTACCCGCTCTTTTCTTAGTTACGTTCATGGTTATGTTACGTATGACGAAAGCGCGTAAGTGCAAGCCCTCAGAAACCCATAGAGATTGTATTGAAAGCTCTGATATTTGAAAAAAATAGATTTTACATGGGAGTCTATGACAGACTTCTGGGCGATTTTCAACCTGACTGAAATCGCCCCAAAAGGGGGGGGGGCCATTTGAAGCACGACTTTAGCCTGATTGGACATTTAGTGGCACTGTGGCAGATCAGACGTCTAGATTACAACACTGATAACTACTGTTGCCGTGATATAATTGATTAGAAAAAAAATCCCTTCCTTTTCCCGTTTGGCAGTGCGTCGCCCATATCGCCCTATTGAACACACCGCCCCTGTCTCTGTCTGTATCTCGTCAGGGGTCACATGATATAGATAGTGGGTTTCTGTGCTGATTTCCTTGTAATTAAGAATCTTTCCATTTAGTCGATCAATCGATTTCGTATATTTCTAAATAAACTTAGCTCATATCTGAAAGAGACACCTTTTCGATGAGTGTGTTCCTCGATAATCCATGATCAGTCACCTATAAAAAAAAAACGCTTCCATTATGTTTTGGCCACGTTGACAAAATAGTGTATTTAAGTGAGTTTCCAATCATAGCCCTGTAGCAGGGGCCATGGGCAACTAAAATGTATTCTTCTTATTATTCTGCCTCTGGCAGAGGGGTAGGACTGACTTGGCCCCCTGGCAGAGTGGATGGGACCTGGTCCCCTGGCAGAGTGAATGGGAGCTGGAGGACTTGGCCCCCCTGGCAGTGGGTGAGAGCTGGGGGACTTGGTCCCCTGGCAGAGTGGATTGACCTGGAGGACTTGGTCCCCTGGCAGAGTGGATTGACCTGGAGGACTTGGTCCCCTGGCAGAGTGGATTGACCTGGAGGACTTGGTCCCCTGGCAGAGTGGATTGACCTGGAGGACTTGGTCCCCTGGCAGAGTGGATTGACCTGGAGGACTTGGCCCCCTGGCAGAGTAGATGAGAGCTGGAGGACTTGGCCTATTGGCTGTACTGTAGAAAGGTGATCTCTGGGTGTTTTGTCCCGCTGTAATCAGACAGGAACATCATCCATCATGAAAGCGAGGCTATAACAGCCAGGTTACAATGGGAGATAACATCATGAGAGAGGTTATTACAGCCAGGTTACAATGGGAGATAAGATCATGAGAGAGGTTATTACAGCCAGGTTACAATGGGAGATAACATAAGGAGCAGGGTCACAGG